CCCTAACCCTAATAGCTACTAGTCTAACTAAAAAATATTTCCTTAATAAACTAAAGACTTAGTTTATAATATATAGTATAATACTATATAACTAGTAAATTTTAATTAGACTACTTTATATACTATTTATTTAATAAAAGTAAGTATATTTCTATAATAATCTATATTAATTTATAGATTCTATAAACTAGTTATTTAATTTATAAATACTAAGAATTCTTAAATTTCTATAAAAAATCTATAATTTAGTTTATAAAATCTTAAAGAATCTAGATTTATAAATATAGTAAGATACTTATTTTATAAAATAAATACATTTAATAATAATAAATATATTTAATAATAATAAACGTATTTAATAATAATAAACGTATTTAACGACAATAGATATATTCGACGAAATAATTATATTCGACGATAATAAACGTATTTAACGACAAGAAACGCATTTAACGACAATATAAGTAATTCGACGACGACAACTACATTCGACGACGACAAGCGCATACTCCTCTGTCAAATGTTTATAGATTTAACAATAGTATACATTCGCTGCGTGTCAGCATTGGCATTATTCTACCTTACTTTTAATCCGGTCGACAGGATGTAGTTGGACAATAATACGCCGTGGCGTCTCAATATATGCGGGCTGACCAAAAAGCGGCGTAGACCCAATCTCAATACATCCAGGATTTCCGGGGTAAATTCAAGCGTTCGCTTTACTCAAACAAATAATCGGATTTTCTGTCCATCTTACACTACTCAATTTCCAAGTTAGCCAGTTACACACATTGCTAACACCATGACCGCCGATAATAGTTACTCGGGCGTGGAGCCAATCGCGATTGTCGGCATGGGTGAGTCAACAAGATAACAAGATGTTGTACTCCTCGCTGACCAATAACAAGGTTGTAGATTTGCTGGCGATTCCTCGTCCCCTTCCAAGTTGTGGGAAATGCTGAAAGAAGAACGTTCAGGCCAGTCCGATTTCCCGAAAAACAGATTCAACATTGATTCTTGGTACAATCCCACCAAAGGCCGCCCAGGAACTTTGTACGGAAGGGGTGGGTATTTTCTCAGTCACGATGACAGCTATCGAAGTTTCGACCCCTCCTTCTTTGGCATCAGTCCTTTGGAAGCGACAAGCATGGATCCTCAGCAAAGAAAGCTTCTCGAGGTTGTATACGAGTGCTTTGAGTCAGCTGGTAAAACTTTGGAAGATGTCTCTGGATCTGAAACTGCATGTTATGTTGGGTGCTTTAACACAGATTTTAGTCAATTACAATCCTGGGATCCAGAGCTTCGCATTCCATACCAGCCGACGGCAAGGAAATTTCATTCCGTGCATCAAGCAATTACTGATCTTCAGCAGGGAACAGGTCTGACAATTTTGAGTAATCGCATCAACTATGTGTTTAATTTGAAAGGACCAAGGTAATTCTCTGACCAGAAGATACAACGGTACAGACACTAACCAAGTGGATCTTTGCAGTTTGACTGTTGACACGGCTTGTTCTAGCTCTCTGTACGCACTGCATCTTGCATGTCAGAGCTTACTGGCTGGTGACTGTACGGCAGCAGTAGTTGGAGGAGCCAATCTTGTCATGAGCGTTGAGAAACAGCTTGGAAGTGAGAGTCTTGGTGTCTTATCTCCATCGTCCACCTGTCACACATTTGATGAATCTGCAGATGGCTTTGGTAGAGGCGATGGTATCGCTGCGTTGTACATCAAACGATTGTCAGACGCCATAAGCGATGGAGATCCTATCAGAGCCGTCATTCGAGCCACTGCCATCAATTCGTGAGTATCATTCGATGGAAGTAGATGATTTATGCTTATTGCGACCTTTACAGGAATGGGAAAGGTCCAGGAATCAATCATCCAGGTCCTAAAGCTCAAGAAGCTGTTATCCGCAAAGCTTACGCAAAAGCTGGATTGGCATTCAATCAGACCGGATATTTTGAGTGCCATGGTTAGTTGTTTCCACAGAGTCTGTAGCGTTAGCTAACTCAGCAGGGACTGGAACTAGTGTGGGGGATCCAATTGAATGTGCTGCTGTGGGTAATGTCTTCGCTGAGGGCAGAACAGTTGAGGACCCATTATTGATTGGTTCTGTCAAAACAAATCTTGGTCACTGTGAAGGAGCAAGCGGCTTGGCTGCTATTATAAAATCGGTCTATTGCCTTGAAAAGGCATGTATTCCAGCAACTATTGGAGTTAAAAGGTTCAATCCCAACAGTAAGCACAAATTCTTTAGCTGAAGGAATCGAGATATAAGATTAACAAACGTTTCGCAATAGTCGACTTCAAGACTGGCCGCTTGCAAGTTGTTTGCTCTATGACACCTTGGCCAGAGACTGTTAAATACCGTCGAGTTAGTATTAACGGTTTTGGGTATGGAGGGGCAAATGCTCATGTCATACTTGATGCCACCGAATCTTTTCTTCGCAAAGTAACAAACGTGCCTGCATTTATTGATACAACTAGAGACACCAAAAAGTACCTTCTTGCATTTTCTGCTCACGATCAAGCAACTCTGGTCCGGAATCACGACGCCATTTTATCAGTTGCTTCCAAGCATGAAATTCCCGATCTTGCATACACTCTTGCTGCACATCGTAGCAGGTTTCGCCATCGAGGATTCAATATTTGGAATGATGATCGCTCAGCAACAGACATTGAGGACAGCAAATTCGAACTTGGTGTGTCGAGAAATATCGCTACTAATCTAGGGTTTGTATTTACTGGTAAATTCCCGACTTTACTTAGATAAATGACCTCCGCTAAACCAACGATAGGACAAGGTGCACAGTGGGCACAAATGGGTTATTCATTAATTCAACACTTCCCGTCAGTACGACGTACCTTCGAACGACTTGAGGCCAGCCTCAGCCTTTTACCGACACCCCCAGATTTTGGCATTATAGGTAAAGAGGGTGGGGACTACAGTTTTGCCATTCGCTGACAATTAAACAGATGTTTTATCAGCGCCGAAAGAATCGACTACATTATATCATTCTGTTCGATCACCAGTATGTTGTACCGCAGTCCAAGTTGCGTTGACTATCTTGCTTCAATCTTGGGGTGTTCATCCGAAAGCTGTAGTTGGCCACTCTGCTGGTATGCATTTCAAAAATAAATGAAAGTAGCAAGTGTAGAGAGCTAACGATATCAAGGTGAAATTGCATCCGCGTTTGCTGCAGGGTTAATTACAGGAGAAGAAGCTGTTGCGATTGCTTATTACAGAGGCATTGCTGTTTTGAATTGCAAAGTGGAAGGTGCTATGTTGGCAGTAGGTCTTGGTGCCGAAGAAGTTCAACCATACCTCGTAGGTAGGTCCGATGTAATCATTGGATGCTATAACTCTCCTCAGAGTGTCACTTTGAGCGGAGGAGAGCATACAATTGACGAGATCAAGATACTTTTGGTTGAAAAGGATATCTTTGCTCGAAAGGTTAACACATCTGGCAACGCATACCATTCTCACTTGATGGGATCCGCAGCGAAAGAATTTACAAGATTGTTCGAGGCAGTCTATACTGGAATGATTCACTCGCCGACGAGAAAGGTTACGCTCGCAAGGGTACCTCTGTATTCATGTATCACTGGCGAATTGTTTGAGTTTGATGAAATACCGTTCGGCCATTGGCGCGCTAATCTTGAATCGCCGGTTCTGTTCGATCAGGCATCTCGCCTTCTCCTCAATTCACAACCAGAAATCAACTATTTTGTTGAAATTGGACCGCACAGTGCTCTCGCTGGCCCGATTAGACAGATTACCACGAGCTTGAGTTTTGATCAAGCAAGATTGACATATCTACCTTCGTTAATCAGAGGACACGATGGAGTAGACAATATGCTCAATTTGGCAGGGACCTTGTTCACTATAGGCTACCCTATTGATCTAGTCCGAGTCAATTCAACTGAAATTATAGACAAAGATGCAAATAACGGAATTATTTACGAATCGGGAAAGCTTTTGGTAGATCTTCCAAGCTATCAATGGAACTACGGTGATCTATTATGGAAGGACAAACGGTGGGGTCGGGAACTATATTTCCGGAAGCACTGTCATCACGATATTCTGGGTAGTCGCGAACCTGGTGGATCGCAGAACTCTTACTTGTGGCGAAACCATCTTCAAATCGCATCTGTGCCGTGGCTACGAGATCACAAGGTAACAATACACAGGTTGTTCGACAATTGCTCTCGCTAACATTTACAGATTGGCAATGACTTCATCTTCCCTGCCGCTGGATACATCGCTATGGCAATCGAAGCCCTTATGCAAGTGGCCGATCACAAAGGCCTTCTGAGCCCTCTACAAGGGTACGCCATACAAAATCTCAACATCACTTCGGCTTTAACAATTCCTTCCGAAGGGTCGATAGAAACTCTCGTCAATGTACTGGAGTTGGCAGGATCAGCGAAAAACAGTATTAAGTGGTTTGATTTCCGTGTAAGCTCAGTCACAGAAGATGGAAAATGGGCTGAACATGGAGCAGGTATGATTGGTCTGGTAGAGCCGCTTGAACATGCCCCACAGCAGATGCTTCTGACCCAACGGAACAAAGTCTTCAGCGCTAAAAACTGGTATGCGGCTTTGTCAAATGTGGGGGTGGAATTTGGACTATCATTTCAAACACTATCAGACATCAGCTTTATCCCTGAAAAGAACGAAGCTATTGCAAATATTGAACTGAACACCACGAAGAATATCATGACCGCGGAATCACGCTATGTCATTCATCCTACCACCCTTGATGGATGTCTCCAGATATCAGTCATGGCAGCTCATGGTACCACAAAATCAGTTTCAAAAGCTTTTCTACCTGTCTGTGTTGATCAGTTGACAGTCTGGACACCTTCAGTATCTGATTCGACTACCGAAAGTGCCTCGGTATATGCTCAGGGCAAGCTACGTGGGCTCAGATCAGTTCACGGCGCTGCTAAAGTCTTTTCAGAGAATGGACAGCTGCTTGTAGATGGTAGAGTATCATTTTTGTCTCTCGAAGGAGGTGTGAAAAACTCAAAAGTCACTGCACCACGACAGCCATACACTCGTCTTGTATGGAAACCGGATGTGGATAGAATAGGAACCAACCACCTCCATCATCAATATGATACGCATTCTCTGCTGGAATCCGAGAAGTTTCGTCTTACGGACTTTATAGACTTATTGGTTCATAAAGGCCGCTCTTTGAAAATTCTTCAGGTTGGGTGTAGGTCGTTGGAAAGCACTTTGAAGGCACTCCGTGGAAATTCCTCCCAACCACTTTATAGTCAGTACACGGTCGTAAGTAATGATGGTTCGACTTTAGAGGAGAAACTTTCTCGAGGATTCAAAAATATGGAATTTCGCTCCTTCGAAAATGATAATTCTATCACTGGGTCGACACACGACGCTCAGTCTTACGATCTGATAATTTTTTCAGAGGTTAGTGAAGAGGTCTAGTTGTTAAACAAAGCATTAGTATTGACGAACCACAGAATGATGATATCGCGAAGATTACCAACCAACGGTTGAAAGGTTGCAAGGAGTTTTTGAAGCCTAACGGGAAACTCTTGATAGATCTCGATGTCTCTGTAGACCCTGCTCGAGATACATTGGCAAAAAACCTCGCAGCGGGCGGGTTCACACATTACCCATCAGAAATAGCTCGATGCCGAAACCTGATACTGTGCGAACTGACACAAGTTCTCGACGAAAATTCTGACAAACATGAAAGATTATGGCTGGTAGGGTCCCATCGCGTGCGTTACCTTTCATTCGAAGATTCTAACCATCTTAGGTTTACAAAAATAATCCGCATCATCTCAATGACGAGATCACCACAATAGCAACGCAATGCGGGATGTCAACATCGGCTGTGTCGCTATTACGTGTTGCAGAGATTCCCAAGCGCTCGAAAATAATAACGACTGCTGAAATGGAGGGCCCGCTACTAACTCAAATGACCAGCGACGAGCTAGTAGCAGTTCAATGCTTAGTCAAGCACGCATCATCTGTAATTTGGGTCACGAATGGAGGACTCTGTGATGGATTTGAGCCAGAAAAGTCACTTGCATCGGGTTTCGCAAAGACCTTCATGAACGAGCAACCATCATTACGATTATCATGTTTCGATATCGATCCGCTGGAAAAGAATCTCGCCAGATCGGCCTCTTTTATTCTCGATCAACAAATCAGGCTTCAAAATGAGAAAATCTCTCGAACTGAGATGTACTTGGCGGAAAAGGGTGGGATTGTCCATATCAGCCGCTTCCTCCCGGACGACGTTGAAAATTCCAGATTTGAAGAACGGATTAACCCCATAGCGGAATTGGGAGCCTTTCACAGCAGTTCGTCCTTGGCACTAGACTTCCAGGCTGTAGGTCAGATTGATAGCTTCTACTATACACAAAAGAGAAGCGGCGAAGTCAGCGACAATTTGAATCCAGGGGATATGTTCGTGGACGCTTCGGCGTACTCTCTGAGCGTAATGGTTCGTTAATATTTCAGTTGCTGGTTTGTTTGATGCTGATGTGTGAATAGGAAGCCTCAATACTCAAGGGTCAACAAGAGTCCGAATTCTTTAGTTATGAGTCTATTGCCATTGTTCGGTCTATTGGATCTCAGGTCGTTGATTTTCAACCAAATGATCGTGTTCTAATTCTCAACCCGGGGAAATTCGACAACTCATTCATCGTTAACCAAAATTCGTGCCACAAATTGTTTCCTGACGATAAGATTGAGGACTTAGCTGGACTATTCGTACCGCTATGCTCTGCAATATACGCATTAGATAACTTCATCAGACCTAGAAAGCGGGAGGTAGGTCCCAGACCCGCAAGAAGTACTGTGTATAAAGCTGACCTGGCTTAGCCCATTCTTGTCCACCTGCCTGGTGATTATTTGTTGGCTTCGATGTTCTTACAGACAGGTCGCCACAGAAACCTTGAGGTACGATATACATCAATTCCAGACAACCTCTGCTAATTTAGCCAGATGTTTGTAACCTATACGACTGAATCTGAAAAGGAACACTTCCTACGGACAGAAAACGTGCATGTAGATCGTCTAGTCCCAGCAAACACGAATACCTGGGTGAGGAACTTCATGAGCTTGGCTGGACGGTCCGGGGTACGTAATATCATTACATCAGCTGCAGCAAAAAATCACCAAGATTTGTGGAAGTGTCTAAAGAAGGGTGGAAAGTATTTGCTGCTCGGTGGAGGTTCTAACGTACCTAATTTACTAACATTTGACAAATCCGTTTTCGCTGGGGGTGCCAGTTTCATCACATTTGACATATTGGACATTCTTCGAGAAGGGGGTGAGGATGTCAAAGAGTAGGAATTCCCTGTGTTTTATGAGATCCATAATCTAACGCTTTCCAGGTTGCTTCAAGAAGCTTTCGCATTATATCGCTCTGGGTATCTTGTTCCGCCGTCTTCGCAATCGTTAGATATTTCGAAGCTCCCAAATGCTGTTTCTACTGCTTCTAGCTTGGAAAGTTATGACAGAGTGATACTGGAGTGTAATCCAGATTCCAACGTTCCGGTAGGTGTCGCACTCTATTCAATCTAGAACACGTCTGATTTTTTTACTTTGATAGTGTCGAATAGCTCATACGCAATTGTCGTTTGATTCGTCTGCGACATTTCTCATGATAGGATGTCTTGGAGGGCTAGGACGAAGCGTTAGGTGAGATTTTTCCTCATTCTCTCTTGATACTCTAAGTTTGGAAACTGATTATTCTCTCTGCTCAGCTCTTGGATGGCCGAAAGAGGTGCTCGTCACTTTGTATTTCTATCTCGATCTGGTGGACAAAAGCCAGAAGCTCTAATACTTTTGGACGAGCTTGAGCTATATTCCAAGAAGATTGATGTCGAAATATCAGTACAAATTATTCGTGGAGATGTTTCTGTCCGTGAAGATGTGGACAAAGCCGTTGCGGCTGCTAAAATGCCAATCAGAGGCGTCATCCATGCGGCAGCAGTTTTTCAGGTATGAATTCTCCTTACTGCAAATATTTGATCACAGCTGAACTTCTAAAAGACATGTCTGTTTGAGAACATGACGGTGGAAAAGTTCCATGAGGTCCTCAACCCGAAAGTGCAAGGGACCATCAACCTCCACCAAGCATTGTTCCACGAACCTTTGGACTTCTTCGTCATGACTAGCTCTTCGCTCGGAATTAAAGGAACAGCGACTCAAAGTAGCTACGCAGCTGCAAACGCTTTCATGGATTCTATGGCGAGACATCGTCGGAACCTTGGAATGCAGGCTTCGTCTCTTTCGTTAGGCGTGGTTCAAGAGATTGGGCACGTGGAAGAAACTCCTGGTAAGTAGCTCTTAGCCGACATATAATTTCTCATCTGATTTATCCAGAAATGGAATCTGCAATGCTTCAGAACGGTGTATATGGTATCACAGAGGCGGAATTCCTGTCGATGATGGAACTTGCCTGTCAATTACGCGATGTCGGATATCCTGCTACTTCGACCATGACCTTTGATCGGTATTCGGACGCGCATATAATTACTGGTTTAGAGAATCTCGCTCTTAACCGCGACACAATCTGGCTCAAAGATGAACGATTCCAAAATTTGGCAATTGGGAGCGTACCCTCAACCAACACTGTGGCTGAAAATTCGAGCACACTCACAATTCTCAAGAATGCTTCAAAAGCTGGGGGTCAGGCTTCTGTCAAGAATGCAGTAAAAGATATTATCTTGAAAGGGCTATCGAAGATGTTGTTAATCCCGAGTGAAAGGTTGGAAGATGCCATGTCAATGCCATTGGCGGATCTTGGTATGGATAGCATGCTTAGTAGTGATTTACGGGCGCTGGCGTGGAAGGAATTCAATGCAGATGTGCCATTCCTCAAAATCTTGGAGAAGGGGTTTTTGCTGGAGGAATTGATGGATTTGGTTTGGGAGAAGATGGACGCGGAATTGAAATATGGAGCTGCTTGAATGAACGAGGTTTGCATTGAAGGGGGCCTACATTTAGCTGAGCATTTACTGATCGATAATCCATGACTAAATTATCTATTTCTCAATTCTTTCAATGCAGCCTCCTGCAGAACCAACTTCATAGTTTTCCCGGTAGCAGTTTTTGGTAGTGACTCCACAAACCTAACCCCGCCACCCAGCGCCTTATACTTCGCCAATCGAGATCCCAGAAAGGTCTTTAATTCTTCTTCTGTTGGGATTTCCATCTCAGACTTGGAATCAGATGTCTGCCTAAGAACCACGTAAGCTCGCGGAAGTTCAGTTTCCTGACTTGTTGATTTGATTCCAATCACGGCAACATCTGTGACATATGGATGCTCCATCAAACATGATTCTAGCTCCGCTGGGGCAACTTGCCATCCTCTAACTTTTATCATATCCTGCTTTGAATCAGTCTTTCTTTGATCTTTCTATTATTGTTCGTTTGAGAGCATGGTTTGCCTACTTTTGAGCGGCCAACGAGGTACCACTTTCCCGCCTTGCAGTAAGCAATATCACCAGTCTTTAACCACCCATCTGCAAACGCGTCTGTTGTCGCTTGCTCATTTCCAAGATACCGCGTCGCCATCGATGGTCCTCTCACCAAAACTTCTCCACTTACATCTTCCTCGAATATTTCCAACCCGGTTGCGTCAATAATTCTATATATCATCAACTCTATTCCACCGACATCAAGTTTGAGAAATCCCTACCTCGCTTCAACATTGACTAACAAGCGTCCACAACTTCCAGTCTCATCCTTTTCCCCCTGAAGAAAGCTTGTCACGGTTCCAAACTCCGTCAATCCCCACGCCCTCTGAATCTTTGCATTCACATCCAACTGCCCTTGAAAACTTGTTTGCACACCAAGATCTAACGGTGCACCCGCACATCTCACCAATCGCAAACTATTTAACTTTCTTTTTGTATATTCCTCTGTTCCTGCCTCACCCCGTAAGATCATGCTCATGATTACTGGAACCATGGAAGTTTCGGTAACGTTATATTTCTCAATCGCGTCTAAAAAGGGAAAAAGAGAGAAGCGCGGCAGAATGTAGGTTGGGATGCCGTAGCGGAGAGGATCTATGTGTGACGCAGTTGCAGCGACACCATGGAACATAGGAAGGCAGAGAAGCCGGGAGACTGGATAAGGCTTGGGGTGCGGGTCATATGATGCGATACATCGTGCTATCGTTGCGTGATGAGATAGTGCTGCTATTTTAGGTGTTCCAGTTGTGCCGCTTGTCGAGAATAATGAAGTGATGGCTTCTTTTGAGAGCTTTTCATCTTTGAAGTATTCCCACGGAGTTTCTCCATGTTTCAGGAGCGTTTCCCAGGATTGGAATCCGTCCGGGATAGAGGGATGGTGTGGTGTGTTAAAGATTAATATATTATTGTGGGATATTGGAACTGAAATATTGTTAATTGAGAGCATGATGGTGGAGTGTTGCTCGGGTGATGTTATAATGCACTGGATAGAAGCCTGAGAGAAGATATGGGCTAGTTCGATCGGAGTGTTACCGGGATTGGAGCCAACAAAAGAAGCGCCGGCTCCTATGATCCCAAGATAGAGGATTGGATACATTATCTAACTTATTCAGTTTCTGTAGATACTCGCTAGAAAAGTGTAAGCTTACGTCGCTGAATGAATGTACTAGCACGCTATCTCCGGGTTTTATCCCAAGCAGTTTGAAGCCATAAATTAATTTCCTGACAGTACTCCTGGCTTGACGATTCGTGGTTCTTCGAGTACTGTCAAGCGCATCGATGTATATCTATTGAGCGTTGTTAGTTACAAGGTATATTGTGGGATGTACCGGATCAAAGGCCGCAAGGAGTGTCTCACGTCTTTATCTTGGTCATATTCAGGACCACCAAATATCCATGTGAGCAAATCCACATTCGGAATCTCTTCATATCTAGTGGGATAGAACCCCATGCTGAGCAAGCTACCTTACTTCCCCAAGAAACGAGTTTCGACTTATTGAACTCGAGTAAGAAGTCGTCTGAGGGCAGAGGAATACACGAAGAGTTTTGAGGTGTTACATCAACGCTTATGTGTCATCGGTGAGATGTTTAAATCTTAGGTAAGCTGAAATATACGGCGAAACCTATCACAAGAGATCTGCTTACGCCACATGTTGGAAGGCGGGAAAAGGCAACCCAATGATGGAGTCCGTTATGGTCGGCTGCACGAATCAGATAAATTATGCGCTTCACTTTGGCTAAATGCTTACTCCGGAACGAAAAAATCGATAATCGCCGCGCGTGAAGGCTTGCATGAAGCAAGTGATAGGCGGTGCCTTCGTTGCGCTTTGCAGACGAGCGCCTGATCGGGAAACCGTCGACCAATTGATAGGTTAGAATACTACTGCATCCTCCTTTACATGGTATCAAGAAACTGACGCTGGTCAGGAAGTCTTCAAGGCCGTGATGTCTGGCAGTAAGGCTCTGAATGAAGTAGAGTCCAATCTGTCTTGGTGACAACAGCGAGGATATTATTTGACCCATTGCGCCATTTCAAACGTGAGATTATACTTACACACAATTTGACTAGAGCTTATCGTGATTCAATGAATTGGTATGAAGTTTCCTCCATCACAGTGGAGTCAACTCGACGTTGAATTTCTATCAGCCGAATTAAGTTGAACTACGCCACGAATATCTAGTCAAGTGCGCACTGTCCGCTACTCTCCCTTATACGATATTGGCTCAGAAGTTCAAGACATGACATGACAATTTGGCTGATTGATTAAACTTTAAACGTTTGTATCAATGTAACAGAAATGGCTGGGTACTACATGGAATTCCCCGTAGCAAGGATCATTTTAATTACATACAGCGATGAAGAAGTAATTTGGGCACTTTGTCTCGTATTTTGTACTTCGTAGGTATTGTGGTAGATCAAAGCATATCATTGTACTACAGTCTTTTGGGGAATGTGGTGACCTTCACACGAGTGAGCAGCAACCAACGCTCAGAGTTCTGCTTCCTGTTCAACTGCTTCCTGGTCTAAAGCGTGAGGAGCAAAATCCTGCAAAATTCCATTCTCATTCTCTCGGATGTATTCGGTGGTACTGATAAAGTGATATGAACGCATCTCTGTTCGCTTGGTCAGCATTTTGATTCTCATGGATTGCCAGGAGAATGCTTACCGCAGTTGAAAAATGTTGTGCCGGCTACAAGGTGAGCTATAAATCCTCGGTGCGTGACCACTAGAATATTTGCATAATCCTTACCGAGCGATTCAAGTCTCAACCGAACTCGCGAAGCTCGAAGGTGTGCGTTCTCTGAAGTATGCTTTTCGTAGTCCCACACCGATGAGCATTCCGAGAAATCTAGGTCAGGGTACCGGTTGATTAAATCAATCCTGGGTGATCCTTTGTTGCAGATGGCATCGTGTGCTTCTCTGAGATCCGGCCAAATCAAGACTTTACACGGTTTGCCACGCAGCACATAATAAGCTGTTTCAATCGTTCGAATCATTGGAGAGACGACAACGACGTCTGGCAAGAAGGATAAATTTAATGCTTCTGCCTGTTGTATTCCTAGGTTTGTCAAAGGGGGATCCGGTTCTCTGTGATGGCGATCAACACTACACATCAGCTATTAGCATGAGATAGCCCGAAATGGCGGTATAATTACTTGTGTAGAGCTTGACCGTGGCGAAGAATATGTACCGTGGTCGTGTTGGACATTGCGAATGTGCCAAATAATACTGTAGATGTGTAGTCTGCTTGAATAGTATGCATCTCATGAGTCAGACTCTCTTCGGTTAAAGATTAGCCTGAAATCCCAAGGCATGTGTGGCGTGCAGGATGCCCTGCGTGATATCTCTTCTCCCCTCTTCTCCCAAGAAGTCTAAGAAGACCGGCTAGTCGTAGATTTTGTAGATAGAGAGTTGAAACGAGAAACGAAAATGTAACCCTTTTTTGGGAGGACGGAGGGCGAAATAGCTAAAAAGCCAAATTGGAATAAAAATATGGAATCCTCTAACGACTTGTTAGTTGCTACGAAACGCTTTTAGACCATAGATCTCAATACAGAAGTATAAATGCGGCCAGTAATAACATAAATTTGCACTATTCAAAATCATGGGTATATAACAAAACTCCAAATCAGGTCCTCATTCTCGAGGTCGGCGTAAATCGCTCATCTCTGATCCAAGTCAAGTTTCTTCATGCCCCAATAACAAAAAACAAACTCCGTGTATGAATAACCATCAGATCCTCATTCTCGAGGTCGGCGTATGTCGCTCGTCTCTGATTGTATCCCAATATTGAACAAGAATACCAACTTCCAACTTCAGTACCATAATCAGATCCTCGTCATCGAGGTCGTTGTCGTCAATCGTTTCTGATTTTATGTCGTAAAAAAACGACAGTAGAGAGCTAATTAGTATGTGGCTTCAAACCTTTCTGGGTTTCTTTGAAGCTCTGGACGCTGACACTGCCCCTTGTAGTCTGGCCATGAATGACTTCTTGAAACATTGTCCCAGCTTGAGGTCCAGAAAAGTTCTTCTTTCCGGTCGTGAACCAAGTGACTGCGGCGATGCATGCGCTGACACCAACCGCAGCGCAAGTGTAATTCATATTACTGGCGGTGATAGGATGTACCGAGGGGAAGTTGAAAGTAATACATGCGAATGTCAGGTACAACAATCCGATGATGTTGAGCACGAGACCAAAACGAAGGTTATACGAACCCTCAACAAAATCTGGTCCCTTTCCAGTGAGTCGTCCCCAAAGTCGAACTGCGAGCGGCAAGATGTAGGATAAATAGAATCCTTCGGTCGAGATGGCGAGAATTGTTCCAAAACCAGTGACAGAGCCGAAATAAATTGACATTAATGCCATGTTGACAGCGACGACCAAGCAGATCGCGTTGACCGGAACTTGGCGTTTCGCATCAACTTTGCTGAAGATCTTAGAAAATGGAAGACCGCCATCACGAGCAAAAGCGAAAGCGAGGCGGGAACTCTGGGCGCAGAGGAAAGCAAGGCTGACGAGAGATATGATCGAGATTTGGACCGATAGAAGCATGGCCAGAGGGAACGATCTCGTCGCAGAGAGAAAGATCTGGAAAATAGGAACACCTGTTGGTGAAGAGGCTGCCTCGTTGATGTCATCAATACAGAAGCAAGCCACGATCAAGAAAATAAAACCTGTGACAGCTCCAATCCAGACTGCCCAGATAATAGCTTTGGGTGCATCTTTTCGAGCATCTTTCATTTCTTCCGTCATGTGAGCGGTCGCATCTGCATGAATTAGTCCAGAAATTCAATTGAATCTTGCAGAGCTCACCATATCCAGTCATTCCAAAGGCACTTTGTAGTAAACCCAACAAGCTCGCGTATGCAGTCCCAAATCCAGTAAAGTTTTGGAAATCTTTGAAGACGAAAGCTGCTGATTGCTTATTGTTGTCTCTTGCCAGAAGAACGACGATAACCACAACGAAAGATATGATGTTGAAAATGATCATTGCCTGTGACAATTTCTCAAGCGCTCGTCTTCCCCAAATGTTTGTGGCTGCTGCAAGAATGAGGAGACAGTATGCTACAAGACAAGTGTGCCATCTTTCGATGACAAAGTCTGGATTTGCCATTTGTGCCATTCCCAGAACAAAATTTGCACCAACGAACCCATTCCCGGCGCCTGCGGAGAGGAATCCTGTAAATGGTAGTTAGAAACATAATTGTTCGCCAATTAGCTGTCGAGTAACTTAGACATACCAATTAAAATGAACCAGCCACAACAGTATGAAAGCGGGCGTGCATATTTGGCAGGAGCTAGAATTGCAACCCAAGAATATTGTCCACCAGCAACTGGAAATGCACTGCAGATTTCGGCAAAAGAGTATGCAACGGCCATACTACAAACAGAGACTCCGACCCAACTCCAGATAATGACGGGGGGGCCTCCTGAATTGATACCCACGACGAGCGATCCGGCAAGAGCTGTCCAACTGATAGATGTTAGGTGATGAATCTAACAACGAGAGAGGAGCAGGAAGACTTACCATGTCAATACACTGAAGGCAAAACCTATCATCCCAAACAGAGAAAACGACCGCTTGAGTTCTGTAGGATATCAGTACAATTTTCAACGCGACTCTGAACAACGGGTTGTACCTGGCGTATAGCCGAGTCCTTCAAGAACCAAGTCATCGGTGATGGCTGTAACTTCCTCCTGGGTGTGTATGGCTGTAATTCCATCCTGGGTATTCATATTTGGTTGCGCAGGCTTGCGATCACTTGCGTACAGTTGTAAGTAGATGTCTTGTCAATTTGAATAAGAAAGCAAATATCAAGTCTTCTTTTTGGGTGGATATAATCTAGATTTCGGTGGCAAACTGTGACAAGGATAGTCGAATAATGCGAGGGTTGATCGTGATCCATACAAATCATAGGCCATTAGAGATAAAGCTAGCAGCGGAGAGAAAACTGTGATGAAGCGCACAGATATAGTGGGTTGTCACCACGTTTGTTCTGTATACTGGTTCCCGCCCATGGCTTTCACTGATGAGTGCTTTGGTAACAAGCGGATAGATCGGCGAAGTTGCATCTCAGTAGCTATATCAGGAGAATAACGTGGTCTGGACCAGAAATCTATGACTGACTTATGAACTGCTCACCAGACTTCATCTTTCGAGCCGAAAGATTATCTAGAGCCCTGACGGATATTCATGTCAAGACCATGACACAATTTTCATCACGTAAAGAATCTTATCCGACAAAGTCTCCCAGTACAATGGTAATCTAGTCGATAGGCGAAAGTAGACTATCAAACAAGCATTTAAAAGACGCTACTAGGTACTCACTAGGTACCCCTTGTGGCGGATCACTGTTACCGATAGAGGAGCGATTGGTTGAAAGCCGCTTCAGGGATCATCAGAAATGGGGAACCTTGAATGGGGAAGGTGAATATAATCTTCCGAATTGTGGGGTCTCGTGTTTTATGAGGCCATAAATTGAAATTGATCAATGAAATGGGAATCTTGTCATATCGTGGTTTCTCGAATCCGCTAACGAGGGAGATGATCAATGAATTAAAGCTGCGCGTGTAAGTCCATTGATCAGTACGTACACCTATCACCCAGACTCCGGTAAGGTTTTAATTGGGAGTGAGCGTAGATTATCCTTACGAGGTGACTGATCCTTACGTATTGTCAATTTGGTGTGTCAATGGTTTGCAGGATTTCGGTGGCTGCAGTCATGATGGTATAGTTTAGTCACCAACATTTCCATAGTCCCGTGCACTATGCAGGTACATTGAGGACAATTCAAGTTCAGGTGATACTTCAACCATTATCGGTAATCGATTCGACTTATATCTTCACTGTGAATAAAATCTTGAGCTGCACCTGCGATCGATCTCTATTATCGACAAGTCTCACCTCAAGTACAAGAATTACTACAATGACACAGAAAGTACCAGTGTGGTTGGACGTTGACACGGGAAACGATGTAAGAAAATCATATTGATGATAAGTTTTTCATATTAAATAACATTTCTAGGATGTCTTCGCTCTCCTCATGGCAGCACATCACCCTTCCCTCGACCTGATCGGCACCAGCACGACGCATGGAAATGCCTCGCTAAAAAATACCACCAAAAACACGAGTATGATACTCACAGCTCTTGGTCGTACTGATGTCTCCGTCTATCCAGGAACTGCAAAACCATTTTGCAGAGATGAAATAGTAACATTTGATATGCATGGTACTCTCACAAGCTCCAATTTCATGATTTTTCTTGACAACCTTGGCAGGATCAACTGGTCTTGGTGGAATATCCAAACTTCCATCGCCCAATGCTCCTATAAAGAGCGAATGCAACGCCATTCTTGAAATGCGGAACGCTCTTCTTGCACAGCCAGTCAAAACTGCTTGGCTCGTAGCAACCGGACCGCTCACTAATGCCGCACTTCTTTTTGCGACTTTTCCAGAAGTTGTGGACCACATCGCAGGTCTCAGCATTATGGGCGGTGCGGTTGGAGGTAACTTTACAACAGCCAAGAACGGGAAGACAGACGGGAGTCTAGAGAAGGACAAAAGTGAGAGATTTGGTAATGAAACAGACTGGGCGGAGTTTAATATTTACTGTGCGTTTGATTTTCATGCCCGTCCTTTCTCTTTAGATTGAGCAGATCATGTCATCTTCTTGATAGCTGACTGTCAGTAGGTGACCCCGAAGCGGCTCGGTCCATCTTTTCGCATCCTAATCTCGCGATTAAAACCACACTCATAACGCTTGATCTTACACATCTCTGCCTCGCTACAAAGAGTGTACGCTCAAAATTACTAAATGGAGGCGTTTCCGAAAAGCCTTCAGAGTTGCGAATCATGCTTGAAGAGATCCTAGAATTCTTCGCCAGCGGCTACAATAACTTCTTTGGCATGGATGACGGGCCACCATTACACGACCCGCTCGCTGTAGCTGCGCTATTACCGGACTCAGACATATTTGAAGACGATGGAACCAGGTACGATGTCAGAATGGTTACGGTAGGGGAGCATACTGCCGAAGATGGAGAAGATCTAGAGACAGTAAGAGGGCAGGTCGGAAGGACAGTGGTGACGAAGCGAAATGATGGAAAGGGTGTAAGGATTCCGCACAATTTAAATCTTGATGCATTTTGGGGGACAATAAGTGAATGCTGTAGTATTGCCGAAGAAAAAGGGTCTGTCTAAATGGGTAATAACAAAAATGCAATCGTAATGCTGTTTCGAAATGATCGGCTTTTTCGCGTGAAACTTGGAGTAGTTTTAAAACAGGGTACTGCATAACTATTTTCGAGAGATCCAGCCCTACTTACTGCCTTGAGAAGATGTACTTGGGCCACACAAAATGTATAAGCCAGTAAATCCAACCACTTTGTATTTTTCATGTCAATTTTCACCGGGCACACGATGCTCAATTGCAATTGAATTTATGCGCACTCCGATTTGGCATACCGGGGAATGGCTTCTACCATTGTATGCTAAAATTCTTCCCTGAGTAGTTAGTTCCATCGTTCTTTTGTGAAAAGAGTTGAGATCTTGGGACAAGGATACTCCCGCTTTAAGCAATCTGTGGCGCAGTATTGTATGAGTTGATGCAGGAGTTTGGTACCAATGTGCTTGATTACCTTTTGACTGTCGTCGTACAACTTGTCGCGACAAATTGAACCCAATTGGGAGACGCTTCGGACGAAATTGTTCTCACCCGGGGTGAACAACTTCGAAGTTCACACAACGCTCGGGCGCCGCGGCGAGAATCTCGAGCCTATCGCGCCTCTTTACGAATCTTCTCTAGTCCAAATGAGCCAGAGTACAGATCTTTACCTTTGAGATTCCAAATGAGATTACAGCCCGTTATCTTCATAATTACCATCCCCCACTTTCCTTATCTTCAAGCAATGTGCCAACCAGTTTTAAGCTCTCCACTTTGCTTATCTTCGGAGTATTTTGTACACTACCTCACTAGTGATAGCTTCATATATAGTGGAGTCTATCCCATTCTTCAAACAAACATCGATATCTTTCCAGCCTCCAGTGGCAAGCATTGGCACTGACCTCCAAATTTGGGTGGAGAATGGGGTCACATCGCTAAAGCGAGCATAAGCGGATGATCTATACACGGTTGTTGGGTACTTACTCCCTGTTAGCCTCCATTTCCCCATGATTTCGAGGACAGTGCGTATTCGTGAGACGGAACGAACGTGAAAAGAGGATACATTACCAAAAATACACTACCAAGCAACCATGTCCTGGTTGAGATGAAGTATGACACTTGAGTTGTGGGTTTTTGGGAGTGTAAGGAGTGAGCCACTGTAGGACTGTAGAATAGTTTAGACCATGCAATGACCATCCGAGCTTTGGCGAAGTATTGTGTAAATTAATCGACCGATGTCAGACTAATCGAGAATAGGAATTAGATATTTGAAGCCTTGACTTACAGCTGGACGCAGCTGAATTACTCGGAAAAATCACCTCGAGGACGTCTCACTATGCTTGTTGCCATGGAATTCGATTTGTTCATACTCAATGGTGTCGTGGTATTGGAAAATGAAGTTGGAGAGTTCGATATAGCGATCAAGGACGAGAAGATCGCCAAAGTGGTGCCGAGAGGAGGTTTAGAAGGGATGGTCACAAAAAAGACAATTGACGCGCAAAATGGGTGTGTCATGGTCAGTATGTTGAGAAGATGTGGAGGTTGAGCTGATTGTCATCATAGCCTGGTGGTATTGATTCTCATGTGCATCTCAATGTACGTCTCCGGCGGCGAAACATAATCAATAGCGCTCATGATATAGGAACCATTTATTATGGCAGGAGGTCGATGTGCAGATGACTATGAATCAGGTACTAATTGTCTATCGTCCTTCTCTTGATCATTCTAATAAATTCTAGGCACTCGATCTGCAATCGCTGGAGGCACCACCACCATAATAAGCTTCGCACCACAATCTAAGAACGAACCCTCCCTCTTGGCCGCCCTAAAAGAAACCCACGAGCTTGCAGACTCAAATTGCTACAGCGACTATTCATTTCATGCGCTCTGCACTTCAGCTGGTCCTCTCGCTATTTCTGAGTTTCCTGCACTTCGAGCTGCTGGTATCTCCTCGCTTAAATTCTTTATGGCATTCGAAGATCTCCAATTGCATGACGACGAGATTCTCGATGTCCTCCTCGCCGCACGGCGAAATCAGATGACTCTTCTCGTTCACGCCGAGAACGGACAGGTGATCTCGTGGATGACAAAGCAACTGGAGAAAGAGGGTTTATTTGATCCGAAGTGGCACATTAGCTCTCACCCACCTGTTGCAGAGACGGAAGCTGCGAGTAGGGCGATTGCGTTGGCAGGATTCATTGATGTACCCATTTTAATCGTCCATGTCAGCCAACCCGCTGTGGCAGAAACTATTCGAGCGGCCAAGAAGCTCGGATTGCCAATCTTTGCGGAAACTTGCCCTCAATATCTTTTCTTGACTAGAGACGATCTTGATAAACCAGGGTTTGAAGGTGCAAAATGCGTGTGTAGTCCGCCTCCAAGGAATGCTTCCGACCATGAGGGTATTTGGAGGGGACTTGAGGATGGAACGTTAACGGTCTTTAGCTCGGATCACTGTCCATTTGTTTACGAGGATGAAAATGGAGGAAAGAAGTCTTCAATTAGTAAGGAGTACCCAAATGGTAGATTTCAGTATATTCCAAATGGCTGTCCGGGTGTCGAGACGAGATTGGCTTTGGCTTTCAGCGCAAAGCGATTAAAGCTGCAAAAGTTTGTCGAGGTCAGCGCGACTTATGCTGCGAAGATGTATGGCTTGTACCCGCAGAAAGGGGCATTGATTCCTGGAAAAAGCGATGCGGATGTCACAATTTGGTATCCAGAAGATGAGAGCTTCACACTCAGTAATAAGATGTTGCACCACAACGTGGACTACACACCTTATGAAGGTCAGACCTTGAATCAGTGGCCAAGGTACACGATACTGAGAGGCAAGGTAGTCTGGGATAGAGACGCTGGAGGTGTTGTTGGCAATAAGGGTTATGGAAAGTTCTTGGAGAGAGGAGTGAGTTCGTTGGCTGCACCATTGAGGCCAGAGCATGACTGGAATGCGAGAGATTTCTAGTTCAAAAAGCATAAAATACATATTTTTATTGTATCATTTCTGTGAGGCTCTTGTGCCAAACACTCTCAACCTTTTGACTCCCCCGTCGGGATAAATATTTAGTTTGACATGCGTAAAAGTCTCGTTCTGCACCAAACTCTCAAATTCCTGCTCTTTATCAGCCTCACCCTCATTCATTGAAGTGACTTCCTTCCAGTCTTTGTCATCACATTCAGGTACGCCTTCTTTCTCATATTTCAACGCCATGACGATAGTCTTTTCAGGATAATTCCCCCGGAAATGTGCTGTGTCTACGACTAGCTTTTGAACTTTTCCAGGAATGCCTAATTTTACTATCGCCCAGTCTACGTGATCTTCAGTCCGAGATCTAGCAGTCTCCCAGCCATCAGCCATATCTGGTCCGCGGCCTGGCAGCAGCAAGTTACTCGCTAGAGTTCCGAATGCTTGATTGGAGCACGATACCACCATGCCGCCATTGGTAGCAGCAGCGAGATCGCAAACAGTTTTCTCATCTGGAAGAATTGGAATTGCAACACCGTAGAGACGGAAACGTGCTGTGCCACCGTCAGGGTACATGTTCAACCTAACGTGTGTGTACGGTTTGGTGTTTGCCTCTGCCATCCACGCATGTCTTTTTGATGGGCCACACTCTTTCCGCCCAACCACAGTTTCCCAACCTGCTCGTTCTCCCTTCCAGCCAACGACCTCGCTGTCATTGGTGGCAAAACAAGCTTCTACGGAAATAGCAGGTGCTTCGTTGCCTTGAAAGTAAGCTGTATCGATTTCTACACCAACAATTGAACCTGAAGCGACACCAAGACGGATGATAACATAATCAAAAGGCTTGCGATTGTGACGGCGAGATTCCCATCCGTCCATCCACTGTCCGGTGAAAACTTGGCGTTCGCTATAAATAGGGGTCTTGGGAGATAGCAGGTTCGTGGCAGGGGCGAACCATTCATCAGAAACGTCAAGAACAGTACCACCAAGCGGTGCGGAAATGAGATCTATGAGACTTAGCGTTAGAAGTGATAACATTTATGGCTAATTGACAACTTGTGTACATAAAAAATGAGTCTTGGTGCTTACCTAAAAACTTGGATTTGAGTATTGAGTCGATTTCTTCTGTTGCTATTGACTTTGTGGGGACGTCATCGATAGGGTAAAGTTCTCGAGGCATGATTGTGTATATCTAATCGGAAAAAGTGATCATCTGAATTATGGTGGCTCTGAATGAGGTAGTCAATTGTTTTTCATGTAGGGAAAAATGTCACAGTAATTGGAATAGGTGTACATGTAACAAAGGTTGTTGAAACGTGAGTTCGTTACCAATTACCCCATTTTCAATAGATACGTCTGTTAGCGAGTGCTGGGTGCAGGCCCCGAGAATCAAATCGGCTGGCCGAGGTAGCCGGTGTTCTAGATCCTTGCCTGCAATAGTGAACCCGGGTTGCAGAAGTAAACATCTTGGTCACTAGAATTCTCCCTCTTAGTCACTGTTGATAAATCGTGACAAAAGCACATTACATGAAGTATGGAGTTAATCATTGCCAGCCGACTTTTACAACCCATTACCATTGCTATCCTAACACGGTACAACTTCGCATAGCTCGTTCAAAAGTCTTCGGATTTAGAAGCATGGTGGACAACAATGAACCAGTCCTTGTTAGCTTGCAGGAGTTGGAGACAGGTGAGAAACGTCACCGTTTATTCCAAATTTATTGCAATGAGTAATCAAACCCAAAGGATCAATCAAGCTTTCAACTCTGGAACAAGCATTTGGTCCCACTGGTCTTGGAATTTTGATTGTCAAAGAACTTCCCTCGAACTTTCAATCTCTTCGCCTCAAACTGCTCTCTTATATCTCCCACCTGTCATTTCTACCGCCGGATGAATTAGGTATGTATAAATATCTTCTTGTGCTGTTTATACCTAACTTCAGACAGAACAGCTCACAAATGCCGAATCGCACTACAATGTCGGCTGGTCTCATGGCAAAGAAGCCCTCAAGTCTGGTCAATATGACACAATGAAAGGCTCCTATTATGTCGGGATCCTGTCCTCATATCTCCAGGAACGCCTTTCGCGAATTCCTTCGGACATTCGTCCTACTCTTGAGACGCCAAATATATGGCCAAGCGAGGAACTCCTTCCTGGTTTCCGTTCCACTTTTGAAGAACTCTGCACGCTGATAATGGATATCATTCTCCTGGTTGCACGAGCTTGTGACAGGTTCGCGATGGAACATGTGCCGGATTATGCTTCTGGACTTCTTGAGCGGATTTTGAGGGAGAGCATGACCAGTCGAGCACGGCTTCTTCATTATTTTCCATTAGACTCGCAAACGAAAATTGCTCCAGCAGATGAGAACGACGACTCATGGTGCGCTCTGCATGTTGACGATGGCTGTCTGACGGGTCTAACATCAGCCCTCTTTGTTAACGAGACTAACTTGGCGCACACGATTCCCCTTACTCCCTTGAAATCAGCAAAATCAACCGATCCCAAGGCTGGGCTTTACATTCGTTCTAGGACTTGTGAAGTTGTCAAAGTTAGCATACCTGCAGACTGCTTAGCGTTCCAAACCGGATCTGCGCTTGAACTGATTACTGGAGGCGCATTGAAAGCTGTACCACATTTCGTGAGAGGACCGAGTGGGTCGTCGACGATGGAGAGAGTTGCGCGGAATACGTTAGCGGTGTTTGCGCAGCCGAACCACGAGGTGATTGTGGATCAGGAGAGTGGAGTGACTTTTGGGGAACACACGAAGGAAGCAGATGAGAGGCATGCATAAAGGAGCGAGGGTGGTGGCGATATCAAGAGTGGTGTTAGTTCAATTTGATTGCGGAGAGTGGGAGAAGGTGGGGGTAATGACTTATACGCTCAAGTATTTTCTAATGTCACTACATCACTCAATTTAACGACTTTGTAGAGGAACATCTCAATCGCAAGCAATGAAGTGCACAAAATTGGGTTATTGAAACCAAGATTTACTTTTCCACATCCTCAAGTATATAAATAACCGCGAATGAGAGCACTAGTGCTATGCAAATATAGTGGTGCACCTCTTGTTGGGACCTATCACAGCATAACGGTACTCTGCCTGCAAAATAGCATAATTGGTCTTCTTCTATGAGTGAACATACAGTATATCGTCTATTAAAAAGGGTGAACGTAGTTGTAAACCGACGAATAATGGAATTTTGCTTTCAACACATTTTCATACTTAGAACGTGTTCGGTCAGTCTTAGCACACACCGGGGTGGAAATGCTCATAAAAATTTAGTTCTTATATCATTTTCTTTTTATAATTATCTACAGCGATGAGATATCAAATAGCTCAAATTGTCAGAGAGATTTTGTTCTGGCATCACCTTGAAGATCAAATAAAACCACTCCGCCTTCGTGAGATGTTTTATCCTGCTGTCACTCTTTGTCATCGATCCTTAGTGCTTTTTACCCCTTCTCTCTAGATACAAATCAAATTGTTTTCGGCATACAACGACACTGGCTGTAACTGTAAAAACATAATCGAAATATTCAAGTTGATATATGTGTAGATACAATCCCATTTTTCACCTGTGCCTTGTCTCGAAACTATTTTGAATCTTCGGAAGTATACCAAATATTCGTGAATATGATTCTCCACCGGATTTGGAGAACCCAAAAAAAACTCATACAGAGCCTAGTGCCAATGTTGAAGGGATAGAATTTGTTCTGAAGAGAGGGGCACGGCATTGGGGAGTTGATACATATCATGCGTCATTTTGTCAGAAAAGGTTTTTATATGTAGAAGCAAAAGTGTCAAAGATCTGCCAATTGAACCACGTAAAGATTGGAATTATAACAAGCTAACGAGAATATTATTATAAAATTGGGCTGTGCGCAAATGATCTAAGACAATTGTTTCCAAACCATTGAGCAAATTGACCATGAAAATTCAGTAATGGAATGCTATTCCAAGAACTAATCCAAAGACTTTTGTTGTGCAATTGCACCCCCCAGTGAAACTTTGCGGATTGAATTGAGTTGACTTGAGCTCTTGAATGTGGGGCGGATTGAACTGTTGATGGACTTAGCCTATCCGAAGCGCGGTATATATGGCAACTCTTACTGTCAATTTCAAGCATCGTCAATTGAAGCCCCATCCAAATCATCGATTGGTTCTCATTGGGTATTACCATCTTCTTGAGCCAATTGAATGATCTCCGAAGAATCTGTAGGATGAGAATCCTTAACATGCTTAGCAATGGTGGACGACTGGGCAATTGGTTCAATTGGGCTTGGTCCTCCATGTGTCGTGTCTCCCTGTGCTGCCGGAACAGTCTCATGATAAGTCGTTGGAGAAGAATTCTCCACAGATTGGGCGATTCAGCTTGCGCAATTGTTGGAAGGGGAACAACGAGTTCCGTTGCGGTTAATTCTCGTTGGGCAGTTTTGTCATTTGGTGTAGACTGCGATGTCTCGTAAGAATCCGTGGGCGTAGTACTTTCATCGCCTTGAATGTTTTTGGGCGATTGAGCGACAATTACAATTGGGGTCGTTGGGCCGTTGTCAACGGCAGAGGTAGACGATGACATCAAGAATGATGTCCTGACAGCTTGGGAGAGTGGATCCAAAATTGGGCCTTCAGCATTTGAGGAATTCTCAACCATGGGGTCTCGAATTTTGGCAGTCTCAATTGTGGTGTCTTCAATTGTGCTGTTTTCCATTGTAGCCGTTTCGATTGTGTTTGCCTCATTTGGGACTGAAGCTTCTTGCTCATTCTGGGCAAAAATTGAAGGTGAGGCTTTCGGAACTTCTGCATTTGAGCAAGCGGTTTCTGCCACAGCTTTGAGAGGATCTCGAACATCTGCTGGCAAAGCCTTTTTCTCTTGGGCAAACAAAGTTTCATCTTCATCACTTCTCCTTCTCCAGCTTCCCTCTGGAATGACGCGTTTCTTCTTGGGCATCTTGACAACAGGCAGGACAGGTTGGCTGGGTATGGACTCATCAGAGCTGCTTGGGCCAGATTGTGCTGTTGGAATCGCTTGGGCCGCTGGTTCTGATTGTGCTTGAGCTGAAGTCTCTTGGGAGGAAGATGCCTGTTTGAGCGTTCTTTTGGGTTCTGGTTCTGGAAATTCTCTTGGTTTGACTAAACAAATCAGCATGTAAACAAAAAAACTGCGCAAAAACTTACAGAAGATATCCCATGTCAATTTGTCCGCGTACCACAGTATCCATCCTTCTTGAGCATCTTTGTGATTCCAGTGCCACGCTGTGAAATACATATTGTGCCAGGCCCTTGTGCATTCTTCAGCTGTGCAAAGTTCGGCAGGCACGCAAGTGCTGCCTTCAATGTTGAGCTTGTCGATCAATTGATGCAATTGGGAGGTATAATTTGAGCGAGGAGGCATGATGTGAAGATGGGAAAGTAAAGTAAAGTATCGTTTCCGGAAAGGGTGATGAAAAACGTATGGGAGCGCGCGAGATCGCTAGGATTGCATGGGATTTCTCTTGATATCACCTTTGAATTCTGCAAGTGTCAACACGTGATTTTCGTTATTTATTGAAGCATAGAATTCATTTTTGCCAAGTATTTCACGCATATTTGCATGAAAGACGTTGACGTGAAATATAGAATCCCGCTATTTACGGGAGAAATTAGGTCGTTCTTTTATCTCGGATCCATTTAGTCACAATATAATACTTCTGACTATAGGGGGAATTAGGTTATTTCTTTTTCTCGTGTCTACTTACTTAAAATATAATACCTCTACTTATTTGAAAAATTGGAATAGAGATCATACTTCAAACGATTTTACAATCGCTCAATATAAAAAGACGTGCTATTTTTATTTGTTCGATTTTCTTTGTTGCCTTGACGCTTCTAAATTAGCGTTCTACTAAAATCTTAATTCGTTCACCAAAATAACAATTCTCTGGCTAAATCTGTATAATCAATCAGTCAAAGAATTTCAGTGATAAGGTTACAGACAAATCTTGGGAAAGGAGTGTTGGAATGTCTCTTCTGATACTATTATATTCGGTCGTTTGTCCCGTTAGGTTTACAATACACAGTGTTTCATGAAAATAAAATAGAATTACGACAAGCACCTGGCGAAAATCAAACAATCAGTAGGACGTTAATATCTCGAAACAAGTCTGGTATAGATATTCTATGTTTCCAAGGTAACTTTCGTATTGGATATCCGTTCTTCGGCGGCTTGCATCGGGGAGTGCTAAGGCTCGCTTGTGTCTTCCCACGCTGTGACAGCTTATCTAGCTCTGCCTTTTTCTTCATAACAACATCACATCTTTCACCGTATATCCCATTATAAATAAAAACGCACATACGCAAAACGCCCAACCACATATACTACACGCCCAGTTCAATTCAGAATACCATCACTTGACGGGGACCTTCAAGTGAAATTCCCCAGAACTCTCAAGTTTCCCAAAAGACAGCCCATACAGCCACCGAAATGACCGATCAAAGACCTATTCAGACTCCCCAAGACGCCACCGAATCCCAAAACCAAGCGTCTCATCCCGCTTCAACGAGGCTTTCCCAATCAGTTCCTGGATGGGAAAACATGGATGACATGGACATGATGTTTGACTCCCAAGAGATGTCACCACCAGCCAACCAAGAGTACGTTGAACGTATCAAGAGAGCCCAAGATGATGCGACTCGGTAAGCAACAATATATCTTGCGCGAATCAAATTTTCTGATGGATTTAGCATGCTCAATCAGGCAGAAGAATTTTTGGCCAGCCCTGGACCAGAGTGCTCTCCTGGCTTGCAATCGTTGGACAACTACCCTCAATTGTTTATAAGACTTCTCAATGGATTGGCCGACATACATCGGGCGAGCATGTCCGCCCACATGGAATACAAGGCGAAGATGCAGAAAATGAAAGTAAGTGGTACATTTCAAGATTCCTGGACAAAGCTGAATTGCGGTAGACTGAAATGGAAAACACGTGGGGGAAGTGAAGCAACAACACAAGGCCCAGGTCGAAGAGGACAATGCCCAATTGAAGGTCTCTCTAGAACGATTAAATAAGGAGAAGGAGGAATTGGATCGAAGGGTTGAGGAGCTCAATACAAGAGAGAGCGGCCATAAAGAGGCTGCGGAATTACGGGAGAAAGATCTCGGTATCAAAGAGGCTCAATTGAATGAACGAGAGAGGTGTTTGGATGCGTCTTGGACTCAAACATCCGCTCAAATTGTAGAAGATCTCAAGAGGAAGTCCGACGAGCTGGACGCTTCGTTCAAGAAGAAGTCGTCTCAATTGCAAGAGAAGATCAAGAAGAAGGAAGAAAGGTTGGACGATGCATTTGCAAAGCGGGCAAAGGAGTTGGAGGAGAAACAAGGGAAGGATAGTCTCGTGGCTCAAAACGTAAGTCACAACGACCTGGGTAATGACACGACTGACTTTGACGCAGATGGAAAAGGTTTTGCAGAGCCTCAGCAGCTTGCAACTCGATACAGAAGCTTCCAACAAGAGACAAGCCCAAAACGAAGAGAGACAAGCCCAACACAAAGAGAATATCAAAAAGAGGGAGTTGACAATTGCGGAGAAAGATGCCATCATCAAGGCGAAGGATGTTACCTTGGCAGAAAAGGATTCGGTCATTGCCCAAAAGGACTCAATAATTTTCCCAAAAGACGCCGCAATTGTCGAAAACAACAAGAATAAAGATTCTGCCATCGCATCGAAAGATGTTATCGTCCTAGAAAAAGATAAAGCTTTGGCGGAAAAAGACTCGATCATTGCCCAAAAAGACGCCGCAATTGCTCAAACCAATAAGGAGAAGGATTCTGCCACTGTTTCCAAGGATAAACCTTTGGCAGAAAAGGATTCGATCATTGCCCAAAAGGACATTGTAATTGCCGAAACCAACAAGGAGAGAGGTTCTGCCATTACATCAAAGGACGCCATCATCTCTGACAAAGATAAAGCTTTGGCAGAAAAGGATTCAACTATCAAGGGAAAAGACTCAGTTATCCAAGCAAAAGACGAAATGATTGTCAACTTGCAACAAGAAGTACACAATGGGAAGCTCAAGGGGGAAGAATACAATGAGGCTCGCCGACTTTTGGAAGCCGCCATATTGGACCGCCACGAAATCAAGCGTCAGCTTGAAAGGGCGGAACCTTTCGAGTCTCAATGTCGCAAACTTTCTCAACAGATCTCCATACTCAAGGAGCAATTGTTAAAGGCGCAGCTGGATGTCGAGGCTGAGATCAAGAGGGCAGAGGCAAAGGATGCCAGGTTTGAGACGGCAAAGTAATTCAAATCTCAATACACATTATGATAACCCAATTGAACATCTACTAAAATGACATTGTATCATCCACATGTATCTTGCTTCCTGTTGCAGAATTAGCTAAGACACTTTGAATGCGCTTAATTAATACGGGAATGATTCCTGGACTATTTGAAGCCGTGAGTAAATGGTAAAACCAACCCTTTCTAGAAGTTAATCGTTTTTAAGTCGAAGCTTTAGAATATAATGCCTCTCGTTACGTGGTTCGTCAGACCTTTGAATAATCTCAAATCTCCTTAATCAGAAAAGGATGCTTCTGATAACATGGGACATTAAATTAACTGTCGTATGTCAAGCAATCTCTTTCACCAGATGTCAAACGACACGCTCTATTGAATCGCTTGATCTCTTTATGATGTCTTCCTCTTATTTAATAGACGACTGAGACATTTTTGAACATCATAACCATCTCCACATTGAATGCGGCGCACCATACGTCGGATGTGAAAACGTTGAGACCTCGCCGGCGTGAAATCCACGTACAATGTTCCACAAGATCCAAATAATAGCGAACTCACTACACAGAAGATCGGTGTATCTTATAACCATCACCATATCTAAGTGGCCGGCTTGTATATATTACCCACCAGAAACAAATGGATTATGTTTCTCGATGCGAAAGATTTCGCAAATGACAGACCAAAGCGGTAGTGATTCCACGGGACGGAACATCATCAAAGATTGCGAGGAATAAGACGACGACACTCCGATGTAGATATGTATAGATTCGCATCGAATAAATATGGCTGGAATCGATGTTAGCGAAAAACATGGTAGTTAGGACGAATTGTGATCTCAGCAATTGCCAAATGCGTTCAGTGCGACGAGGCCAGACATTCTTCAAGGGTTTGGATGTTCTTCTTTCCATCCATATTTTGATCTCTACATTCGTCTCCTTGTTCAGTCTCCTGCCCTTGGTCAATCGATGTCTTCGAGATCCCCCCTCAACACCGACGATTTAAAAAGGGGTTAGAAGCGAGTGAATGTTTCAAGTTAATCCACTAAATATACGATATTTCGTCAAATTAATTAAGGAAATATTAGCTTACGACTGCCACTTATTTGTGCTCCGCGTGGCTGGATGGCTAATTTGGCTAGATTGGTCTTTGTTGTGGCGAAAGTGGGAGGACGTGGGGTTAAAATTTGTTCTTTCAAACGACACCCCATCTTGCATCTGTTGTATAATTCCACTTACCACAAATAATGCGAACGTACAACATATACATTGACTCTGTGGCTTGGAGGGCGGATGAGTGAATTTTTTGACCCGATACATTGACTGGAGTCGATCCAGAGGTCGTGTTCCAGTCCAAAATCCGTCGCACACGCTTTTGTATCGATTGATTCCGACTGGGGGATGGATACATTACACGAATGAAGAGTATACTGTGGGTTAGCAGCATGAGTATTGGAGGAGCAGGAACGACCCGCTATCTCGGTGGAAGCTTCCTTGTCATGGTTATGGTCCTACGAAATCGATGCTCACTCAACTTGGCCGGCATCTCCACTTTCTATAGCCTTGTGTTATGTTTTACACTTGCCATATAATGATATTATTGGTATGTTTCACTGAAAACCTCAAAGGTAATCCTATAAATCTTAGTTCAGCTGGCGTTTGGCAGATAGCGAAGAAGCACGATTTACAGGCGTATCCACGATGCCAAAATTCTGTACGATCAACCGAATAACCAACACCCACGAATGATAAATCAGGAGACGAACAATGCATTTGAGGTACATGGAAAATCGATCCCTGGTAACGCAATGAATGTGGATGTTTTAATGCGGGCACACGACGGGAATAGAAAACACCATTTACATCACAAATGGAAGAAGTCACGTCTAACAGCTTATATTGAATCCCAAACGAAAGGAAGCTGTCGCGAAACCGGATTATGCCGCATTTTAGCGGTCGGAACGCGAGAAATACTATTCTCCAATATCGACGCGATGACCAGAAACCCATCCTGAGCATTAAGCTCCCATTACAGAAATTCCATCCTTATCGAGCCAGGAATTCAATCCTCATCAAGCAGTACCAACTGGTGGTCAAAATCCAACGACATTAAGCCAAATTCCTCCTGACTATCCGCGTCCAAATCACACCATCCTCCGTCTTGACCTGAACACATTCATATCCGCAAGTCTCACACTCTGCGACCCCACAATCCGGAACGTTTGGGCCGTTTTTGAGAATGGATCGAAGACATTTGAAGTTCAGTTTCCTGTTCGCAGGGTACTTTTCGTGGTACCTTTGAAAGTTGGCCCACGATAACCCTGGCTTGAAGATGTCATTTAGATTGATATTTAGAGACCTTACACTTAAACCATCAAATGGGATGAATAACCTCAAGAGATTCGCTTGTTCGTTGATCGTTGTCTGCCACTTGTCCGACGCCAGAACGTCAACCGCGGTTGGCGAAATTTTTCTTCTCTTCTCGATTGGTCCAATTGGCACTGGGAGGAGGCTCTTGATCTCACGTCGACAGTCTGCGAGTTCTTTTTCGAAAACATCCTTTTCAGCAGTCACAGAGGCGAGTTTAGCTTCGATCTCATTGATGTTTTTATCATGTTTGGCTTCCACAGCCTCGATCTGTTCATTCAGACTGACAATTTCTGCTTCTGCTTTGGATTTGTCTTGTCTCAGTTTGATGAGTTCAGCCATTGGATCTTGTTCAAACTCATCCCAATCCTCCCAAGCATCCATGGCTGGCATGACGATTTGCTCTTGTCCTTGAGGTGAAGAATGTGGGACTTCTTCGAATGGTTCTGGAGAATTGGTTGATCGGGGTTGTGGGGTGTTCGGCCTATGTTGTAGACCCAATTCTGGAGAACTTGATCGAACTCGTGGACTTCTTTCCGGGCTGTTTGATCGAGGTTGCGTAACTGGCCCTGGAGCTGATCCTGGGGAAATTGATCGGGGTTGTGGGGTGTTGGGTCTAGATGCTGCAGTTGGCTCTCTACCTCTATCTCGTATAATCCCCCTTTCCTTATTCTTCTTCGCGTCGTGGATAGTTAACCTAGAACATGTGTTAGCAACATACTCATACTGCACGAAAGGTACACCAGCGTGGTGCAGGTCTGACTGGACAATACCCAACACCGACCACCACAAACTGTCCAAGGTTATAATTCCTCAGTCTGCTTGAAGAAATATGTTGAGTGTCTTTACTGGAAAGAATAAATGTACTCACTCGGTCATACTCATCCCAATTTGGCGCCTATATTCCGCCATTGATCGAAGATTCTTTTTCGCTGCTACCTTGTCCCAGACTTTGATTATTGCCTGTAAATCGGCAGCAGTCACACACGAACTCTTTGCGCATCCCCTCTCTCCCCTTTGAAGTGCCGCACGGCATCTACCACGTCCATTGTTTGATCAATTAGATCTTCGAACAATTCCACGTCTTCATCGGACACTAGGTGTTGAATATTCATATACCGAGTATCCAGGTCTGCCATCTCGTCTGGTTGTTGAATCCCCAATTTGATAAATCGTTGGCGTACCGAATACTCGACGGCTAAAGACACAAGCTCCGGGTGTCTGTTGAATGCCTTGTCGCAGCAGACGAGGTCTATGAAAGCCGTGAAATATCCCTCAGGTTGGTTGGATCGATCCAGGACACATCTGTAGGATGGAAGGACGCCCCTTGGGAGGAAGTCGGATAGGTAGACATCATGGCCGTAGAGGTCCATGATTCTGCGGATCAGGGTTATCTCCACATTGATCGTTGTGTCCATCCATTGCCTCTCCTGTTGGCTCAGGCGTGGATCGTGATGATATTCGGGCTCCGGCGCGTGCAGCCTACCTGTCCGCCAACCTGGTTGGCGATTGGTGTTGAGTTCGTCATCTGAGTCGGGTTCTCTTTGTCGTCTTGGTGGCATTTTGAATGATTAGATGATTGAACGATTGAACGGTTTGAATGGGGTTGCAGGTATTGGTACGTCAAGAGGCACAAAGGTGGTTCTGTTCCAAGCTTCCAATGTTGTGGGTGGGAACTATTAGGCGAGTGCCAAGACTTTTGTTCAGTTTCGTATTTGATAGTACAACACTTTTATCTGGACATAAGAGCTGATCTAGTTTCAGTAAACACTTTACGAGGTATGTCCGACTGTGCTTAATCATTACTGGTGCACCAATGTTATCGATTTGTATTTTAAACCCAGCATAATGTTAGGCAACGAAATTGCAAACAGGCTTCTTGACGTCCTACAATTATTCTTATGAAAACACAAAGGAAGGTTTTGTATTCACAAACAAAGTTCTTTTCACTCTCTTATAATAGTAGATCCATGTATCTACAGGTTGACTAGCTTCGAGGACCTTGATATCACAACTCGCTAAGATCCTCCAGCCCCTTTACCCCTTTTCACTGTATCGCTGTCGTTTGCTTTTCCTCCCTCTTACTTCCCGCTAATTTTTACAGCTGAAATCAATCATGCAGTTAGCAGTTTGAAATTTGATGGGTTCCCCAGGCAAGAGACCACTGGCTTGACGCAACAACCAACTGACCGCTTGTAGATGGGCAAACGACAAGACAAGACTTGGAAGCGAAGCGTGTCAGGATGTTCGAATCTTCTCTGTATTTGATGTGGTAGGCAAAAGAGGTAGAAGGTATAGATTCGAATGCAGTGGCAGGCGGATTCGAGAGCTGGCGATGACTTGTGCGCATAAGAGTGTTCTTTCCAGTGTCTGGTGACTGATCTCCATTCCCAAACAAACAGATATTCCCAGAATCCGGCTGGCTTCCTCGGATCACTACCTAGGCACAATTATCAAGAGGGTCTTAGTTAGTCATTGTTGGTAAGGACCGTGAAGCACCGTCTTCGTCAAGTATTTCTTGATCTGCTTTCCGATCAGCTTCTTCAGCCACCACCACTAGCTCCTACACCAGCCCCGTCCTTCCGCCCTGTACGCCACCTTTCTGTGCAATCTTTCCGTACGGTCGTCTGCTTGTCAAGTCTCGCATGTGCTACAAAACATTGCTGCCAATTCTACTGGACACATGTCTGCGGCGAGTAGCTCTCGTAACAGGAAGGAGCGACTTGCAAGCCTTGCAGGTTTCGAGTTCGATGGTCGCTTCTCCTATGGACCTCCTCATTCGCTGTCTACACCTGTTTCCTTCTTCCCTTCTTGTCATTATGTTTCCTAGCCGCGTCGTTCTTGAATTCCCTATCGTTGGCGTTGATCAATCTGCCAAACTGATTAGCATTCCCCAAGTTTCGCGTTGATTGTCTACTTCGATACCTTGAAAATGGCCGAGGTCGTTCAAAGTACTCCTTTTAGTGCTTTGCATTATTCTTTCAACTGCTGTATGCTTTGTCGAAATTCCACGATCGGAGGATGTCTGTGTCGGTAGAATCAAGTGACATGGCTTTCGGACACAATCTGCGCAAATCGAAGGGAGCTCCAACTTCCAGGTTGCGCAATTCAGCCTCGAGTCTCTGATGGCCAATTCCCACTCTTTGTGCTTTTTCACGGAAGCTGTTTTTGTGTTGCGGTTGTGCCTCCAAGTCATTGGCGTTTCAAGCCAGCCTCTTCAGCTGTAGGCGCTCGACTGGTTCTTTTACTTTGTTTTGTCTATTGCATCGAACATGCAGTTTGTTGACTTTTGGCGGCAGTCCAACAAGCAGAGTTTGGAAACCAAAGTAAGGTCTTCTGCGTCGGTTCGAGAATATCCTCGTTTGGTGAATCAAATTGAAGAGTAAGGCGATTCTATAACGGCGCAAGTGTCGTACGCAATCGTATTTTGTTAGAGTATGTCTTTGTTTTGTGTTCGAGGTTTGGCACGCTATGTTTCCGCTTGGGATGTCTCTCCTGGTGGCCCACTAGCGTGGACAGCCCTTGACGATAGTGCATGTCTTCAAATGCAGCCAACATTCACCAGCAATATTAAGTACTATCCAAATTCTTCGAGTGCAATGGTCTGTGGACTGCTCTTCTAGCACACACAAATTTACTCCGGTTGAAAGAAACAACATACTATATTTAGTCAAGTAATCTAGGGAAATAAAAATGTTGGTACTATCCATTGAGCACTACTCTCGACCACCTCATCCACTTCTATCACCTGAAAAGTCTATTGACATTGAAAAAGTCTAGAGTATTCCAGATTTCATTTGAGAAAACTCCATGTCCATCCACAGCCAATAGCATCATCACTGCCTGGCGTGCCCAAAGTTCATCGTCATCAGAATCATCTGTGAACCCGTCCTCCTCTTGAGTTTGAGCTTTATCTCCCTCCACTTGAGCCGTTCTATCTTCGACTTTGGCTTACTCCTCTTGAATTTGGGCTTCCTCTTCAATTTGAGCTTCCTCCTCTAGCACTTAGACATCCTCCCCTTCAATTCGAGCTTCCTCCTCTTCACCTTGGGCTTCGACCACTTCCCCGACTGGAGTCCCATCCAGATTGATTCCTCTGTCCCGCAAAAGACTTGTCTCCTTGATTCGCAATGCCTCATTGGCAGGGACCCTAGCCTTGTTAGTTTTATTTCTCATTGATTATCATTGAAGGTCAACCCACTTAGACTTCCGCTTGACTGCCTCGGCCCTATAGTCTGCAATGCTCTTGAGATTGAGCTTTTCTTTCTTGATCCACGCGTCCCACCCATTGACCACCGCTTTCAGGTCTGCAGCCGTGACCCCGAGACGCTTTTGGGCATCCCCACTTCGTCCAGTAAAGATGCGAATTTCCATCATTTGGGCGGCAATTGTATCAAGCAACGAAGCAAAATGATCTTGTTCCTCAACCAATCCTCTCGCACACAAGCCTTCGAATTTCTGCTTTATCTCTTGAGCGGGCAACCTCTTGAGACCAAATTTTGAATAGCGTGCACTTAGCGCGGATCCAATGGCCATTGAGATCAATTCAGGCTCGCGATTGAACATCATCTTACAGGAGATGATGTTGCGAAGAGCATAAAGTAAGCTTCGCTCATGTTTGTTCCGTCGCCTGCACTTGAGGGCCCCTCTCCTAATGGCAAGAAATCCGAAGGGTAGACATTTGGGCCATAGAGATCTCTTATGCGGGGCAGAAACGCCAATTCGGGACTTGAGGTACTTCGAATTGATTGGGCTTCCAATTGGGTGGTGTGAGGACTGCAAATGTAGCCTCTTCCATTGTCACTTGGGTTTTGAGCTGCAGAAGGTTGAGCGATTGGGGTTTGTTGACCGGAGGTGTGCTGGTCGATTGAGGACTGTCGACCGAATGAGAATGGTCGACCGCTTGTGGATGTTCGAGTGCTTGAGAGTGGTTGAATGCTTGAGGATTGTTGACCGATTGGGATTTGTTGATCTATTGGGGTGTGTCGATCTATTGGGGTGTGTCCCATTGAAATGAGTTCGATTGAGGCGTCAGTGTCATCGTCAGAGTCATCGATGACAAGGTACTTTCGCTTGGGAGGCATTTTGGAGATGGTATTATAAAAAAGTCGATCTTGTGGTTGTAATGTTGTTGTTGTTGAGGATATTATGGTGCGCGATGTTTTGTTTGGCGAAGTGCCAAGACCTACCTATTTGTGTATCCTCTAAGTCGGAGACGGTATCTTCAAAGCCCTGGTTTCTGGAATTTTCCTCTCATGTAGTATATATAGTAGTTCATTCAGGGGTACCGCAATCTCTTCATCCTTACCCGCTAGATCTTTGTACATCAATTTTCGGCTTGAATTCTCGATAATTTCCGTCATTGACTGGAGGTATTTTAAAAGTCGGCTGCTGGCCCAGCTTTTGAACTTGACTCGATCCCGAATTCGCTTTCTTTTCAAAAAGCTAGCAAAGATACGCTTGTAGCTCTCTTTCTACTTCTTCAAGGCCGTATAATCTGTAAGAGAGACAAATATAGCCATTATCATAGAAATACTATCAATCCAGTAGTCTTGGTTTCCTTTTACTCACACTCCTACCTGATTACCGCAGACATCTCGGCGTATATTCCAGAAGAGAAAGGCTAGATGACCAAAAAGAAATAGAGGATAGCTGGCATGAGATTTGGCTCAATAAATGATTGAAAAGGGAAAGCTGGGGAGCAGCAAAGTCAGCCCAGTCTGAATGGTAACAACTATCTTCTTCGCTTCAATTGCTTTCTCTTTCCCCTCCACCGCCTACTGTTGGAATAATTCTGTGGAGATAGAGTAGCATTTTGATTCACTCAGAAATCATTGACTCTATTCTTTCCAAGAAATGTTACGCATGGAATCCTGTGTCCGTCGCAGTGAGATATCCGGGTGGAGCTTCTGCTGCATTTTGCGCAAGTCAGTAAGAGTTATTTAAAAGGCTTGTGCAATGGATGTGACCCGCCCTCCTACTGACCCTTTCAGACGAATGAAAGATCCAATATATTCCGATTGGATGCAGTGTGTGACGGATATGTGAATAAGTAGGTCAAATGGCCTTGATGGACAAACATGTTTCTTCTAATCAATTGACACAGTATTACATATTTCGTCAATCACGTTGACGAAATACGCGCAAATCCTCTACTATTTTCAGTAAATTAGGACTTTTCCTAGGCCACAACTAAGAGAATGTTTTCGTAAACCTTCTTACCTTTTCCGCTATATAAACACCTACACTTGCCCTATCCCATGTCTTCTTTTCGTCCAAATTAATTTCAAACAGAGCGCTACTCGAGGTGTGACTTACTCACGACACTTGAAGAAATAGACAATTATTTCATCTACTCGATAATCGCGAAACTAGTGATTTTCTCAAACAGACTGACGAAATGTCCAATTCAGATCATTATCCATCGGTCGTTGAAAATTGCAACATCGGGTGATCCCGGACGCTTAACGAATTTAAAACCAATAGCATATATAATCAGAACATGATGCGTCACGGATTAAAGGTTTGTGTACAGACTTTATCCCAAATAAATTTGTGTAGGACTTCGCTATATGACTTTACATTCGATCAGAAACCCGAGCATTGTAAAGCATTAAAGTTTTTCATCAAAATGAAATGATCATCCAATTTCAAATTGAGTTGGGACGTCAAATTAAGCATGAAACGGAGTGGGGTGCCAATTAGAAGAAGTCGAAAATTTAGTGGCTGGAAATTCAGCCGGCGTCAAATTAGTAAATCCACATTACAACGACATGACAAGAATTGGGATTGTAATATCGCAATTTCTTTGATATGGCTAACTACATTGGAGCAAAAGTCTTGTTGCCCTACTTTCGCTTGACAGGCAATCTTGCCACAAGCGACATGTAACTGAGGACATTAGTTCCGATAAGAAAGACATCAGCCTAATAAGAAAGGCATCAGCCCAAGAATAAGGACATCATCCCAGAATAAGGACATTAGTCCAGATAAAAAGGACATTAGTCTAGATAAAAAGGACATTAGTCTAGATAAAAAGGACATTAGCCCAGATAAAAAGACGATGAAGTCTAAAGGACATCAGGCCAAATGAGGACATCTAGTCCAACTAAAAGACGATAAGTCAAAAGGCCATTAGGCCAAGTAGGGACATCGAGTCCGAAACCGAAAAGCAACCTGTGCTAAATGGTAATCGCCCTTATGCATCGAGCATATTCAACTTTTGATCACTTCATACCAACCTGCCGCCAAACCCAAACACCACCAAGCCTGACAATACCCGCCCCATATTCTCAATCCTCAACCAACCCGACCCAAGGTTCGAGATTTGGCGGATTGATCGCTCGAACTACAAGGTCGCGAATGACCTGTAGTTGAGGTTGATAGTTGTTTGATCGTGTGGCCCATTGGGCGAGGGTCAACTGAGGTGGAAGTGGTGGAAGTTGGTGCGCCATTTTGATGTGATGGGTGTGGTGATTGTGTGATGATTGTGTGATTGTGATGACGGTTGTTGTTTCGCGAAGGGAGAAGTAAATTTTGCAAAGGTGAAATTGTGCGGCCATTAAGCGAGACAACAGCGACGACGGTTAGTAACCATGGCAATCTGCACTGTTTACTTAGGTACGTAGCGTTGCAATATCGACGAGTGTTGGATGTCAAGCTGGTTGCGTCAAGCTGGCTATATCAAGACCTCTATCAAAAGCAGCCAACTTCCAGAAAAATTGCCTACCCAAATTCAAGAATTTGAGGGAAGGTAAACAAACAGTGTACTTGAATTTCCAACATGACACCTCACTAAGAAGCAGGGCTAGCCTAACTTTATTCGAAGGAACGCATGAAACTATTTCTAATTCTTGCCCGCCTTTGCAAATGAAACGTAAGCTCGTCACTTTCCTGTTTTCGAAGCAAAGTTCGTTGATGGCAATGTGTAAGTAAATCAAAAATTATGTTCTAGTCTAAGAATAGTGTAGACTTACTGTATGTTAAGAGTGTTGGCCTATTGTACTGACTAGACTATGTGACGTCAGGAAAGACAACTCAGTTTGGGTGAGAGAGAAGAGAACTCATGTATATATTTATATTTACAAAAGGATCTTACATCTTCTACACCCGCAAGGCATCGAGCCTAGACACCCAGCCGTGGGTTTCACGTTATGGATTAACCACTACTGGCATTTAAACAAGCCTTGTCATCTAGACAGCATCCCCGTCATCTAGACAGTAATCTCGTCATCAAGACGGTATTCTCATCATCAAGACGGTGTTCTCGTCATCAAGACGGTAATGTCGTCATCTGAGACAGATAGCATCAAGCTATAAATACAGAACAATAAATTACAAAAGACATTACAAAAGAATATAGTTTGTTCAAACATCCTCTTCCCCATCCCTCAAGCTGTCCATATCTGGCTCGGATACCGTCGAAACCGAATCATCGTCGTAAAGACCATGGAATCGGAAGTTCTCGTTCGATGAGTCTGGACCAAGGTCAGGAGTGAATAGACCGACAGTTGTTTGATCGAGAGAGATACGGTTATCAACTAATTGATCAGGAGTGACCAAGTCATTACTTGTTCGATCAGCATTGATGGTATTAATCGCAGGTTAGGGGCATCGAAAGATTGCATGACTCCCTTGTTTGATCTAATTGATCTCAGGCTGGGAATCTCTGGATCTGGCAAATCTCCCACGTCAGAACGGGAACCATCATCCCACAAAGGCGAAGGAAGTTGATCGGTGTATGTTGGTTCGAGATAGAGATGTCCTACCCATCCTTCAAGAACAGGACTCCGATAGCGAAATCGTGGTTCTACCTGCCAGTCACGGAAATCCCATGCGTTTGATGCGATGGTGCTCTGGCTGTCCGATGAATCTGGCGATGGCATGTCAAGACAGTCAGAGAATGAATCGTCGGTTTCGATTTCGGAATCCTCAGAGCAAGTGTTTTGATCCGATGCTGCAACTCCGGACACGTGTCCGGTCAATGACAGAGAAGAATTGATCTGGTTGTTGGCAAGGTCTGCTGGTATCCAGACTTCTTCGAAAGGTTTGATGTTGCCAGTGCCTTGAAAAGTTGTTAGCGAGATGTTTACAACAAGATAAAGACATAAGATCACAATAGATCTCCCAGACAGCCTTTTCCGCAACCCATCTCTGCCGCATGGTTGGGAATATTGAAAAGAACGATAGTGCTTGGTTGAGAGATTGCAAAATCTCAAGTTGATCTGCCGGAAATCTCATTTCCCTGTTGGATCCCGCGCGTGCCAACATTTCTGGTAGCTGGGAAATAAACTGATATCGCACGCGTGGCATATTAGATCTGGTGTTTGAATTTGAATTGTTCATTTTGATAGCTTGATATGTGTATTTGTGGTGATGAAATTGAAGTGAGGGAGAATGCACATCAGTTTGTTTTGATAGATCGAACTCACGTGGGAGATTTCCAAGGTAGGTGTCGACACTATCACTCAACGTAGCGAAATCTTCATACCGACAGCGTCAAATAGTTCTTCAACAATGGTCTCAAGCGCCTGTTTGTCTCGCCCACGCACAACTCTCATCGTACTAAGTTTGCATGTGGCGTCCATCGACATTCAACTTTCATCAAAGGACTCCCGATTGATTCCCTTCTGCGACTAGAAAAATGACCAACCTGCATCCGTACGCTCATAGCAATCTGTGGCTAGAAAGTCTCCAGTCAGACCCGAATCAGTTGAACTGTCTAGATATACATTTTTCTTTTTGCATATATTTTGAATAAAAACTAACGCCAACGTGTAGAAATCCGTAAAGCCGAAATCTCAACGCAAGGTCTTTTTCACAACCTGTATCAAACAACTACAAACCCCAACTGGATTTCCGGATACTTTCTGATATATGTAGTAAAAAGCATTGCTTCTGTGGCCTATACTTTTCGGGTCAGCGACTGTGTTCGTGGTGATTGACTGATAATGGTCCCGCTGCAGTCGTAGTGTCATGACTACGCACACCATTTCAGCTCGAGAAGAGTCGCAAAAGCGGGCCTGAGGGAGTTGAATTGAACATAAGGTACATGCGAGAAACAACGATACTTACTTCCACTGTGTATTCAGGTGAGAACAGCCCGAGATATAAGAACATGTGGCAATTCATTAAGCTCGATATTTATCTATACCTTTAATCTATATCTACCAAACTCTCCCAAACGCCCTCAACTCCCTTAAGATCAATCATCATGCCTTAAACGAGAACTTGCTCTTCGCTCTAATCCTGCTCCCATAAACATAAAACAGCAACGGTCCGGGTATAAACGCAACGGCGAGGAAAGCAAGCAAGGAGGTAGCCCAGGGGACGCCGAGACGGTCGTAGAGCTGGAAACCGAAGAGGGGAAAGGCGGCGCCGAAGACGTTGCGGAGCCTGATATGTTAGCGATGAAGAGAAACAGATAGAACACTTACATTGTGTTGGCTGCAATGCCGCTGTTCGCATTCAGGCGGTAGACGTCGACGATGTAATTCAGTCCTTGTAAGAAAATCATGAGGATCCCACAACCGGTCACGACGCCACTGATTATCTGTGGTGCTGGATTCAGATTCGGACTGCTCGTCCACGCAAACCAAAACAATCCAATAGGCAGAATGAAAGAACCAATAATCATTGTCGGAAGTCTAGTCTCTGGTGTGATCAATTCAGGCGACCGCGCGAAGAGAGGTTGGAACCGGAGTTTGACGTCGAGAATGATGACAATCGCGCCGACAAAGACACCGAGGGTCATGGACAGGAACGGAAGCGCACCGACTCCAGGCGACCAGTGACGTTCCAGTTGGAAGGAATACGGGATCGATGTCAGGAAAAGGTAGAGTAACTGGATTATTAGCCAAGCAAGTAAACTGGATGAACACTTACACCCCAGACCAGCGACATGTAGATAGAAAGAAGGAGGAGAATCGGCTCTTGAACCATCATATCTACGAACATTAGAACAGCAACACCTCAAACGGCATACCTACTTATCGGTCTAAGCAAATATCTAGTCAAGACATCCTTAAAGGTAACCTCCGATTCGTCAATCTACAAACGTCAGCAAATTCGCGAATCCACAAGCATCACATACCTTGGCACGTAAAGCCCAATTCTTGGTTTCATGTCTCAATTTCTTGGCTCTTCTCTGCAGAAGTGTGGCAGCATAAGTCTCCGGTATTCCGATAAATCCCAGGATTCCGAAGAAGATGGCGAGAATAAAGGTTACTGCAGAAGTCAGTAAAATTCCGAAGTGACACAAAATACCTACTCCACTCGACCCATCTCCAACCCAGTCTATCGTCCATGATTATAAACCCTCCGACAACTGGGGAAAGTAGAGGTCCGATAAAGCAACACACAGAAAATACCATCACCGCCAGACCTCTCTCGACTGGACCCCATATATCTGCTAGCGCTCCTCCTGTCACAGCTAGCGGTGCACACGAATTAATTCCCTGGAAGAAACGACCTAGCATTACAGTTTCCGTATTCTGCGCAACGGCGACAGGAATGTTGAAGATGGTAAAGAGAGCATAGCCGGTGAATAGTGGAATTGTTCTGCCGTAGAGTTCTGAAAATGGTCCCCAGAGAGTCGGTCCAATTGCCCAGCCCTATAAATGTCAATTGAGCCATTAATCTCGACCAATTACTTACCAATACGTATAAACTAGTACCCAGAGTTGCGACCTCTTGCGAAATGTCGAATTCACGTTCTGTCGGTACCAAAGCTGTACTGAAAACGCTGCTCGCAAATGTCACCACAAATGTCAATCCCGACAAGCACATCGTAATCTAATTGACCGTCAGTACTGTCAATAATCAATTGAACAATACTCACCCTCCATCTCTTCCCCGCACTCCAATTATACGGATTCTCCATATCATTGTCGTCCCAAACCACGATATCATCCTCATAGGTGCGTGCCGCTCCCTCCACCGCCAATTCCCCCACCACATCCCCATCTACCTTCTCCCCACGCTCTTCCGATTGATTCTTTGTTTCTTGCGACGACACCTCCATGTGCTCGTCATCCCTCGTGCTGGTACTGTGCGACATGATTCAAGAGAAGAAAAGACGCCACCTCTGCACAGGAAGAAGCAACATCTGAGATAAAAAGGAATTGGATCGTGGTGAGACGAGCCCGGACGTAACCAACGGGTTATTATCCCGGTTGAATTGCGTGACCTTCAGAGCGGACGACTTTCCTGGACGGGGTACCGACTCGACCCAATCCTTGGAATCGTGTGGATGTGCGTGCAACTGCCAGGTGTCAATGGCCAATTGTGTGGTGGCGGTTGAAGACGATGCAGATAATTGTGTTGGTGGTCGCCGAGCGGTCAGAGGTGAGTTGTTCCAACAACGAGGTTACATCCCGAGGTGTTGGAGTTTGTTGGCGTTACCCCAGATTTTCACACGCGGGCCGTAGCGGTAGAGGCAATCTGCCGTTGTCAGTGCCAATTGCTTCGTATTGTGCGGGATGGCTTACATTGAAGCGGGTGGCTGTTGGTTGATGCAGATGATTACTTGGTATTGCGCGAAGAAGTTGGTTCATGGTAGATATTGTGATGACAATACTAGTCTATACAATAGCCGACAAAACTTGGAAGCTCCACCACATAACGATTCAAATGATAAGTAAACGGGGAAACAATAGAATGATCTCGTCTACGTGTAGAATATAGAATCTTCTTGACGTCAATTATACGATTGGACCAGATCCAGCCCACATGCGGGAACCAACGCTCTGCAATGGTTGAAGGAAAAAAAGGCGACAAATATATTATAATTATTTCCAGCATTGCATTACACTCAATCCATAAAACTTCTACACCCGAGTTGGGTATCATAAGGTCTCCTTCTAATGTAAATTAACAAGTAATCAGGTCATTTCTCATCAATCATATATAACTGCGCAAAACAAGAACTCATCAAAGAGTAACAAACACAGCTCCAACAGCCAACAGTCCAAGTAAGGCAAAGTCAACATTGAACGACCAAGAGCTTCCCACTGCAGAAACAGAAACAGTACTTGCTGGTGGCGCAACTAGAGACGCTGTAGGAATTCGATCCGAAGGTATTGGAATTGTCGTTGTGACTACGCTACTAGTAGCGGTCGATGTCGTATTCCACCCCTGGAGCTGCGCTGTAATAGTCGATGACCCCGACCCAATTACAACTCCGACCGTTCCAACTGCATTTATCGAATTTGTTGTATTTGTTGCATTTCCGGATATATAGGGAGGAAGACTCGTGTGTGGTTGAAAAGCGATCGTTGCAGTTGGTGCTGACGAATTTAGCGTACCGGAATTCAGATAAGGGAGTGTCGGAATCATTTCATCCACACCATCATCGCTTGGAGTTACATCGCTTGTAGGTACATCGCCGGGAGATATCTCGCTTGGAAGACTCGAATCATCAGGGAGAGGAGCGGTAAGTTTTGGTGAGGCGGAGGAGTTACTAGGACTTTCTATAACTGATGGTGGGTATTTCATGGGCGCGGACTCTTCATCGAAAGGTCGATCCTCCACAATATCGCTTGAAGGTAAATCGGTTTGGAAGCTCGAGATTTGAGAAATGGAGTCCACAGGTGTCGATGAAGTTGATTCGAGGTCGCTATCTGTAAATGATGGTAAATATTTCGTCGCAGAATCTCCATCGAAAGGTCTATCCTCCACAATATCACTTGGAGGTAAATAGTTTGGGAAGCTCGAGCTTTGGGGAATGGGCGTGGGCGATGATGAGGTTGATTCCGCGTCGTCCTCTGTAACTGATGGTAAATATTTCATCGGCGCAGGACTTTCGTGGTCTTCATCCCCACTCGGCGCACTGAGCGACACACCCTTCGAAGTCCATACGTTGTGAAATGTATTCGATTCCGCTTCTGTCACCGAAAACGCTGCAAATGTTAGTCGAAGGTAACTACATTGCCGTTTGACTTACCTCCACTGCATGTCTTTGACGGATCAGGCCCAGCACAGAATACGCAGACCCTATCACTTTGGAAACATCAGCGACGCACAAATTGAAGATCTCTGCCCATTCTTACCCTTCCTCTTCAATCATTTTGGGCGAGTAATCTACCCCAGAGGTAACACCGTCAAACTCCACCCGGGACACTGCACAAGTCAGCTCTGGCAGTAACACAACTCAAGGTACTTACTTGACGATATTCCATCCTCATTAAGCTCACTAGATGTGCAATTCAAGTGCACCGTTGTAACCGCAAGTCGTGGTTTCCATTCGACTATAACCTGATCTCCATCACTGAACGTATATACCTCTCCCGGAGTTGGAAAAATGAATTTGAACGGCGCCGGCGGCGTAGCTTTGGCTTCTGAAGGTGAAATAAAATATGGAATTGCAAGAAAGAAGATTTTGAATAAGACAATCATGATTGCAAGAAATATTAAACATGAAACAGCATTGAAACGAAAGGAGAAAGATTTGAAGAAAACCCACAGGATCGAGAAACAAATGAATTGAGGGATTCCATCAATATATGTTCTTGGCCTGTAAATCTAGTTGATAATATGACCGCAATGCTAATTGATCCTGTTGGAATAAAGCCGCGGCTGACGTCTTCTGAGAACTTCCCGGACGTCTCGGTCAGCCGAATGATGCGTCTCATTGTCTCGTGGTCAAAATCAATAATAGCTGCTGCCATTAAAATCATCAGGGATATCGTCGCTTCTGATTCTCGCTGTTCGCCGTCGATTGGTGAGATGGTGGCTATGGTGGCCTGAAACCCAGGCGAGAGTTGGTAGCAAGCACCTACCTCTTCTGTACAAATCGTCTTATCTCAAGGACTGCAATCCCTCGCGTTGAAAAACTCTCGTTCATGCCGAATGAATCGGTACCTCGGTTGGTAATGTGTTTTGGTGGTGATTTGCAATGCTGATGTATTTTGCTCCAGGTCGTTGTTGATGGATTCGATGCGCAGTCAGTGTTCAAGATTTGTTTAGGGCGAAAGCCGCGGCCCGTTGCAACGCTAGTGGTCCCCGACGTGCCCATCCAACGGCCCGCATCAACCGACTCCCAAGCTTCATTGCATCCAGCCAGCCTTACACACAATCGTCATTCAACTCAAATGGCTCCAATTCCACCACAACACACTCCTCGAATTGTCATATACTATCAAACTCAACATAATCCAGATGGCACACCATGCTCAATTCTTCCCATCATAACACAACCCAACATATCGGTCACGCATGTCAATGTCGCCGCAATCCATCTGAACGATCCTCCAGGCAACATAACCCTGGTTCGTGAGCATCTGGTCCCTTCCTCCAGCTTGAAACTGAATGCTCGCAGAATGATCACGCACCAAGTGACCCAAGATATGTTACAACATGGGCAGAACTTCGGGTACTCCAAGCTTCTGGAATCAAGGTTCTGGGAATGCTCGGGGGTGCCGGCAAAGGATCCTTCACAAGACTTGACCTGGATGAGTCTACATTCGAATTATACTATTGCCCACTGCGGGATCTTGTGCGAGAAAGAGGGCTCGATGGGTTGGATTTGGACGTGGAAGAACCGATGACTCTCGCGGGTATCATACGATTGATTGATCGATTAAAGAGCGATTTTGGACCCGAATTTATCATCACACTGGCACCCGTGGCTCCAGCACTGATGTCGGACAACCCAAGGCATAATCTGAGTGGTTTTAACTACGAGGCGTTGGAGGTCATGAGGGGTAGAGATATCGCATGGTACAATACTCAATTCTACTGTGGCTGGGGTGATTTGAGCAAGACAGACGGCTTCGACTTTATAGTCTCCAGAGGATACGCTTCAGAGAAGATTGTTATTGGAATGGTTACAAATCCAGGCAATGGCAGTGGCTGGGTTCCGTTTGAGATCTTGCAAGAAGTGTTAATCACTTTGAAGAACAGATATCCGGGTTTTGGTGGAGTTATGGGTTGGGAATATTTCAACTCCCTGCCAGGAGACAGAGACCGACCGTGGGAATGGGCTGCTTTCATGACAAGAAATGTCAGGCATATTCTACCAGGCTCCGTAGTACCAGGAACGTCAGTGCCAATGACGAATCCAACTGGTGATTCCATTACGCAAAACCCATTTCTGGTGGATATTGGCAGCAGTTCCAAAACCGAAGCACCGGTTCCTAAATCGTTCGACTACTACTCTGACGGGAGTATCGAGGGATGAATCAATCAAGACTGCTTCATGTAGATGTTCAATTGAGGCTATCGCTATGTTCGCTATCATTCATTCTGATCGTCGCCTACTCAGTAGCAAGCTTCACAATCAGCTTCTTTCCGTCGCTCTTACGAGTCTTGAAAGCATCCAATCCTTTCAACACTTCTTCAACTCCAACATCTCCAACTTGTTCATATCCCATCGGCTTGATAGCGCCACTAGCAATCAATGTTTCTAATTTCGGAATAAAGCTCTCGATATCACCATTCACACTTTCAGTGTTGGTATTTCCGGACTTTCCTATCTCACCCAACTCTACTATGTACACATCAATGCCTTCTCTTGGTGTGACTGGCGCCCTATTCTGACTGTTAGCTAACAAGCTTGAGTAATCACGACACTTATATTACCAATCATTGGTTGTTGCGAAATATTTCGGTTTGTTCTTTTCTCCCAATTCGGCCAGTGCTTGCATAGAGAATTCGCCTGCCATGGCACTCGCGTCGAAAATACGAGAGAAGTTGCTTTTGGTAATTGACTCTACACCTTTGAGTTGCTCCTCTGGTGGATCCTTGTGGCTTAGAACCGAGTCAGCGCCCAGCTTCTTGATGAGCTATGAACTCCGTTAGTGCGGAGCAATCATCTAGACGTTGCTATTCTTACTTCATTGTTCTGCGGAGAGCAAAATGCTAAAACCTTGTAGCCACATAGTTTCGCAAGCTGTATTTGTTAGGCTATTTCCATCACGAGGACGCCAGTGGTTACTCTACCTGGATGGCAAATTGTCCGACAGCTCCAGCAGCTCCGAGGATGAGTACCCACTCGACACTGCTATTTACCTCTCTCGGCTCAAAGGGTATCTTAAGTCCACTAAAGAATGCTAGAGATGCTGTCTTCGTGTTCATATATCAGCGGAAATCCTAGAAAGTGACTCCAACAACTCACCAACAATCCGACACCAATCGTTGCCGCTTCCTCGGGGATTACATTGGCTGGTCTCTTGAATGCAAGTGCTTCGTCCAGGAGCAACTTTTCTCGTCAGCCGCTCGTCTCTGGGGGTTCCCATCAATACCCACGTATTCTTGAAATGTGCCACGACCCGGGGCACCAAGTCTGCTGCAAGAAAATGCACCATCTCCTTTCTTAAATTTGGTCACTTCATCTCCGACTTCTACCACTGTTCCTGATGCGTCACAGCCGACAACGATGGGCCATGAGTCCACCAACAAACCTTGGTATTGGAATCCTTCTCTGTCAAATGTTAGTCTTGGGTCTATTGGCAAGAATGTAGTTTCCAAGAGTAAGACTTACACTGGATTCAACCCCGTCACAAGAGATTTGACGAGCACTTGTTTTTTCCCTGGAACAGGTTTTTCGATTGTTTCGATAAGTGAGTACTCGCCGCCCGGTTTGTCTAGCGATATTCCCTTCATTTTGACCTTGCCGATGCTTTTTCCTAGATCTTTCACGATGATTGAGAAATTTCTCGGAGTGGACAGCCCAACACTTATACTTGTGCCTTTCTCTTGTTCATTTACCAACACGTGCGTATCATGTTAACAGCGACTTGGAAACGTACATATGACTTCTCTCAGCCCCTTCACAAAATCAATCAACGAAGCATTTTCCCCGCAGATCGGTGCGAATCAAGTTGCGTTTTTGAAGCCTTACTGCCAGGAACGGTAGCGCCACAAAAGCCAATCTATTGCTCCTTTCAAGCGTCCAATGAAAACTGAAATTCGGTTCCAATGCCGCGAATCATTTTCAAGAATCAATGGTTTGGCTGTTGTCTTACTATCTCTCGGTACAACATTATCGGCGTTGGCTTTCCATGCGCAGATTCATGCAAATCGTCACTGTTTCTGCCTTGGAAAAGCGAGTATGAGTGTAACGGGCAGCTCTTTTCTAGGTCGTCTAGCGATGGCCATATCTCGTGCGAATGAAATATTTCCATGTCTCGTTCAATTCATAAAGTCTAGATTTGGGCAGACACAATGCCAAGATTCTATCGTGCATGACTACTTACCAGGCTGCCGGAAGAACATTCGACTTTGCTTACTTTATATTCTGTTGCTAGCCTTGCAGGCAGGGCTGCTACCTTCTACCTCTCTATCCTTCTGCAACAAATCATTACCAGTCGCTCAGAAGAGCAACTATGATCACTGCATCTAGTTACTGCTCTTATTTCTCTCAAGGTGCCACGAAATCTGGGGCAGTGACATCCTTCGAGTGTACCCAAAACCCATCCCCATGATTTACTTTAAAGAGAACTTCATGAATAGGACAACAGTTTTAAAAGCACACGATGGAAGGACTTAGGGCAGTTGCATAAGAACCTGATGCATCGAACGGTGAGAGGTATCTAATCCACATATTTCCTACCTGTCCCAACGATTAAGAAAATCTTTTCTGCTTTGTCTGCGCTAGGAATTCAGTAGCACCACGTACTTGACGTATCAATGACTACCAACTGATGATTCGAACGATGATGAAGGATTCTTCTGACGTTGATGCTGGCTGAAGCACGTGACTGTTCTCGCTATGAGAAGACTCACGTGGGGAACATATTTCCAAATCAACCTTCGAAGTCACCTTCATACTCAATAAGCATCCTAGAAACCTTCTGATTGACATTCAAACGCCATAAATCCGCCGTGCTGGTATCGAGCGTCGCCCAGTTCACCGCTACACAACTCGCTTCTCGCGTTTCGACATGTCAGTACAGTCAGCATCAAGTGGCTCAAACGACCTCAGCTGCCATATCGCAACAACGGCGACCTCTGATTCTTCCTCTCGGTTGATGTGGAGATTGACGGAGGTACCGATGCACCTGATTATACCGTACATATACCTCTGACCGGCCCGAAGTCGATTGGACAGAATTTCGGTTGAGTACAATACTTGTGGCGCAGCAAACATACATCGCCAAGAGTTCGAGCAACTTTCCAGCAAACACAGAAGGCCCGTTTGATATCCCATGCTTGAGGCGTTTGCCAAGAGCTGAGAGTCGATTGGAACGTTTAATTTCAACAACATCTACCAATTGAACACTTGTTCGACATGAGTTACCTAAGATTCAGGGGTTTTCAAGAATGCGATACATAGGGCTGGGTAGGCGAGGTGCCCGGCCCCGTTCATATTCGCCGAATAGCTTCATTGTCGAGTTTGTGACATGGCGGAGTACTGGATTATGGCTGTAATTGGTATCTCGACGTTGTTCACGGATTCGGCCGTCAATTTTCATCGGTGTCATGCAATTTCTTCGCCATTTGCAGTAAATGCCGGTGAGGATACTGTTCGATCCAATGATTGGTTCGTCAATGTCTAACAAAGTCTTCTTAGAATTTGATTACTTCGATATATATACTAAGAGAAGTCCAGTGTTAGTTCTATCTCATCATCATTGCATCTTTCTTAGTTTCAATCACATATTTCTTTCGCATAACATCTCGGAGCAAGACCTTCATTCATTAGATCTCCTTGATAAAATCTTTCATAATTTTTAAAATGCATTTCAGTCGCTTTTCCATCCTCTCCCTCGCTCTATCTCCCCTAGCATTGGCAGCTGTCATTCCAGAAATAATTTCCAGGGGAGAAAACAGGATCGAAGACAACCGCGACGAAGCTGTCTTCCTCGTAAGCTGCACGATCTATGTAACCGGCAACGATGCATCTGGAAACAGCAACAGCGACAAGCTATTCTACTATAAAGACTACGCAAAGCATTTGAACAACGGCAAACCAGATGACGAAGATTACCCTGTTGGCCCTGGCGACAAAAGTAGACGGATTGATTGGAAGGATGGTACACAGGAGAAACCTATCCACGGCGAACTCAACGGTCTCAAATTCACAACCTGGGGTCTTGCAGAAAAAGGAGACTCCGTCACCAATGTCACCGGCTTTGCAGATCTAGGTGGTGCCAGGATGAGATGTTATTCCAACCCAAACGCAAATTGGAAGCAGGAACTCTACAGCGGAAAGATGTACAACAAATGCTACGCAAATTATTACTGCACCCGAAACGAGCGTATCATCCGCCGCACAGTCTACGATATCAGTGATACAGTCGCCAACGTCGAATTCACAAGCAAAGAAACCCCTGAAGGCATCCCTGGCTTGGAAACCCAACACACTCTCGCCACACTCCTCAACCAGCTCAAAGACCACGAGAAGAATAACATCGACGACGCGCACGAGTACAAAATCGGTAACGACCGATCGGGAACCCAAATGACCTTCTCCGTCGACCGCAAAGAACGTGCAGGCGATCCTTACTACGAAGAAGACCGCATCAACCAAGTTGCAGACATGCTTACCAAAGAACTCATGCCCATTCTCTGGAGCAAACAAAAGGAAAGCGGTTGCAAGGCCTGGCCGGTGGGACGTAATCAAGTTGAGGGGACTTGTCAACACACGGTGCCGTTCCCGAAGCAGATTACAGTGAGGGTGCAAACGGCGGCGCAATCGGTGTTGGATTGGGATGATAGGGATACGGTTATTATTGCGATCAAGCACACATCTTCCAAGTCTTGCTTTGCGGAGAAGAGTATTTCGGCGTTGTTGACTGCGGCTTTTAGTGCTGCTTCGGCTGTTGCTACGGGCGGCGCGAGTGCGGCTGCGAGTGGTCTGGGTGTTGTGGTTGGGAAGGCGGTTGCTGGATCTTGTGGGACGTAGAGCCCAAAGAGATCGGAGAAATTGGTGTTGTATTGAGCTTATTTCATGACTTACGGGTACTCTGAGAGTAGACTTCCTCAGGTTTGGGGTTCAGACCATTTGTATATTCAGTTGGCATTTCTGGGGATTTGAAGCATAGTTTGCGAGAAAGTTGGTTTAGGAATTTGAACTTTGTTGCAAATTTGTATATATGATTCATTCTCAATTCTTCTGACGTTGCAATTGTCTCACAAAAGGAGCACGGTTGATAATTACTAGCTCACATGTACAGTCGGAAACTCTCAGCGACCTGAATTTACGATTTTGAGTAGTCAGAGTGGAAAGCAAGATATTAAAACTAGCAATCTATAATCATACATGGCAATTTCTCCACCCATCTTTATTGTCCTGTAATATAAACATCATCTACATTTCAGGCATTTGAATGGCTCTTGGGTTCCACATCACCAGTAGAAACAACGGGCCACTCATCTGGTCGTAACCAGAACTTATCTGCGGTGCCTCTGATGTCGCACGGATCAAAGAATGTAACCCAAGAAGCTCTACCATCCACCCATCCAGGTCCATTCCTAATTACCAAGTCCTTACCAAGATAATATGTCGATTTTCGAGGCAAGAACATAGCAGGATGTATAAAATTAAGCCAATAAGTGTAGACGACCATGGGAGCTGCTTCAAAGACGTAAAGGTACCATTCCTTGAGTATGACCGTTCGACAGAGCGCACCACAAGTCCCAGTCTTAACAATATCTGCTGTTGCAAATTTCTCGATACCGCGGAATATACAACGAAGTAACACTAAGGTTGAAGTACCGTAAAGCATGATGCACACGTTGCGTACATTTCGTATGTTCATATTCGATTTCACACATCGATAGTGAAGTTGTGCTATCATAGCCACAAATACCAGCTCCACAGCAGCTTGCATAGTGGTTCCGATAGCAACAAGAACCGCACCGCTTTTCAGCAAAGCCTGGTTCTCACCCGCAGCACCCATCCGTGCAGCTCCAGCGACGGTGAGGCCTTCCACTGCTGCGCCAACATAGACGAAGAATATGACAATCCGTGTAGGATTGATAGCAGCGTGCATCGGTACATAGCGCATGAGTCTTCCGAGAATGTTGTATTCGGCGGCGGAATAAATTGGTGGGCCAGCCAAGACGAAGACGGTTTGGGCGAGGTAGAGATTTTTGTTGCCTGGGTGGTAGGAGGATAGACAGCGGAGGATCCAGCCGGTCATGTAGACGAGACCACCCCAGAACATGAAAAATGTTACTCGCCAGTAGTGGTAGCGACTGGACACGCTTATTAGTGGTTATTCCTTGAGATGAGGGATTCAAACTGACAAGTTCTGCCAGATGTGTGGTGCTAGTGAGCCTCCAATGAGGACAGCAAAGACAATAGGAAGGACATGACTAGGATTGTAGGGATAGTATGTGGGAATTGGTTGATCCGAACTCATCTTCTTGCGGTAGCCTGATGATGCTTTTCGAGATTCAAAATGTCGTGTTCAGAGATGAAGGTTGTCTGGAATCATGTGAGTTGCTCCTTCCGACACAGAATGGGTGAATATTACAATGGTACCTCGATCACGACACCAGATATATATAAGAGTTTTTCAATAAGTAGAGCGATTGTTTGGATGCCGTATCAGCCTAGCACTTACTGGGAGCGCTGGATAACACCAAAAATGGTAAGTAAGCGACATTTGCTCGTGGTAATGCGGCTGAACAACGCCTAGAGGTACGATCACAAAACGTCAGATCAGTGGAGTCTGTTCTCAATCAATTACTGTTATTCTTACACAGCCATTCGTTGCGGTTTCGCAGAAAGGCAGATCAATGACGCCGGTATGCGCAATTGAGGCACAGCAAAACAAACTGATGGGTGGTTGGTAACATTGGAGAATAGATAGGGCAAATAAATCGACAGCTGCCTTGTTGAGAGATTTACCAAATGGACCTGTCTACTGGGTTGTAATTGGTCTCTTAGGAGGATCGTAGTCGTGATCCGCAGCTGGCAGCTGACGTTGAGGGGGGAGGATGCTAAGCGAGCGCTGCGTATCACCCCTTACGGTTAGACACATCGGGTCCACAACCGGATCTAAGCCTCGTCATGATTGGTTTAATTCAAATTAATGAGAGCTAGATTGAGGAGGACGTAGCATTCATTTTACAACTTTCACTTTCAGAATAAACATTCCTCATACTCATAGGCTCTGTATTAGCGTGTTCTGAAACCCCGATCGACAATCATATATGTCAATTTGTAGGCAATCTTTAGCCATTTGTCATGCCTGGAGTTCCTTCCGGAAGGGGGTGCGAGAATTGTCGTAAAGTCAAGAAAAAGGTACCATACCTACACGAATAGCTCGATTATAAACTCACTAAAGTCTTCCAAGTGCAGTCAAGAGCAGCCCTCTTGTTCCCGATGTATTCGTCTACTTTTGACTTGTATTGGGTCGGGAAAGCAAAGATTTGAGTTTAAAGGGACGCAATTCACCCGACATACGAAAAGCTCCACGAAAAGCTCTCCTACAAGCAATATCACTAAAGGCATGGAATTGACTGTCAATGAAACAAGCGAACAAACCCCCAAAACAGTTATTGATGCCATCACTGCTGCGAGATTATCATGTCTACCAACCAACCGCCTGACTGTGTTGACTGCCTCCCTCGTCCAAACATTCAAGACAGAATTAAAGTATAATCTCATCTGGTCAAATGGTTTGTATCTTCAAGAGGTCCCCAAGCGCCTGGGTTACAACGATGCACTAGATACTTCTGTGTCTGCACTTACGGCGGCTCATTTGGATATTGTTTTGGGAAGGAAAACTTCCGTAAAAGCACTCACTGAATACAGTCGTGCACTGCGAACCCTCAAAAATGTACTAAATGATCCCGTCAAGGCCTGCGCGTCCGAGACTCTTTGCGCCGTCATGTTACTGTTGCTTTGCCAGGTACGGAACCCCGCCAAAATTCCCGACACTACTAACAAATCAGTCCTTTATCGGCGTGAGGGGTGCGGCTTACATGGGTCATGTTGAAGGTGCAGCTCAGATACTGAGAGCTCGCCGATATTACAACCCTGCCGATGACTTTGAGGCCAAATTACTGCTTTCACTACGTGGGCCAGTGGTAGGAAATGTCAATTCAAATTATTACCTCGCTGATTGATATACAGTTATTTATGGGAGTCTTGAGTGACAAAATTCAATTCAGCCGCCGAGAATGGGACACAATTGTCGTTAATGACCTTGACGGATCCACTCCAGAGGGTAAGATGATGTGTTGTCTCGCTCAGCTTCCAGTCATTCGTGAACGAAAAAAGAAGATGCTCAATGGTGGAAATAATGATCCAGACTTGCTTGAAGAAACGAGGACTAATTACCAAAACATGATGGATGTACTGGAAGAGTTTCACAGTCGAAAAGTGGAAATGCAAAAGACGATTGCAGCGGGGACTGTGTCAACACCTTATGGTCGAATAATGGATGCCCACTATCAACGCAGTTATGCTCTTGGATTATCCGTCAGTCTGGTAATAAATTTTGTGGCCTACGCAATTGAACCCGACAATAGCGATCTTCCTCTACAAGCAGAACACTTTGTCAAAGAGATATTAAGTCTTTGCGAAGGAGCAGAGAAGTTCAGGCCTTTAGGAGCGAGCTATATGCTCTTGTGTCTTATGCTTGCTTGGGCGGGAACAGAAGATCATCCCAACAAACACTCGATTGAGATGGAACTCGAAAAGTATCTTCAGGATTTTCCAATGGGATCATTAGCAGAATTGCTACCGAAAATGAAGCTCTATGCGGGATATTTACGCCTATTATCAACTCTCAGCCCTGATTGCTACTAAATTGAGGAATATATGCAATGTCCGATTTATCGAGATTTCAAGGAGTGCTGAAATGTTACTGACACATCTCTTCAATTCTCAAACGAAAGAATACAAAGGACCGCGACACAACCATCCCTGAGAAGCATGTCATTGAAATTTCAAGTCGAGGGTGGGACAACATACATTATATGTCGCGATTTCGAGTTGTTCTTTCGAATCTGCGGTGCATGCAGAATATCGTGGACGTTTTTCTTGTCCCGCGATCGATGATCTTACTTTTGCGTAAGATATATCACACAACACAAAATTCTCAACATAAAGGACATATTTATGAGTACGATTACCCACGATAGTCTTGAGGCTCAACTCATGACACCCGCAGTCACAAATCTTATTTGGTGGAATCCTACCACCATTTTGACGTGTTAAGCGAGGGAACATGATCTCTAGACCACACCTGACTGCGAATCAGGAATGAGGATGACGGATTCATCACTAAACCGAAGCGAGGCACATCTCAATTATATACTCCTTAAGATCATCGAAAACGATTTCCTCTTGAAGAATATTTCGTACCCAGAACTGTTTTGTTTCGAATTCGTCCTTTGCGAATTATTTCCTTTGAACTGTTGTCGCTTTCTTTTGTACGCTCTTTCTATATGTTTTAATAATGCACGCTCACTTTTTCATTTTTATCGTCGCATTAACCAGCCTTGCATCCGCACTCACCGTTGATCGTCGAGGTGCACCAAAATCGTACGCTGCACTGGGCGATAGTTATTCTGCGGGAATTGGAGCAGGAAATTTCACCAGAGGGTCAGCGGATGGACGCGATAACCCTTGCGCTCGTACAAATGGCGCCTATCCTTTTGTGTTAGCCAAATCGTTAGGTCTACTGAGTAATGGGTCTGCTGGCAATCTCAAAGGAGAATGGGAGGACTTCTATTCTTGTGCAGGAGACAGGTTGCATCAACTTGATGCGCAGGTCAAGGATTTGAAGAGTAAAAAAGTGGATTTGATCACTCTTTCCATCAGCGGGAATGATTTTCTATTTGGCGATGTGATAGTATGTGAACTCACTTCATCTCTAGGAAGTAATGCTAATCGAGTTTCTGTCTTAGAGCGCATGTGTATTTCCATACGGATTGAATGACCCAGAATACTATGAACAAGTCTGTAATCAAAAATTGGCTGACTCTACGAACGCGATACAAAATACGACATTCTGGAATAGTTTTCTCACCAAGGTTGACTTGCTGGCTACGAATCACTTAACCAAAGGGGGTAAATTAATCATCACAGGATATCCACGATTTTTCGCACCAGATGCAGTTGAAGGAGATGCCTGCGACGAAACCTATTTCCTCGACAACGCGTTTGGAAGGAAATTGAAGATGACTCTGGAAACCAGAAGAGAGATGAATAAAGGAGTAGAGGAGGTTAATCGACGTATTGAGTCCGACATTGTGGCAAGGCTTATGGTCAAGGGGGTTTCATTCATCGACGTGGATGCTTTATATCAGGGACATCGGTTCTGTGAGCCGGAAAAGAGTGCAAACCCGAAAGGATCAGATCCACAAGATGATACCATTTGGTTCAACGATATCAACACGGAGCTCGAAGAAAAAGCGCACTGGTTCATGCCTCCAGATTTCAAGGAAGAGGATGAGGGAACACCTCAAGACAAGATCGTACAAGAAGCGGATTGCGGAGATATGATCGCGCAGGTGGACGACGTTGTTGGTGACGAGAAGCCCGAGGTGGAGAGTAATGAGCCAGGCGAGTTGATATCAAGTCTTCTCGGGAAATTTCTGCCTAGCGATTGGGAGAAGTATTCTGTTTTCCATCCTAAAAAGGCCGCAAATTTTGCAGTGGCTGAGGCAATTCAGGCGGCGATAATACGTAAGTCATCATTCTCGCGACTTCTATGTATTGGATGATACTAACAAAATTCAGAAGCTCAAATTGACAGACAAGCATTGCTCAGATCCCGAATATCCTTGTGGATTTTCGAACAATCCTGGCACAGACTTACACAACTGCAACAGTCAATTTCATTTGTTTGCGATCTTTACAGCTCTCAAATGGGAAAGATATATGACATGATAACTAGTAACCATCTTCAATTGTTCTGATCCGTTTTTGAATGGAAAATATTTGTATATTCTTTACTTCAATAAATATGTTCCATCAATACATTGAATTCCGCTAGACCATTGAACAAGAAGGTTCGTGGCAATTCTTCTCCGTGAGAGGGGTTCCAAATTCATTAAATGCTTGCTTCCTTATTTTCTGTGTCGCATTCTGATATCAATACCTGTCTGTCTGATGAACCAAGAGTTTTGAACTTTCCATTCCTTTTTAGGGTCAACGAAAGTCATCTGCCCATTCATGTCAGTACAATACGCTTGTGACACCAGTCAAGAATCATACCTCATACTTGAGAAACAAACTAGCAATCAACTTGTAAGTCTCTAACAAGGCCATGGATTTACCAAGACAAGCTCTCTTCCCAGCGCCAAATGTCAGATCATGTCTCTTCATGCTCGCCAAACGTTCCTCATACACATCCGTCGGTTCTCCATCCTCACACAGCCATCGTTCAGGTCTGAAAACCGCCGCGTCTTGCCCGTAAACATTTTTGTCTTGATGGATCACCCACGAGTTCATACCAACCTTAATTCCAGGCGGAATTATCGTGCCGTCCGAAAGTTCTAGGCCACCTTCTGGGACTGTTCGTTCGAGAATGAGAGCCACGCCTGGGTTCATTCGACAACTTTCGCGGATTACTGCTTCGAGATATGGTAATTTAGAGGATTTTGAATAAGCCACAGGAATTGTCAATCCAGCACTGTCGAGCTCTTTTTGCAGTTTTTGTAGGACGCATGGATTCTTTAGGACGTAGTAGACAACTCCACGCATCAAGGTGGTGGTAGTATCTGCGCCTGCGAGAATATTTACCAATAGGGCGCCAACTACTCCCATATCGTCCACTTGCTCTGGATCAGTGATTTTGATGCGGAGGAAGTCGTCTAGCATGTCATTTTTTCTTGATTCTTCGGATTTAGCACCGGTAGCTTGCTGTCTTGCGATGGATTGTTGAGCACAGAAACCGGCTGCTATGTCGAACGTTTGAGGTCCAATTTTAATGATCTATAGGTCATGTTAGGTTGAAAAACACCATCGGAAATATCAACTTACTGGAATTTTATTGAACCAATGGTCGAGCTGAGGAATCTGACCGGCGACGGCAAAGTAATCAAGCGACTTCTCTGCAATCGAAAGTAGACCACCATGATGATCTTTGCCATGATCCATGAAACCCATCGGTTTACCAAAAGTCAACTGACCGACAACGTCCCAAGCAAAGAACAATAGCCACTCGTCCATTTTACATGTTTCTCAGCCCACAACGAACTTTTCGTCGAGCTTTTCGAAGAAAAAAGTTATTACTTCGTCCACCAATGTCTCGGATTGAATGAGATGAGACATCTTGTAAAATGGGGCCAAAATCGTACGTCTCCTCGTGTGATCGGCATTATTTCTCGTGCTGAATACGTTTTTGACTAGATTGTTTCCGACTTTTGTGTCGTTCAGCTCGTAAAATTGAGTCTTCAGCGCGTCAGCAAAGTTCTGGTTTCCTGGGAAGCATATTACCTTCAAAAACGACCCTCTACTATCGTAAACTTTGCGAATGAGTTCAGGATCGCTCAAACTGACGATGTCAGGACCAACTCTCACTGCTTGTCCATACTTTCGATGAAGCAATTGTTGCGTTAGCTGTGCTCTGCCTCCCAAAGTATCGATCAATCGCCATAGATTTGTGAATTTAGCAGCGAATGGACCGGGTATGTTTTTGATTGGAGATGAAAGATATGACCAGATGTATTGAAAGATCACGCCGATACTGGCTAGTGATAGGACTTTGAGAATCAAGCTAGCCAACGACATTTTGCAAGTTACCTTTCAATGTATTGCGATGATACTTTTGAAGGGTGATCGTGAAAAAGACGAAGCGATTTCCCCTCATCATCTTTCATATCTTCCTGGTGTGGCGCTTCGCTGGCCACGGTGACCTTTCGGGATGCTATTCTTCTGCTTCGCCAGCCTTGCGATGAAGGTTGTGTGTAAAATTATATGTTTGGTCAAGATGGTCGTACGAAATATAGAGGCTGCTTTTCTTTACCATACGTGATTGGTGAGTTTGATACGTGCATGTCGGCCAAGTGCTGGTAATGGCATGTCTGACGCCACAACTACAACGTGCCGCAGAAGAAAGATGGCTATTGAATGGCTTATCAAATAGTCAAGTGGTTCTGACCAAATTGATACCGTTTTTCCTTTTTCATTATGACTAGAACATTTAGCAGAATAACTCGAGTTGAGAACGCACACGCCATTTCCCGGTGGGAAGCTGAATTAATTCTTAACTTTTGACTTCCATAAGACCTGACGCTCGTGGCGGTTGGGTATATATAAACCAAAACATGCGCTGTAAATTCTGGAGTATATTGCTCTTGAGTATTCGAAATTTCCGTGAAGAACGTATTCTTAAATCAGTAGGTAAATACTCATTCCGTTCTCTAAGGTTACACTGTTAAGCGAGCGATGAGATTTGAATTTATGGGTTGACCCCCCAACAAACATCGTGATATTCGGATTTAAAGGCTTAGGGAATGATTGGTTTAGAAAGATAATATTGTATTCATCCAACACATTTTGAGTACCCAGTCCTTGCTAAATGGACTCGAGTGGACCATTTGCGACTAGTTGCTTCATTCAGTAATACTATATCCACAAATAAAAGACATACATTCGTTGACTTGCGGACTTGTTTACCTGCGAAATTTGGCCAGTACGTCTCGCAGGATGAAATAAATATATCGTTGAGAATTACATCCGTTATTTTGGTATCTTTGATACTCTCGTCACTATCCCCGAAACTCACAACTAGCTTGATTTTATTGAAATTCAGATGTTTTTGCAGCATAAATTGCTTGAAATATTATACGCAACGCTTGGATACGATTAGTACATTAGTAAAAAACTAAACATAAATCTAGAAACGTTAAATCATCATCACGTCTTTGTATTATGGAAGTATCACCGGCCAAACATCGGGTATTTAGAGACCAGCCCGAACCTGGAAGTTATCCGTGCCCCTTTTGACGTACACCCACGTTGATGTACAACACCAGATTATTAGGACAAGAACCTCTTTCTGTCCTTGATGTGTAATTAACTTCGCTCTCTCACTGTCCATACATTAGACATATCTTTCAGTTTTTGATAAGGCACACTATCCAACCCACAAATATGCCAATCCGTCTCGAAGACAGCACAGAGCTCCTCCACCAAGCCAGCGATCAATTTGTCGGCGGTGTCAAGGGAATGTGGGAAGGATTCACTGATTTCGCGCTGCAAGACAACGTCTTGGAGGTCGCTGTCGGTTTGATGTAATCGTTCATTCCCTGAGGATCTTGAAGTTGACGCTGACATCTCGTGATAGCATAGCCGCCGCGTTTACCACAGTCGTGACTTCATTCGTTTCGGAAATCCTACTGCCACCTCTGAGTCTTTTGCCGTTTGTACATCGTAATTTAGATGAGAAATTTGCGGTGCTCAAGTCTGGACCTCATTACAACAAGACTCATGGGTACAATACCCTTGATCAGGCGACTGCTGATGGCGCCGTAGTTATGGCCTACGGGTGAGTGAACAATTCACATCAATGATTGATGAGCTAATTATCAAGGGCATTTCTTAACAAACTCTTCACCTTCTTCGGTGTTGGTCTTGCCTTATATTTTGTCGCCGCTATGTACGATAGGTTCGGGGGCAGTGACCCAATCATCAAGCATACAGTGAAGTGCAAGTATTGCAGAAAGAGAATTAGCTCCAAGGTACTTTTAACTCCATAGAATACAACCTGTTTGAGATTCAACTGACGGCGGACTGTAGGCTATGCGATGCGTTAACTGTACCAGCTGGCAGGATGGAAGGGAGGAGAGAATGCATTGAATGGGCGATGGGCTGGCTACCGCGAACAACTAACGCACTCCTGTTCATTTCTGTACGGCTCTCTGTTTATTAGCCGACTTTTGGTAGTTATCACCCACATACTAGATAAATACAATGATTTTCTGCAACACACATCAACCAGCGCAGTTAGCTATGGCGCAAGTCCTTGTTACCAAAAAGGGTCACGATTGTATCATTAAAGAGAGGATACAACTCCACCATTGCAGAAGTATACAGATCACCCAATCTCGATGGAATGGAACTCAATGTGGAGAAAGTTACTGTCTTGTAAGGCCGGGATCTCTGCCCAAGATCCTTTGGTTGAACGAGGTAGATTAACACTCCACCCTTTTGAACTTGTTGGAGTATTGGATTAATCGGTCCGTGTCGTGAGGCATAAAGAATACTAACCTGAAAGTCACAAAACGTAAGGAACCTATCATTGAGCTAATTCGTTGATCTGATGATCATTCTTACCGCACTCAATAGAATATTGATCGTTCATTGGTCTTCCATAGACTTGGTTGACTATCGGTCCGTGCCGTGACCTTCATGCATTCAATAATGGACTTTGATCCTGAAGATAGGCCGCTTGACTTCACAAGAACGCCTCCATATCCGTTGCAGTATCTCGTCAGACGTTAGAGTAAGGTACGGGCCGATTAGACTCTTTCCTTGAATTTTCTCCAAACCCCGCAATATTTCAAACCTCCACAATATCACCCCGCATCTTGAGAGTCTGGGGAAACGGGCTGCAAGTAAACTGGACACTCGGTCATGTCCTGAAATAGTATGCAACAGCCGGAGCTTGTCGAAGCTAATGCAAGAAATCAAAGTGAATATTAACCGAGGTACTCTGCTTCATGCAACGCCTGAAGATCATAATTTATTGAAGCGGGAATTTGAATCTTTTTATGCCTGGCCTAAAGGAAATGAAAATAAGAGAGCCATATATGCTTGCTTATTGAATTTCAATGCCAGGCCCTTTACGTATAGCTCCTTTCGGAAGCACCACTGATGAAAGTGACACCCAGGAAACTCACCTACTGTTTAACCGAAAAGACTTTCAATTGACAAATATCATTTTTAGATGTTTTCGTACTAGGAAACCCCTTATGTTTACTTCATATACTTCGAGGGGTTGTCATGGTTATGTGACGTCACTCGCTTCCCACCTACCCAAATAAGGAAGCTCAAGGACTTCATCAACATACTTCTCCATTAGCAGTGTTTTGCCAGTAAATCAACTAGAAAGCGAAGTCACAATTCCCACCAGTCGTAGCTTTCTCGGCTGACCACCACAGCCTTATTATTGTCGTAAAACATCTTGCCGGTGCTAGCCTGACATCTCATGCGGGTTTGTATGGCCAAGGAACATGCTGTCGCGAATGAAAAAGATCCAACTTGACTTCAGCAGCTAAAGTCGGACCGATGAAAGACGGGACATTAAAGAAAGTACCGTTCTCAAGTGCGGAGAGCGTAGAAGAGCCGAGAAAGTTTAGGCACTCATCCGCTATTGTGGTTTGTATACCATTTCTGTTTCGATAAAATGAGCTACATATCTCTACAACTTTGGCAACCCCCTTTCACTCATCAGATTATATGTGCTTATAAAAACCTGCTGGGCTTAAAGATGTCGAAGCTGACAAGTCAGGCAATTTTTGTTATCCTCGCCTTCTTGCTTCTGGTCTCTGCGTCTCCCCATCCCTCTCCTCTTGAGAAGCGAGCTACCCAAGTGTCTTTGGTCGGCTATACATTTCAAAACAATGTATTAGCAGGTACCCTCAACGTACAGCTCCTCCATCCATGCACTGATTTCATCTAACAATAAATCCAGGTTCAAAATATAGCGTATACCAAAGCCGTATCAGTGGTTTACGCGGTCGGCAATACTTGGACTTCTTCCCAGAGCATTGCAGCTAGTTACTCAGCGGCCGGTGCAAATGGATATGAGACTTGGAAGTTTTCCGGATCTGCTACTGGAGCTACACAATTCTACATCAAATATGATGTGAGTGGTACCTCGTGAGTCGACTACCACCCAGGAATTCGTATATCTGCTGAAAATCTAGATATTATGACCCTGGAAACAACGTAAATTATCAAATCAGTTCAACTGCCACGTCTACGTCTCGACCCGTATCGAGCACTTCGAAACCCTCAACTACCTCGTCTCAAGTGACGCCACCCTCAACGCCACCCTCATCAACAGCACCGTCAAACCCAGGATCAGTCTCAGCCAGCATCCCACCGCCAATCATCCCAACTTCAATCCCAAGTGAGAGCCCAGCAACTCCACCTAGCGGCTGCGGTAACTGGAATGGAGGTGACAGTTGTCCATCAGACAGTACGTCGGCGTTCGCAGCTTCAGCAGAAAATCGACGCTGGCAAACTCCACCAAGCGGCGGTCCTGGTTATGATCCAAGTTTCGGTAATTACCGAGATCTGGTAGGGTATGCAGACATTCAATACAACTCTGCTCGAAATGCAGCAGTTGTAGTGATCAACGCTGCTTCACGAACTAGCGAGGCACTGACATATGCCTTCAATGGAGGTGCCGCGACCTCGAGCAATACTTTCCAAGTCACTTCCAGCTTCTCCACGTCTCTTCGGATGACAATCACATCCAAGTCCAGCAAGAGTCTGATTCTAGACCCAATAAACTTCATCTGGCAAAATACAGCTCTCACCGCAGCTCAGAGCACCTTTCAAAACGGCCAAAAAGGTGGTATAGTAGAACTATTCGGCTGGCCCTGGGTTGATGTCGGCAAAGAATGTGCTTTCCTAGGTAAAGCCGGATATATGGGCGTCAAGATCTGGCCACCAAACGAGCATATCTGGGGATCCAACTATGTAAGTCACTTCTCTCCCTCCCGAACCTCACTAATCCGCACAGTACGAACCAGACAACCAATTCCGCCCATGGTACCAAGTCTACCAACCCGTATCCTACCGCCTCCACTCCCGCAGCGGCACCCGCGACGAACTACGCACCATGATCCAATCCTGTCGCGCAGCAGGCGTACGAGTCTACGCCGACACAGTCGTAAACCACATGGCGGCACAAGGAACAGACGTGCAAAACCACCGCAACTCGGACTGTTCAACCTACACCGGTCACAACGCCACCGCTGGCTCACCATACTACACTTCTGGCAACACCTATCTCATCAACCCGCAAACCGGCACACGGCCAACCATGGAATTCCCAGCCGTGCCCTACGGTCCCACAGATTTCCACTGTGAGCGCAGTATCAGCTCGTGGACTGATATGAATCAAGTGACCAAAGGCTACCTCGTCGGTCTTAGTGATTTAAACACCGAGAAGCCATACACTCAAGACAGAATCGCCACTTATATCGTCGATCTCCTCTCCATAGGATTCTCCGGCCTTCGATTCGACGCTGCAAAACATATCGGTCCCTCTTCAATCACCCAGATCTTCGCGATCGTGAAGAAGAAAATGGGAGGGAGTATGCCTACTGATTATATCTCCTGGCTCGAAGTGATTCTCGGTGGTGAAGCGGGAGTGCTGGCTTGTGATGGGGGGCCGGATAGTTGGTATACCAATTTCAACAGTCTATTATCCAAACAAGGATTCACCAGCGCGGAAATCAATCAAGTTAAGATTTGGAGCTCGGATTATCCCAAGGAGATGCCAGTTTGTGGATCTTGGATCATTCCAGCGAGCAGATTTGCTATCCAGAATGACGATCATGATCAGCAGAATGCCGTATGTTTCCTCACTCCCTTAGATTTCGTGATACTGATTGTATAGGGTTCGAGTTCCCGAGATATGCAAGACAAAGGCTCCGTCCTCATAAAAGACAAAGACGTCGCTAAGCATCGCGGTTTCGAGGTCCAACTCTTCTCCCGGACTGACGCAGATTGGCAGATTAAACTCGTGCTCTCGTCGTACCTTTTCATGGATGCTGGTGGTGCTGGGTTTCCAGATGGGTTAAGCGATTGCTCGTTGTATACTGGAAGCTCGCCCAAGAGTGCGTGTTTAGGAGTGCCGAAGGATACGGCGTTCGTGGCGAATACGTGCGGGTATACGATGAGCCAGGGGAAGTATACGAGGGTGCATAGGGATTTGAGTATTGTGAATGCGATGAGGGCGTGGGTTGGGTTGGGAAGTGTTACTGCGAGCGGGCTTGGTATTTCTGGTTGTTCATGAGGGTAGCTCAGAAATTGGTTTAGGGGCAGTTATTGAAGCCCAGCTCAAAGATGCGTTGGCGAGCTGTATTTTATGATCAGCAGAGATACACATTTGAAATTGTTCACTTGCCTGACATGTCTTGGAAACCCGTGGAACCATACTCAAGACCTCAATTTCCTCGACTCGTGCTATCACAACCTTACACTGAGGTAGTTAATTCTAAATCGTATGGAGTTGATCAGATCCTTCCCAAGAAACGAAAAACGAAAGCTTATAGCGAGGCTCAGTTTTGAGAAGGCTCTCACCACCAGGTTTGAGGTAAAACACTAATTTGTGAGAAATAGAGAAGCCTGTCTGAGATAATTTACGGAAATAGTGCCTCGATTGAATTGAAACGTGTTAAGAATCGAAAGTCGCGTAGTTCTCCACCGCAAAGTAATATGCTAAGCTAAAATAAATTTGGTATTCGCAGTCCTTTAAGATACACCGTGCCCAGATATCTGTCGATTTCGCCGATCGAAGACTTTTCCCATTACGCCGTATGCAATTAACTCACCCATAAGCTCCGCATCCCAATGCTCCCGTTTTCATTCATCTATGAAGCTCAAGACTCCCACTTTTTGGCTTCCATTCCATCAGGTGGTGTAGTCTCATATTTCTTGCTACCAACGTCTCCCCACGATGTGCTCAGTGCAGTACCATTACTCTCCTGATAACTCTTCATCATAGCTCGTCTGGTGTCATCGTCGGCTCCTTTGTACAATTTCTTGAAAAAGCCATTCACATCGTCATCGTCGTCATCTTTCTCTTCACCAGCAAGCTTCTCCCAGTTCTTTGGACCGGTTTTCGATGATGTTGGGTAGACTGGTGCTGTCTCGGTAGGATTCAGGACAGCTGCGGGGATTCTGTCTGGCTCTGACGCGGACGCAATTGCTTCTGTACCCTCCAAGGATGACCACTTCGTTCCTGGAACAGCTTTGTGCAGAACGATTTCGATTTTGTGGGAAGTAATTCGGAAGGATGATTTGGATGGGTCAATTCGAGAGAAGAGAGGACTGGCAGTGAAATCGTATGTGCTGTCTGAAGCAAGAACCGGGAATCGAACCTCAAGCTATAATAATTAGCCAACTCAAATGAACGCTGCAGCACAACTTACATTTCCCTCCTCAATGACAACCTCAGCCTTGTCCTTGGGGACACCCTTGGCAAACACCTCGATTGTAACGGTAGTTGGTGATTGATACCATTCATGTCTAATCTTCTCCTTTGGCGTAGCAGCAAGAGCTTTTGGCGCGGCGGCAGGTGTGGAACTAGAAGCAGGCTTCACATTCTCTTTGGTGTTTGATTTGTTGGTCTCTGAACCTGCCCCTGCCTTCTCTGGGATTTCCTTCACAGTCGTCTTATTGCACTCGGCATTGTCACCTCCAGCAGCGTCATAATCCTTCTTAATCTTTGCAATCCACATAGTCAGTCCCTTCTCCTTCTCATTCTTCTTATGGCACCAATTCAGACATAGCCTCGCGTCTCCGAATCGTCCCATCGCGTGGAGAGCAACCGCACGACGGAATTGAGCGGTTGCGATTTGTTCTCGACGAGCGCGCTGGATCGCAATAAGAGTGGCATTGTCAGCGTCTGCAAGGGCGAGCTCGTGTTGTTTGGTTCGCTGGTAGGCCGTGGATCGTTGGATAAGCCAAAGGGGGGATTGTTGTTCTTTCAAAGCTATCGTGAAGTGCTCGATAGCCGCAGGGTAATCACCATTGGCGAATGCAGTTTGACCTCGAGCAGCTGCTGACATTGTGTAGAGGTTGAAGAGTTGGTCTCAAGGTATTGGGTATGCGGTATTCGAGAAAATGGCTTTAGTGTCAAGGAGGTGGTTGGAGGAAAAGTTAAGAAAGTATTTAAAGTATTAGAGGAATGTTGGTTAGCTCGCGAACAAGCTGTGAATAACTTTGGCGGGGAAAGCTCTAGAATTTTGGGTAGAAGCCTGGACCAGCCGATGTCATGAATAGTTCTCCCGATTATCTCCCGGAGCTACTATACTCCCTTCTCCTTTCACTATCAATTCATCATTAAATCTCGACCTCATGTGTACTTCCGTTCCTACAGCTTTCAATTCACAACTTTTTATTCTCACAACCTTGGCAGAAATAAGCAAAAATTCACGACAACATGAAGAACCAAGCTCCAGCGCTGAGTCTTGTCCGACCATCTTGATTCGATGCAACTCCCCACGTACCATTGCATCGCCACAGATGAAATACCATTAACGTTAGCTATGTAGCTGGCGAGGAATATTTTGAATACCTTACCTGTGTCATAGAAGGTCAGCTAATATTGAGCCAGTGATGCTATGGTCACGACAGACAGATTACGAAATTTGGTGGATGGGAAGAAGTTTCTCAATGACACAAATCATGGCCAGAACTACCGCCAGAAAGTATGCTTTGAGGTACTGACGCTTTTTAGCCGGCAGATTAATCTGCTACTCCCTGGTATTCTCAAAGTCAAGAGCTGTGGTAGCTGTACTAGCGAACGGCCGTGGTTATTCTGTGTCGTGTGTATCGCAAATTTTTGAAGTACTTCCAGACTTTGCCGCATATCAAATCTTTCTATCAATCAAAAAGTCCTCCCCTTTACCGCTCACCGGCTACATTCCAACAGCATCGTTATAATGTCTTCTACGTCTTCTTCCTCATTTGGCTATACAACCCCGTGCATACGGTCCGAAGAAAATGAGGCTGAGCATTTCTCGGACAAACCCGTTCATCGTACGATAGGTTGCTGTGTTACTTGGTGGAATATATGTAAGCTGACGCTTCAAGCTAAAGCACGATGCTCTTGGCGACAACTTTATTCCAGAGATACGACTTCATATCTTGGAGTTCAGCATGCATGTGTTATGTCAGCCTCAATATACAGGTGCGTTGTCCAACGACGCTCTATCAAACTCTCCAAGGGTATACTTTTGCCAAGTTTTCTGGAGTTTTCTACTCCGAAGTACCTCGAGCTGTAGCTCGGCCAATGGTATCCCTTCAAATACCACGAGAGCCAATGAGATAAACGTTCATCGTCGCCGACAAAAGCATATTGACGCAGCAAATAATCGGCGACCAAAAACTACCTGGGCTGAGTCCACGGTGGCTGTTTGATCATGGCTGAAATGCTTCATCTCGAGATTCTGAGATGCAGCGATAGAGCCGAACAGATCACAAGAACGGCCGCATTTGGGATTTGAAAATGCGAGCTGCATCGACTATGTGAACAACTTCCAAGTACCAGGTCTGGAAATGCCGACTTACCCAAGTATATAAAGCTCCTGGGTGTCCTTTATCCCCAGCAGATCAAAATCAAAGCATCAATACTCGACACTTACTTTCATTCTTATAATCTTTGCATTCAAACCACGCATCTCACAAAAACTCGCCAAGTACTGCCATCATGTCGGAATCATACTCCGCTGATTTATTCGTACTAAACAAACCGGTTGGAGGTAATGGGGGAGCAGACTTCAAAGCGATAGGCCTTCCCGGATCTTGTGAGTATTACCCATCAGTCAACCATCACTCGGAGATTCTCATCCATTTCTTGACCTAACATGCTACTCATAGTCGTCAAGGAAATCAAGATCTACCATGGAACAATGAAATGGGGATCAGGCAGACGAGGATTTATCCAAGGACTTGAGCTCGAGTTTACTGATGGTAAACGTACTTCGGCCGGAAATACCGACTCATCGAACCCGTTTGAGATGTGTGTATTGGATGTTAGCAAAGACGAAAAAGTCAAATCAATATCTTTATGGGGAATGGGAAGTGGTCAATGGGACCGAACATCAGAGATTTACCTCGAAACCAACAAAGGAACAAAACTGAGTGCCGGCGCTAAAGACACAAAAAAGAAGGAGAACGAATTCAAAATGTCTATTGGCTCCGGATTACTGCTTGGATTTCAAGGTCGTGCTGGAGGCTGCATCGATTCTTTGGCACCTATCTTTCTCAAGCCGGTTGCAAAGAAATATATCGATAAGGTTTCGTATCCTGATTTCGACGTGTCTAATAAGGAATTTCTCGAGATGCAATATCTGGACAGGGCAACATCGGTCTGGAAAGGCGTCTCTGGCACTTCCAAAGTCCAGAGCGAACGCTCGTTCACGACATCCAACACCTGGACCACGACCACAAATATTGAAAATTCAATTGGCTTCAGCATTACGGCGAAGATTCCTTTGGTATCGGAAGCTACTGTCTCGGATACGCTGACGATGGGCAAGGAAAAGTCGTATGAGTCAGCAGAAACGGAAACGAAGCTTCTTAGGTGTGAGCAGGAAGTTCCAATGGATGACGAGAACGACAATTTCGAGTAAGTGCCCCTGGCTTTATGTTTCCTGTACCATATTGACATGCATAGATTACGTGCCATCTTTTATTCCGGCAAACAAGACGTTGCGTATAAAGGAACCTTCAACGTCGTGACTGAGGACGGCCAAAAGTTTTCTTTTCCAACGTCTGGCACTCTGAAGCAGGTCATGTGCTCTAGAGTTGATGTTCAGATCGCTCGCATAGGCGAGATTGGAGAGAATGATGAGCCGGAATTTAAAAGCATTAAAGGAGGAAAGGGCAATGAAATGCGATCTTTGGATGATGAAGATGATGTCGTCGATGAAGAGCGAGGTGCAGAGGATGAGGCTGTGGAGAATGAAGATTTCAATGAGGCTGCCAACTACGAGGATGACACCACAGGTGAACAGGTTGAGGAGTATGCGGATGACGCCCAAGACAACGAAGATCCTACATACAACCAGAACGAGGATGCCGAGCCCGAATACCAAGCCGAACCCGAAGTTGAGGAGAATGAGTCAAATGAGTACAACCGGGATGGTGCGGAAGAGGAGCCAACAGACTCAAACGAATACACCCAAAATGAAGACGCGGAAGAAGAGCCAGCGGAACGTTCATACGACCAAGAAAACGAAAACACAGGCAGTGATGAGTATGCAGAGAACACCGAGGAGAGATCAGCAGACGCGACAGACGAGCCAGAAGCCGAAAACGAGTACGCCGAGGAGACAATCACCGAGGATCGTGAATACCAAGCCGAACAGTCCGAGTCAAATGATTACAACGAGGAGAACGTTGCTGATGAATCATCTGAGCAAGTCCAAGAGCAATACGCACCAAACGAGTACAATGAAGATGCGTATGTTGTAGAGCCGGTCGAGCCAGTTCAAGAAACGGGTTATGGTGACGAGTACTCTGAGTCTCAGCAAGAAAAATACAAAGTGCAGGCTCAGGTGAGCGAGTATGAGGTTGAGGAGGAGAGAGAGGGTGGTGGTTATTATGACAATAACGCGGGATCGAGGTATCAGTCTCATGAGGCTAGTTATGCTTAAGGTTGATGAGTCGGTGCTGGGAGGGTGGTGGTGATGTGTGATGTAAGGGTGGTTTGAGGAGGGGAGTGGTGTACAAACTTAGACTAGAATGAATATAATAGTGATATGATTGTCCTCCCAATTCCAAGTACTTTGTTCCAACAATCAAGTCAAACTGACAACAATCAAATTCGTCAGGCGCCTGAGACCTTGCACAAGCCGGTCGTGAGCTACCAGATCACTTGAATTTTCAAATTTGCCACACTTGAGGCCTGGGTAAATGAGTTCCATTAAATTAACTATTACACATCCTACAACAAAACCTCATCCCCATACCTCCTCGCATACTTCCCCAACGCCATCATCGGAAATATAAACTTATAATTCGGATACGAAATCATACAACTCTTATTGAACACGCCCTCGATTGCTTCCTGCAACCACTCGCCATTAGCCTGCTGCCGACTCATAATAAGCTTCAATCCCTTTTCAATCCTTTTGCGATCAGGATATCGCGCTTCGAGAAGTCCGATGATGGCCCATGCTGTCATGACGACTTGCGATCCGCTCGGGTGTTCGACGTAGGTTGCTGTTTCGCAGGCTCTGTAGCTCTCGGACCAACCTCCATCTTCTCGCTGCTTTGAGATGAGAAAGTCGCAGCCTTTGCGAGAAAATTCACTGTTCTCGTAGTATTCACCTATGCTGGCGAGACTTTCCAAGGCGAACATTCCGGCGTAGGTAAAGCAGATTCCCCAACTGCCGTACCAGCCACCGTGAGGATATTGGGTGTCGCGGATGTATTGTACTGCTCGCGCTTTGAAGGCTTTGATTTCTGCAGATCGGTACTCTGGGTAGTGTTTTGTGAAAAGGGAAAGTGCTGTCACCACCGCAGTAGTACATTCAGGATAGTCGTATTCAATCATGATTCGGCCAAACACTTCAGCAGCATTCAGCATTTCGAGCTTTTCAGAACCTCGAGTAGGTTCGTAAGAAGCACACCCACCTGACGGATTCTGATATGTCAAGATGGTATCGATAGCATCGTATATCCGCTGGTTGTCAAGTAGCTGAGGGTATCCGGGCGTATGTTGGAGAAGAATAACCGCTTTGAGTGCTTCGGAAATACAATCAGAAACCGCGTATCCCTGATCTTTATTACTGAAAGCCCAAGCTCCTTTTCGTTGTTGTCTATAACACATAGCTTGATCAGGAACGTTTTCTCGAATCTGCTGATCATCCAGGAATTCGAGTGCTTTCGTCAACATGGGCCGCCACTTTGGATCTTCTGCTAGTCCAGCATCCATCACCGCTTGAATCGTAAAAGCGGTATCCCAACATTGTACGCCATTGGTACCATTGACCAGCATTCCTTCATCCTTCACCCACATGAAATCTGCCAGACGTTCACGGTGGCGTTTCACAGAGTACGCTTCACCTCCTTCTTTGATGTAGCAGACCAAAAGGTTCATCGGAGCATTGACAGGTGCTAAGCAAGAATAATCCGTATTCCTGTCCTCCATCTGAACCAATTGCCACACCCAGTCCTCGGCTTTCTTGACAAAAGACTGGGTTCTAAAATAGACCCAAACATTTATAAGCAGCCAGTTAGCAAGATTCAGCAGCCATGTCTTTGGATGATAGTTGTCTTTCTTGTAAATACTGTTCCGATTCGCTTTCCAGCTGATTGTGGCATATGGCTGGACGAACAATTCTTCCCGAAGACTGACAATCAATGGTGTTTCTTTGGCCGTCCACTTTCTCGACCATATAAATGACATTGGCAGGAACACCATTCGCATATGAATCCACCACCTCCAAGGCGCAAATGGCACCCAGTCGGGTAAAAGCCAGAATTCCGGCGGTACTGGATTGACGATATCCCACTGAGTTATTCCAAGCACGCTGAGCCAGAATTTTGCCCAGTGAGGCCCGCACACAGCACCGCCCATTTTGTGCAATGTTCCTCGCGCTTTCACCATCCTTGGATCCTCTGCACTCACTCCAAGTATGCGGAGGACAGTGTAGTTCATGGCGGTTCCAAAGGCTGTGCTCTCTCCTTCAATGTGTAAACCCCATCCTCCATCTTCAGGATGCGCTCGAGCAAAGACGTAGTTCTTGAGCTCCGTGGCTTCGTGGTCGGGGATAAATGTATTGGTGACATAGCGAGCAATTACATTGCCGGGAAGGAGGAACATAGGACCTCCATACTCGCAACCCCAATTTCCTGGCGGAAGTTGAAGGTGTTGGAAGAATTCGAGTCCGTTCTTGACGACATCGAGAGGTGTTTTTGCTTTTGGGAGTTCGGGCAGATTCTGCAAAACCATTAGGATTGCGCGTATACGAAAGATAGGCAGCTCACTGTAGGTAAACCAAGAAACCATTTATCAGCTGTCGTTTGTGGCCATGCCTTTGCCTCTTGGTCATCTTCCAGATAATGCCAGGTCTGTCTTCCCTTGTCGTCTAAAAGTCGCCATCGTGAATAGTCGGTACGCTCTTGCAACTTGGGTGTTTTCCAGTAGGATGTCGTTTCTGCGGTTGACGAAGCCTTTTCAGCTGACTGTGTCGCGTCGTTCCCTGTGCTTATCAGAGCGGCTTGCTTAGCATTCTGACGCGCCATCGGGTATAATCTAGCAGCTCAATGGCATATATTACAGCCTAAAAGCCGTGCGAGATCATCAAGACGCGCACAGAGAAGTCGTAAATTATTCAAACTGACGATCTAGGCTTCTCTTGGCAGGGCGTGGTGTTCGTGCTGGGCGTTGCGGGATGAGCCGAGAGCTGCTGCATGGATTTTAATCCAGTGCACTGCAATTTTAGCGTCTGCTGGGTGCCCAGATCCAGATGTCAGGTACCACAGCTTCTTCTCCGCGCCCTTCGTCACCATTATTATTTCCTCACAAAACTGAAATTTGAAACAGAGGATCAGCAATCAACAATTTTTTTGAATGCTATCACACTTACCAAATAGCGGACTAATCAAAAGCAGACCGAGATGGCATCTTCAGTGTATGCTTCTTCAGCTCGTGATGCGCTTCCAATTCCTAACACGGCTGGTTCAGTGATCACCAAATTGGAAGACATCTTTGAATCTATCACAGACTGTCTCTTGGAGAAAAACAAGGAATTGACCATCTGTCTCAAGACTCGACCACCAAAGGTCACGCAAGAAGATGAGACAGGAAACAGGAAGAGGTTAATGTCCGGCGTCAGAAAGATCACATTTCCCAGTCGAAATCCGAAAGAGGCATGGAAGTTCAGTGCGTTTTTCTTCACCGATGGAGAGCTGAATTGCTGCTCATATGGTACAGCTGCCCTACTTCGCATTCTCGAATTGTCGCATGAAGCTCTAGTTACTGGTGTTGTGACTACGAAAAGGTTCTTAGTTGAATTTCATACCTCTGAGTTCAATCTTCTGGTTCAACTATCTCTCTTCGTGTCATCAGCCGTCATCAGTTCGTCCTCCCTTGACAGTTATCGTTTTCTGACCCCATGGTAGGGACATTTACTACCGCGATCCGGAGCTCTTCGTAAAGCAAGCAGTTGTCGATCGATATGTGGATGATATTGCTTATACCTTAGGTGTGGAGCGCGATGCATTGAACGTGGTATGCCATATTGCAGAGTATCTGATACAGCAGTCAATGCTGATCTCACGAGGTGGCGGCTGCAAAAGGGTTAGTAGCAGGAGCTTTTAGTTTAACACGCAAGGACAAATCGCGCATCGACTACTCGGAAGAAATCGAGGTAGGTTGTGTAGTTTGGGTGAAGGGCATTGTGCTGAGATTTCAGGGTACCTTAGTACCAAGCACCAAGGAGAAGCTAGACATCGAGTTGAATGAGGTGAAATGGATACTTGTCATTGAGAAGGAGGTATGGAAACCCTTGCGAATCATCGCAACTCATCTGATTGTCACAGGCAACCTTTCGAACTCTAGCTACAAGTCAGTACTGGAATGAGTCTGCCGCTGGGAAGGGCATTATCATGACCGCAAGTCACCGCTTATCTGCCCGATTCCTCTAACATCCCACCAGGCGAAAGGATATCCAGACATCCAGACCCGGCAATTTTTACATCTTCTATGGGCTCAAAATCCTGATATACCGATTTTCGCTCTGGTAGATTTCGACCCTGACGGTCTTGGTATCATGTCAACCTACAAGTATGGATCCATGGCTCTTTCCCATGAAACCATCAATCTCGCGGTGCCAACCATAAAATGGCTGGGAATCCGAAGCTCTGATTTCATTGCCGATGATGACTGCCAAGGTTTGTTGAGACTATCAGCTCGAGACCGAAGGATTGCGCGGAAAATGTTGGAGAAGGATATGTTCGAGGAGGGTGGCAATGAGATCGAGTGGAGAAGGGAGTTGCAGGTCATGCTGATGCTCAATGTAAAGGCGGAGATCCAGATCCTGGGCAACGGGGAGAAACTCAGCCAGTGGCTTGATGGAAAGTTGGCAAACGAGATTTCCGATTCATGAGGCTCGAAATTCCGATTCCGCCTGCCGGAGTTCGATGACTGAGCGACACGACAATCTTGCTATCCTAACACTAATTTTGAGCATCTTACAGATTCTGCTATTCCCAAAACCCTCGCAATAACGCTTTTCTGAGCATTGCTTACTACCGACAGAGGAACAAAAAGTTATGTGCCAGCAAACAACGTGTTAGCCTCATTTCTGAAGCATTGGATGAAGACCTTCAATTCCCATCAACTCATATCGTTGGCCGTGTGGCAAATGCACATTCCATGTACCACACCCTCCATCACTATACTCGGGCGTAAGAGAGCCTCATACTCATTCTCATTCGACGCCCATCGACATCCAGCGTCACAAGCCATCGTACACGTCACTCACGGGCAAGATTTACGCACATTCGAGTCGACATAAACGAACCCTCCGCCTCGCATAAGAAATCATCCTCGTTCATCTCTCCACACCCGACAAGAAAACTCCGTACCTATCGTCTCAGTCAAAATGTGCGATAAACACTGGATCAAATGGAAGTGCGAGAACTGCTACGCTGATCTTCCAACCCAATACTGGAAAGTCGAATGTGGGAAGGCGAAATGTCGGATCACCGAACACAGAATTACGGAGTTTAAACCTATTGGGTGGACTGATAGCTGTAAGAATAAGAGGTGTCAGGTGGAAGAGTGATATATGTAGGTTTTGTAGGAGCGAGAGTGGATATTTCGTTTGAGTTGTAGCTGATAATTGTGGTAGTCGCTTTAGCAGACAGCATTGGGTCTGGTTTAGGGGTTTGTTTGTGCTGGATTCGATCATGGCACGTTCTATTGATGGAGGTTATGATACATCCGGCCCTATTTCTAGTGATTAAAAATGCACTTGTCGCCTGATCAGCAATATACCAACCATTCTTTCGAACCGCAAGATTGTATAGAGTGACTGCTCTCTTCAGTGCCTGAAATGATTTCACCCTGATGTGTCCTTGATAGGGAAAAGTGTTTAAGTCGAAGAATAAATTCGGCGAATGACGATATGATACTGTGGGTATTAATGTACGCAGATGAATACAATGTCGAATCAAACCGCGCATTTACAACGCCATGCTCCCATATGCAAATTCCCACAAGAGCCGCACCTCCACCCGTCCATTCATGATTCTATCCACACAGTCCTAGATCTCCCAATCCTCAAAGTCCCAACATCCGTCTACATCCCTCCCGAACCTTCTCCTCATAATCCCCCCTCCGTTCCCTCCACATCTTCGCCGCCTCCACATTCGCCGGACTCTCATCATTCGGCTCGGCAAGCATGCTCATCACACTAATCAGAATCTTCTCCACCGATTGAATCGGACTCCACCGCTCACTCGCATGCTCGTAATGATTTGGATCGTCTCCCGGTGGATGGAGGATCGAGATACAGACTAATCCCGACGGATACACTAAATTTATCAGCACTCATCCCGTCGCATGTAAATTTGAGCTTACCATTCGGATGCCACACCTCCCCCAAAAACCGCATACTCGGCGGCGCAAGCGGGTAATCCTTTGGGAATTTCAACTCGGCGGGAAACACGCCGCCTTCAAAGGGTGTGCCCTCGGGGCCTTGGATGAGCGCTTCCCAGTACAACAAGTCGTCTTCGGAGACGGGACCCGCGGTGATTCCTTCGGGCGGGTTGTTGGAGAGGGCTTTGTATTCTTGGAAGAGGCGGCGTTGGGCGGTTGTTGATGCCATGGTTGCTGGTGTGTGAGCGAAGAGGTTGTTAGGTGTGTGAATTAGAAGAGTTGGAGGAGATGATGGATTTATGGGTGGTGGGAGTGGGAGTCTAGCCTTGACCCCGGATTTTAAGGGCCGAGGATTCACCGGGATTATGACCCCTCCATGTGAATTGTGCCCCGCATTCGCCATTCGCCATCCATCTATTCTCTTCGAGCAACTTTGCGCATTTATAGACATAAACAACATCTTATCTTGTATATCACGCCATTTGAGCCGCTATCCTTATCTTACAATTATTATATAAGTTATCCTTTCTCCCAAATTTCTATCAATTGCTTCAACCTTCAATTTTGGATACATCATTACATCTAGATATAACCTCAACAATGACCACCAAACCCCTCCGCATAGGCTTCGTCCCCGAGCACTTCTCCACCCCCCTTCACTACGCCACAACTCACTTCTCCCTCTCGGCGACCCTAATTCCCTTTCCCTCCGGCACAGGACACATGATAACCTCTCTCCGCTCTGGCGAAATCGACATTGGCATCGGACTGACAGAAGGCTGGATCGCAGGACTCGGCAAAGACGGCGGCAGTACTGAAGGCGATTCCAAAGACGGTGGTTACCGTATCGTGGGAACGTATGTGGAAACACCGTTATGTTGGGCAATTTCCACCGGGCCGAAACGGGATATAAATGGTGTAGAGGACTTGGAGAAGAATAATAAAATTGGAGTGTCGAGGATTGGGAGTGGGAGTTATGTTATGGGCTTCGTGCTTGCGGATCAAAGAGGCTGGTTGGGAAAGTCGGAGAAGCCGTTTGAGGTTGTGCCGTTGGGGACGTTTGATAAGTTACGGAAGGGAGTTGCTGATGGAACGGCGGACTTTTTTATGGTGAGTTTTTCTCGTTCACGAGGATAAAGGAACTAGAATAGTGAATGCTGACGGTCGCTAGTGGGAACACTTCACCTCAAAACGCTACTACGACAACGGCGAAATAAAACGCATCGGAGAGATCTACACACCATGGCCATCCTGGCAAATCGTAGCTTCCACATCCACCTCCCCCACCGACGACCGTCTATCTGACCTCTTCACCAAACTCGACCAAGGAATCAAACATTTCAACGAGAACCCTGAAGAAAGCGTGAAGTACATCAGCACATCCCTAGATTACAGTGAGAAAGACGCGCGAGAATGGCTGAAAACTGTAAAGTTCGCAAATGGTACGAAAGGAGTAGATGTCAGCGTTGTAGAGAAAACTTTAGGAATATTAAGGAAAGCAGGCGTAGTTGGAGAGAGCGGCATGAAGGAGAAAGAAATGTCTGCAATCACAAGAACATAGAATAAATCCAGGTCTATTTTACACCAAGTCTATCCCTGATATAGCGCTTTTGATACGATTACAAGAGCCTCAGAATTCAATCTTCCAGTCCTCGGCGATGCTAATCTTTGGGCTCTTGATCACAGCCCATGCTGCCTTTCCACCTGATTCTGGGTGGTATTCGAGTCTGGCTTCTGTTTTGCCAATCTTGACAACGGCTTTAGTCGACCAGCTTTTTGGTGCGCCGACGATGACAATCCTCTCAACGCCAACAGCCTTCATCGCCTTGATGTAACTACTGGTCATCTTCCCCTTGGTGCCACGGTTTGTGCTTTCCAAAACATTGTCCTTAAACCCGAAAGCTCGTTTGATGTAAGCACCAGATTCGTAGTCAAATGTCTCTCCGTCATCAACATAAAGCTCACCCTCAGCGTTACCCTGCTTATCAAGAGCAACGACAAGGGTATATGGATCCCACTTCATCAATCCACTGCTTCGTCTTGGTCGATCCTTACGAGGGATGATATGACCTCCTTGCATCAACAATGGAATCTTCTCCAGGGGAGCGGCCACTGAGTGAGAACCTCGGCCGGAATACGTCTTGTAGTCAAAGTAGTCGTAGTAAACCTCGTTGTCAGGAAGGTAGATGTCAACACTTTCCGCACCCTCCTTGACGACTGGCTTAGCAAGAAGACCAGTGCTTCCTACAAAGAACTGGTCATCAATAGCGAATCCAGCCTCATCAGCGGGGTACACAAAGTAGTGTGGTCGAAGAATTGGTGTACCATTGACGCTAGCTTCATGGAAAGCGGTATACCATGCAGGCAGAAGAGCATAGCGAAGACGAAGAGCTTGAGTGATAATACCAGTATATGGCTCACCAGCAAGATATGGCTCTCTCCGTCGAGTATCGATATGGGCATGGCCTCTGAAGAATGGATAAAATGCTCCAGCCTGATACCATCGAGTAAGTAGATCCTTCTCTGGGTTACCAAAGAACCCGCCGACATCGGCACCAGCGAATGGATAACCTGCGACACCCTGATTGATGATCATAGGGAATCCAGCAGCAAGATGCTCCCAGTTAGCCTGGTTATCACCAGTCCACATAGCTCCCAGACGTTGACTGCCCGCATAGAACGAGCGAGTGAGAACGAATGGTCGACGGATCTCACCCTTCTTACGTTCAAGCATAGCTTGGTATGTAGCGTTGTGAAAGGTCATTCCATTAAGATTGTGAACATCGCGATGCTCCCAGTTTTGGTAATGAAGATTGTCCTTTGGCATAGTGGTCTCAGGACCGTTGAAAACCGATGGTTCGTTCATGTCATTCCAGATGAAAAGATTTGGCATAGATCCTTTGAATGCATCATACTTGAAGAGTCCAATCCACCATTTAATTGCGGCAGGGTTGAAACAATCGATCCAGTGGGAAGATCCAGGCCAGCACCAACCCTCATAGATATTACCATCTTTGTTATGAACCGCCAGATCTTTCTTCTTGAGCTCGTCCACAACATGGTAACCTTCCTTGTTCTTAATATGAGGATCGATGATGGCTACTAACTTTCTCTCTGATTCATCCAATTGCTTAAGCATGCCAATTGGATCTGGGAAAGTGAGAGGATCCCATGTAAAGTATTGCTTGTCGTCAGTATACTCGATATCTAGCCAAATGACATCGTATGGAATTTGGTGCTTCGACATCTTCCTGTCAACATCCTTGACATCTTCGTCGGTATTGTAATTCCATCGGCATTGGTGGTAAGCGATAGAAAACTCTGGAGGTAACTGGGAGTATCCTGTGAGCTCGCCATACGCCTTGGTGACATCCTTTGGCGTTGGTCCGAGGAAGATAAAGACATCAATCAAACCGCTCTCGGAAAACCAATGTGTCTTGGTATCAGTCTTTGATCCGATTCCAAGACTGAGCGGATTATGTGCCTCCTTCGCCTTGATGATATCGATCCAAGTCTCTGCAGCATTAAGCCAAAATACACCAACGGTAGAATCCTTCTTATGAGCCTGCATAAATGGAATAGATCCATATAGAGTCATCGGACTGTCCATAATATACTCGAACACATCAGCATTATAAAGACGGTATGGATCCTCGTGGTTGCCAGTTCCCCCTCGAGTTTCCTTCAATGACAGCGGTCCTGCGTGCTCTGGAATACCGAAAACATGCTCGTAGCCGGGAAAAGTAATATCGAGAGACACGCTCTCAGGGCCCTTTGGCTTGGAATCTGTTTGGCCTCCAAATGGCTCATCCCACCAAGTGCTCTCGTCTTCACCGGTTGGAACTTCGACCTCAGTAGGAGGTGTCTCTTCTCCTTCCTTCTTCTCAGGTTCGACTTTCTCAATCTTGGGCCTCCAGTGCTCCAAATTCAGTAATCCCCGGTCATTAAGCTTGATCTGTGTTGCTCCGTCTCTTTTGAAGTCAATCGCAAATGGTGCAAATGTAACCACCGCCTCGAATTGGTTCTCGGAACCATACGTGATAGTACTGGTTTTCTCTTCTCTGTTTTCCTTCGCCGTCTTGCTGATGTCTAATCCTCCAACAATAGCCCAGGATTCTGCCTCGTTGTATCGTTCTTTTCGTGCAATACTGTTGTGTCGGAGTTCAATCTCGCCCTTCTGACGTTTCTCCTCATCAATCACGACTCTGGCGGATCCCGACTCCAAAAATGATATGGTGACTGGTAACCTGACCGTTTCACCTTCTTTGATGGTTTTAAGAATCGTTCCTTGCAATTGGCCATTCTGCCAGTTCAGTGTGTCGGCTGCTATTCGAAAGGGCGCTTCCCAACCAGTAACTCCAGCGGCATCAGCATATGCTCGATTTCGTTTGCAAAAGCCCGCCTGATCACAGGTTTTAAAATTCTCATGCTTGACAGCAACTATTAAGATATTAGAATACCAAAAACTTCACAGGATCGAGGATAACTTGCCTGTCGGTGTAAGTAGACAACACAATGCGGAAAATACAACAAATAAAGCAGTCCAGCGCGTGAACTGCGCCACCAAACGGACCATGGCAGATCTATGCAGAGAATTCAATAGGAAAGGTGGTCGTGGCAGTCTAGTCGAGAACTTGTCCAGCAATTGCTGTTGGAGATGGAGTTGAAGCTATTCGAAGTTGTCCTCAAGGTAAGCTGGGGTTGACCCCTGGACAGGATAGCTTGGCATAGTTACTGTTCAGTAAGACGATTATAAGTCGACGAAGAACTCCTGCATATAGTTAATTATACTTCCGCTACCAAACTTGACCATACTATTTATTTGAATACATTATACTTGTTCTAAAAACACAAATAATTCCTTTCCTTAGAGAAATAAAACAATACACAAACGGGCCGCTCCTTAACCTACACATGACGAGTGACGCCGCCTTTCTCCTCTCGACTACCGCTCGCACTAATCGCCAAGGCCTTTAAAAGCAGCGCCAACCCCACCAAACCACCCCTCCAAAAATCAAAATATTGCTTCCCCTCAATGTCCGACGAACAACCACGTAAAGATCCAGAAATATTCAAACACTTGAGCCCAAAGACTCAAGGTTATTTACGAGCGTCAAACAATCAGAGATTACAGAACGAAGAATCTTCAACCGCCAACATGTCTGACGAGCAAACGTATGTTATTGCTCCTCTTGCTATCAGCGGTGAAACTAATGTTTGGATAGCTTCATTGCCATCAAGCCTGATGGAGTCCAGGTATGCGATCATATACGAGACCTTGTTGAACTTTTGTTCTAATTCGATCACAGCGTGGACTTATTGGCCCAATCATCACCCGCTTCGAGGCTCGTGGGTAGGACTTCTATTTCAAAACAAACGGAACATAGGCTGACCTCTTCAAGCTACAAGCTCGCCGGTATTAAGATGATGACTGCTTCCAAAGAGCACCTCGAGAAGCATTGTTAGTTAAAGCATCCTACGGGTTTGTCTACTGGTAGCTAATCAACATCCAGACGAGGATCTGTCCTCCAAGCCATTCTTCCCAGGACTCATCAAGTGTATGTTGCTCCTGTCAGACTTGTAACCAGCTCTAACAAGATACAGACATGGGCAGCGGACCAATCTGCGCTATGGTTTGGGAAGGTCGTGATGCCGTCAAGACTGGACGATGTAGGTATCCTCGACAATCCTTAGTGATACATGCTAATATCTCTAGCCCTCCTCGGTGCCACCAACCCACTCGCCTCCCAGCCAGGTACCATTCGTGGTGACTTCGCCATCGATGTCGGACGAAATGTATGCCACGGTTCCGATTCCGTCGAGAACGCCAAGAAGGAGATTGCTCTCTGGTTCAAGGAGGGTGAGGTTCAATCTTGGAAGTCCGCTCAACATGACTGGGTCTACGAGAAGTAGATTTCCTCGCCATATACATAAAAGTACAGACATCTGGTCGTTGAGCCCTTCGAGTAGATGGAGTAGATATAGGTCAGAAAAGCTATCATTGTGAATCAATTGAGCTCCCAACACTATTTCCATATTGTCTCATGGTTGCGTATGTGATATTCGAAGTTTTGTCGTGAGAACCTCTCATTTCCCTTTCGATGCCGATTGAACATCCGCTTTCGTCGCTCCAGTACCCGCAACATTCGCGCCTGTCACTGTCTTCGCTCCACGCAACTTTGCAAACAAATTACTAAATGGCACAACCGCCACCCTCGCAAACCACGGTGTAGCCCACACACTCAACAATATCCTCGCCGGCAGAAACACCTTTGTAATAGCATAAGCCGTAGCAACCTCGACCAATATCCTCGTCCTTCCGCTCGATCCCACCCCCTTTCCTCCATCTTGGACTTGTACTTCCCCTCCATCTTTGACCTCTATCTCCTCACCAACCTCTTTTCCAAATCCAAACCATCCCTTCCTCCTAAAATACCGTCCAAACTTCTCCACCCCATCATTCACATATCGCGCTTCTGCCCATCCCTACCGCACATTAGTCCATACTCAATTTCTCCCAGATATATCTCCGAACGTACCTTCGGCAACCACTCGCTATAATGAAACAACGCGCCCAACCCAATTAACGGCACGATCGCCGTCAACTCATGCAGGAACAGGAACGCGACGACGTGAGATACAGGCGCGGAACGCAGGGAGCGGGTGTATGGGCGGAGGAAGGCGGGGAGACGGTTTAGGATGCGGTCGATTTTGGGGGAGGGGGGAGAGGGAGTAGTGTAGTGTCGTTGGAGGCGGGAGGATGGATTGGTGGGTTTGAGGGCGCGGATTGAGGAGGTGAGGGAGCGTAGGGGTCGCATTGAGTTGATTGTCAGAGTGTGGGTTGTTTGGGAGGGAGGAGAGATGTGAGGTAATGGAGGTTGAGGTGAGGTGGGTTTAGGAGGGTGGGTGTGGGGTTAGTGAGGTACCCATGGCGAGAGATAATTTTCACAACTCTGGCTTGGTAACCACCTATGTTCTTGCAATATTATCTTTTTCCTAAATTCTGATTCTTCTAATCACTTTGTGGTCTTCAAATCCAAGCTAAAGTCGCCAAGAGGACTCGTTCTTCGCAAAACACGACTCATAGTTTGAGTGTTGGAGCAAGTGGTATCATATTCAAGCTGTTAGATATTATGAAAAGCTACTTGAACTAACTAATATATAGAATTGATATGGTACAGCTGAAGGTAATAGATTACTCGTCGCCCAGAGGTATCGAATGTAAAGAAAAACTAAAGCTCAGACGTGCCGAATTCGAAAGACACGCGGTGGGAATAAGATCGCTACTAGTTGAAGGATGCCACTATCACAGCCAAGAATCGTTTCTCCTCAATCATCCACCTCCGGAGGCTTGAACGGCGAACTCCTTAAAAACCCATCATCATCATACATCTCTGGACTATCAGGACAATACGTCGGCGGCTCCCTCGAAAATCTCACTTTTCCATTCCCCGTAAACGTAGTTCGCCTATTGTTCTTCTTCAGAATACCCATTTCATTACTCCCCCAATCAAACACTTTAGGGGATTTCGGACTGGGAGATTCCATCTGACTTTCTCTCCTCACGGCACTCGTGACTGGTTTGACCATTACTTCAGACCATCGCTCATGGCTGCGAGCGGAGACTTCTCGTGCATCTGGACTTGTGCTCGGAGATTGGAGGGTTGATCGTGTGCTGGGTAGTTTGGGGTAGCTAAAATCAATATCATCTGGCCCATCGTATTTGTGAGTTGTTGCTTCTCGTACAGTCTCGAGATCAGCTTCGGTGAACTCTTCTTCCAAACGTCGACGTCGCCGTTCTTTGTATATATAACTCGAATCTCGTCGGTCTTTGGTCCCCAGAACACGACTATTACGAACTGATCCACTGAACGAATTTCGAGATTTCCGGATATCATTGCTGGATACACCCATTGAAAGATAATTTCGTGAACCCCGAGATCTTCCAAGGCGTTCTTCATCTCCACTCCCTCTTCTGCTTGTGGATCGTTTGAGAATCGAAGGGAGAGGTCGGCTGGATTGTGGCTCTGGGCTATGTGTAGGACTCCGGGTCCCAAGGTCGCTACAACCGCTATAGCTGTATCGAGAAATCTCAGAATTCATCCGTCGAAGCATACATATCGAAGTATGAAGTGGCTCACGTGGTGGGGGTGAAGATGATGTTCTGGACGGCAGATCACGAGGACCAGTCAGATGTCCAGGAATAGGCATGGTAAGCAAAGGCGGTGCGAGAAACGTAGGTAACGATTCAAGTTTTGTACCAGAAATTACAATGGTTGATGAATAGCGAGGTTTAACAGTACCAAGTGATAGCACAGGAGGTAGGAATGATATCAACTTCTCTGGCTCGGAGAATGACACAGTCAAATTTGCTGACTGGCTTCTATCGTGAGGTTTCTTGTTCTGATTGGGGGAGGAACGTTTAGCGGAAACCGCAACAGTGTTACGTCGCTGATTCTTGGGAGGTATGGCGGGACGCTTAGATTGGAAGAACTCTTCCTCAGAATTTCCTCCATTTTCTGTATAATAGTTCCCATCCGAAAGCGTGGGAGATTGTGGGTATTGATTTTCATCCTCAGCTTCATCGGCAGAATGGGGCTTCAACTCTGGTATGACAAGTGTTGGATTGAATGTTGCCACTGAAGGGGGTCGGACAGACGACTGGCGAGAAAAGGCTGGTGACGCCAGACTTGGGCTTTTACTCCATTCAACCAAATGTAATGGGGCGGTTGGTGGTATGTCGAATTGAGATTCGGAAGTTTCATCCTCGGACTCCTCAAGTCCTGGCTGGACATTAATTGCACTTGGAGGTCTAATCAGATTTGACATTCGGACGACGTTCGATCTTTTGTGCCCCTTTGCTTTGGAACCATTCTTTGGAGGACTCCGTTGTCTGGGCCTTTCTTGCATGGCCTCTTGAGGCGACCATTGAAATGGATTGGATTCGGTGGTCGATGTGGAGAGCTGCGAAAGTGACTTTCGCTGAGGTAACTGAACATTACCAGAAATATCTTGCAGTGGAGATGTATAGCTGGCGGGTCGTTCTGTGGTAGTTTCTTGCCCAAAAGTGGCCTTTCGAATGTAAAGCGGTCGAAGACCCGTCTGAGATGTTTTGGGAAACCCCGGCTTGCCAGACCTGACACATGAGTAGAAAGGGTCGCCGGAGGAAGAGATGCGCTGTTCTTGGTTCTTCTCGATTTCTGGTTCTTTTGGGGAGCGGTCCGTAGCTGTTTGGTTTGTGTTAACATGAACAGTACCTTGAGACGGCAGACGTGAGTTCGCTGGCATCGTCATACGATAGCGTGGAGTAGGCGGAATATTCTGCTTGTTTGGTGAAGTGAGAATTCCAGGCACTACCATTTCTGAGGGCTGCATCTCACAGAGGCTATCATCCGATATCACTGAAGAACCCGATGACCTTGTTCCATCCCGATCAAACTTCCCCAAACGATCAGCCCCCGTCTTGTCCGGGGACGGTGACCGCATAAATGCATCCAGTAACGAACTACTAGGAGACTCAAATAAGGTTGCTCCTACCAGACCTTCTGAGCTCTCATTAGGCTTCTTGCCATTAGGAGGGGTCGGAAGTCTCTGTTTCGGTGGCGACCCAGGAAGTCGAGCAAACGTTGACAAAGATCTAGTGAGTGAATGTCTTTGAGCTGGTTTCAATCGCTGTGAGGTCGACCTTAATATTCTTGACATCTGCGTTCCTGTACTCGACCGACGGCGAAGGTGTGGTCTCCGAGATCGTGGGGTGGGTGTGGTTGGATCCTCTGATAATGGCTGCGAGAAAGAGCCAGACGATGGTACAACGACTGTAGTCCTAGAATTGCGCGCCGAACCGGCTCTTCTCGGCCATCTGGATTTTTCCTCGACCAAATAACCCGGAGGTGCCACCTGATTCAAGGTCATTGTCGCTTGCCCTGGGAGAACCGATAGAGGAATATTGGTTAATGGCCATGAATCTCTTATTCGCGATGTCCGTGTAGGTTTACATTGAGCTTCTTCTGTCGTTCTTGGTGCTAGCTGAGGACCTTGAAAAGGATCGATTCCCTCCCACTCGCTGTAGACCATCCTGCCTCCACGAGGTTCGTACATACCAACGGATCGTCTTCGACCATGGCTGATGTCAGGTGCACTGATAGATAGAACTGCGCCCTTACTATCCATCTGTTCTTCCGCTTCCTGAACCTCCTCTAATATTCGCGCTCTTTCGAGGCGATCTTTATTCCGAGCATGACGAACTAGCAGTAAACATGCGACAACAAACAGAACGACCGCTCCAACGATAGCGATTCCAATTACAGCTTTGCCTGTTAGGTTCGTCGAACCAAGAGGAGAACTCAGATGGCGACCGCTTAAGCCGCTTTGCGACCACTGTGGAACGTATGGCATTATTTCGTCGGAGGCAGACCTGCCTCTCAGCCATCTAAAGCATCAAGATTGTCTCAACTGTGAGTCTTTTGATGCATTAATGGACGAATAACCAGAAAAAGCTCAAAAAATAGAATAATTAAACGCGTAAGAAGGGGACAGAAAGACGCGAAATGGCAGATGGAAAGAGAAAGGGCGACTTGAGACCTCGCAAAGCAGGAATGTTAATATTATCATCAACATTCCCGTCCTTGCCTCATGGCTCAAGAGGCATCGTTCGAGAACGAAAATACAGATGCATTCAAAAGGAATGTCGGATACACAACCAACATATGACAGAACTGCGCGGGATTGAAATCAAATTGAGGAGGTCGCGACATCTTCATCAGGCGTAATGCAGACGAATCTCGAATACCGAGCTGTGAGTATGGTGGCTCAAGGGAGTGCGAAGTAGGAGATGGCGGGAAATGAGGTGAGATGAAGACAGTCGTGATCCGAGACTAATCCTGTTGTGGTATCTCCGAAAACACTCGCTCTAACCTCATACAGCTAGCCTCTCCAGCTTCGACCCTGCTCTTCACGACACCAACTCCTTTGATGGGAATTGTATCAAGACAATCTGGCCTAGAAACATTTTCACTCGTCCATCTTCTACTATTCTATCCCCGTAATGCTTCTGCAATTTACCTGCGGCGCCTTTTGAAGCAATTCTTTTGTCTCACAAGTTTGAACAGCACACGCGTTCATCCACATGGCTACTGAATTTACCCCTACAAATGCGTCCATTGAACATGGTTCTACCCACAAACCTGCAGTGTATCATGGCACACACTTTGCGGTGCTCCATTGGCACTCTTCCAACCTGCGTTGTCCCGCTGTTGGACCGATAACAGTCGAAGAACCCCATTTTATCTAATCCTCCCACTTTTCCATTCACTGTGGGACTGACGAGTATTTTATCCTCGAGTTCTATTGCCTAAAAGCTTGGAATGGCTACAGGTCCCACTTATGAAGGTGTTGGTAGATGATTTCTGCAATTTTTGGATTGTAACTTCAAGACCTTCCATTGCTCAACTTGCGCCGATTCTCGATTCCAAGAAACAGATTCTTATCATATCTTGACTGCATCTTTCCTTTGCATCTCTATACCTAACCGCTAGCAACCTCATAGTTAGCCATAATCTTAGAGGTATCATGGCTAGGTCAACCATGGACGGAGGTGACTTTACCCTCGAAAACACTTCCGCTCCAGCAACCAAACGCGTTTTACCTCTTTTCTCTCTTCAAGGCCGAACTGCTCTCGTATCTGGTGCTGGAGCAGGAATTGGGTTGGCTGTTGCTGAAGCGCTGGTATTTTTCTCTCAACTTTCTGATCCCATGCCTGAAACTCATCATTATTCCAGGCTGAAGCCGGGGCGAATGTTGCTATATGGTACAACAGCAATAAGAAGGCAATTGAGGAAGCTACAACTATTGAAAAGGAATATGGCGTCAAATGTGTGTTCACACGACAGGCAAAATCTTGCGTCTTGACAGAGCTAACCCGCCACAACAGGCAAGGCATACCAAGTGGATGTGACCTCGTACGATGCGGTAGCTGCTAGTATCCAGGAGATTGTCCGCGAGTTCAACGGACGTCTAGATGTCTTTGTGGCAAATTCAGGAATCCCTTGGACACAGGGTTCCATGCTAGACGCCCAACTGGAGCATTATCAAAAAGTCATGACCACTGATGTGGATAGTGTCTTTTATTGTGCTCGAGCGGCAGGTCTACACTGGCGACGACAAAAGCTAGAGCAAACCACTATTGATGGCAAGAAGCTCGAACCAGCATTCCGCCAAGGAAGTTTTGTCGCGACAGCTAGTATGAGTGGATCGATTGTCAATGTCCCTCAACAACAAGCTGCCTATAATGCGGCCAAGGCTGGAGTAATTCATCTTTGTATGTTATTCAAGTCTTTTTCATGTAAGACGATACTAACGTCGTCCAAGGCAAGTCGCTTGCGGTTGAATTTGTCGGATTTGCCAGGGTGAACACTGTATCGCCCGGGTACATAGCGACAGAGATCTCGTCCTTTGCGCCTAGTGAAACGAAGGATGTCTGGCGCAAGAAGACTCCTATGGGTAGAGAGGGCGAGTGCCACGAGCTCAAAGGGGCATTTCTCTATTTAGCATCCGATGCTGCGAGCTATACCACGGGTGCTGACTTGATCGTTGATGGCGGGTATTCGCTGCCGTAGATTATTGCGAGTTCGCGATCGTGTTTACAATATTTCAGGCTCAGTAACATGGTATTCAATGTCGAATAGACTGGAAAATAGCCAATACGTGCAACAGTTGAATTCATATGCTAGCAGTACTCCGCCGAATGCCCTCCTCTCATATTACCAGTATTGACTTCTTTCCCAGCAATTTTCCTCATCTCGTACCTGCTTCCACCTTTTCTCTGCTCCAATCCACCTCTCAATCTCTTCTCCATCCGATCCATAGCACCATTATTGAACCCATCTTTCCAATCACGAGGTCCCCAATTGGAACGTCTCCACGCTCCCCATCTGTGCGTTCTCAATGTCAAACCTGCTGTTCGTCGTCTTGTGTGCCTCGGCCGACATTTACGACACCGATACTGCGTCGCTTTCCTTCGAGTTGTAAATTTCTGGCAAGAACTACAAAACGTCAAGTTCTTCCCGCCCTTGGTGTTCTTGATCCAAGTAATAAGTCGTTTGTAAAGCGGAATGTCGAAACAAATACAGTGCACCCAGCCAGATTCACGAGTTTGACAGCCTCGAGCGCCTGGTCGAAATTTGTTCCTCGCCATGCGAATTTCCCATGAGTAAAGATTATGTCGTTCTTCTTCCGGGCAAACTGCCATCATCTTCACATCATCTGGATTGGTTCCAGCTGCCATTGCTTTCTGGCGATCCCAGTCTAACTTCCGCAATGCATGGCATTCCCATCTATGTTCCGGTGAAAATTCATGCTCGCATCGATTGATACCATCTTGGTTATCTAAAGACACGAGTGGTAGATTGGACAATCTTGGTATGCTTACTTCGTACAAACGTTTTGTTGGAGGAAGTGTGTAGAGATATTTTGAGGTGAGACGGAGACATATCTCGTCGTTGTAGAGACATTGAGCGAGTATAAGGGAGTGGATTTCTGTTGGAAAGAGGTTGAATTGTGGGAAGGTTATGAGAGAGGTCATTTTGTCGAGTCTTTCAATTGTTCTTGTGTATAGTCTTCGAGATAAAGTGGTTGAGCCAATTTGAACTTCTCACTAAGGCACGACGGTTTATATACGGAACGCGTACGTTCATGCCACGAACGGATGGAAACACGAATGTACCACGAACTCACGGGATCAGCAATTAGCTCAGGCAACTTTCTGGTATTCAGGGAAGATGATGTTGAAATGGAGACGGCTGCCTATCACGTGTCGGGGTTGTTAGGCAGCAGTCACGTTTTGTGCTATTTTTGGATCGGCCAAGTCTTAATACGAGCTCACGTGCCCAAGCATCAACCCACGATGCGAGTTTCTATTTTCTTTTCACAGCGTAGCTACCGCAGCTCATTCAAGCGGATATTCTCTCTTGGGAGTTGTTTTCTAACTGCTTCGGATGGAAGACAGCGGATCGCTCGCCTTGGGTACTAGTTACACGGATGGGTGCCAGTGGCGTAAGTAATCTCGAGTATATCAACTGTGCTCACGCGTTCTATAACATGACGGGAGATGATTGCTATAGATTCGTCTTTTGATTCTAATACATGGTATGCTTCATGGCCAAATACTAACCAAATCTACACAGTGTACACAAATTCTGGGTTCTCCTTATCCGTCAAATCCAAAAACTCCTGCTTATCCAGCTTCTTGTATCCTGGATTGGCTCTCACCGCTTCATTCTTCTTGTTCATCTTGCGATAGTACCAAAAGATGACACCCAAATCGAGGACACAGAGCGCATAGCAGACGATGATAGTAATCTCCGCTGGTACGTATCGAGGCTTATCCTTTGGCCTGAATGTTTGCGGTCCAATGATATTACCAACGCAGTAAGCGATGAGGTACAGAGCACCGACAGTTGTCTTTTTTGTATATCCGGCAACATTTGAAGCTATCAACGATAACAAGGCGACGAATCCGGTCGGCGATGCTTGCGTGAGATAGTATCCCGCTAGCCGACCACTGGATTTTGATAGTGGCAGACAGACGATCAAAAGCATCCCGATGATCGAGACTACCATTCCTGACATTCCCATTAGGATTCTGCAGCCGTACCGATCTCCAGCCCAGCCACAGAAAATCAGAGCGACAACTTCCACTGCACCGCCTGGAGTGCCGTAGAGCAGTGATTCGTCAGCTGTGTATCCGAACGAGACTATAAGCTGGGAAAAGAAATTGGATATTCCACCTACACCACGTTAGCTGTCTTTTACGGATGCATTAAATCACGGATTACTCACCATTCGGGATATCGGCGACAAGTGCGAAAAAGACAAATGCCCAAGTCATTGGATCAGCCAAAGCTTCTTTCAACTGGTACATCTTGAAGTGCTTATTTCCCACACCTTGCTGATTCTTTCGTATCCGCTCAACAGCCATGAGTCGCTCTTCGGGCGTCAAGAATCTCGCATTGAGTTGATTATCTGGCATGAAATAGAGGAAGATGCATCCTACTGCCACGGTAATCAGACCAATCGTCAAAAAGACAATCTGCCACGAAGCTATGGCTGCACCATGTCTTTGAACCCCAATGGAAATACCGTAAGCGACAAGTCCACCGAAAATCTGGGCAAAGCCGTTAAACGAGAACCAAATCCCGACTCTCGTGCCTTGTTCTTGTCGAGTATACCATTGCGATGTGAATAGGGCAAATCCAGGAGTCACTGCAGCTTCAAACACTCCTAGGAAGAATCTCACAGCTACGGCTCCAGCAAAATTACTTACGGCTGCCATGCAGCAGAGCGTACCACCCCACATGATAATGTTGAAAGCTGACCATTTCGCGAGAGGAAGTCGCTGGAGAAGTCGATTTGTCGGATACTCCCAGACCAAGTAACCGATGTAGAACATTGATCCGAGCCATTGGTAATTGTCGCCCTTAAGATGGATTGCTTTTTGAAGACCCATCACACTGGCGTAAGAGAGCGTGGTTTTATCCAGATAATTTAGGCCATAAACGACGCAAAGCATCTGAGTTTATGATTAGTCGCAGTCCAGTATGGCTGCTATATTACTTACGGGCATCAAGTTCCAATCAATCTTCCTCAAAAGCTTCTTCTCGGCCTCTGGCGTCAAGACAATCACGCCCTCATGGCCAGCAAATGCGTTCAAGGCAATATCTCCATCATTCGGATCCGCATGAATGATTCTAATATCTTTAGATTCCCCATTGTCAATTGTAGCTTTGGGTGATAAATCAGCGACTTTTTCGAGATCTCCTGAGGAGTTCTCGACGATTTTCTCGCTCATGTTCGTCGTGGTGTTCTGGAGAGTGGGTTATGACCGTTTGCGGAGTAAACAGGTGGTTAAGAGTGGATTTGCGTCCTTCAGTCCGACTATAAGGAACAAATCCCAATTGTACTCTGAAATCAAAGTAGAGAAATGTATACAGATGTATCGCCACTTATCAACCTCAAAATAACCTTTTCGATAACACCTCCCCCATTTTCCACCATGCATCTCAACGGCCGCGGAATTTGGGCGTCGTCGACCTAGCTTGAGGTCACTGGCTTTCTGGCAGCAGATAGGGCTGCTTCCGTGGCGTTGCTTGTCCGTTCTCAGTAAAGCTTGACCGTTCGAGCATGCTGGTTGGCCGTGCTACGTTGATCGGCGAAGCGGGTGGAGGATGAGGAAGGTGGGACGGTCGTCGCTGATAAGATTGGCTGGGGTTTTGCCGATTGCTAGTGCCGGCGATGTCATGATTTTTGCTTTTGAAGATGTTGAATGATAATAATAGGGATATACTTCGGGAAGTATTAGAATTGTATATGGAAATTCCGCTTTCTGCTTGGCGGTTAGCAATGAGAGATAAGTCGTGGAACCCGTGCCGCGGACAAGGCACCTAACTGCAACTCAACGACAAAACTTGATATCTTGTGAGAAATTAATCCAGAAACCGATAGATAATGTAGAAGAATATCGCTTGAATCTTCAGAAGAGAAAAATAAGTCGAGATTGTAAGTACTTGAACCCTTGGTAACTAATCCTATGCTTATGTGGTACTCTAGTTATTTCGTTTTAGATATGGATCAACACTCACGGATCAGATCCCATATCTAGATTAATGCCAACGGTTAAGAAATCATGGAACCATGTGGCTGAAAGAGGTCGTAAATCACCGAACCACTTAAAACTAGAGCCTTTCCGAGACCCCATACGTTATTCTCATATTATCAGCCCTAATCGCTAATCGAGCTCAGGATTGAATACCTGCAAGGGTTATGTGATGTCTGCCAAAGAAATTCATTTTCAGGACCAATACTTGTTTCAATTTAAGTTCTAAAAGAAACTATTGCGACTACGAGGAAAAACACTAGTGTAACTATTTTATTTTATCATTTTAAAAACATTGGCTACGTATTCTTGGACATTCACAAACTACATACACCTAAACATAACCTCATTCCACAACTACCGCACAAATAAAATCACATCTCTCATAGAGACCGTGGACTATTGAATGACTACCTCCCAGCGTGCGACCCTTATATCAATCTGAGCTGAAAGACTGTTCGCGCCAAGATGCGGAATCTATGACCTCTGTTCAACGTGCCACTATCAAATATTAGTCCCTGTAACATTCTAAAGCGACGAAGCAGAAACATACCATCTTGAAATTAGCCTGCCACGCCATGAGAATAGGAAATGCATCTTTAAACGCCTGAGTCTGCATAGCTCGTTCAAAATCGGCCATGCTCTCCCAACGCCTGGCGATAAACCAACATTTGGTCTTTTCACCCTGAACACTTTCATGTTCCTGCTCTTCGACAACCCAACCATAAGCCAAATCCGGGCCGTTTGGTCCATCTCTTTGAAAGATCTTTTCGAACCTCAAGAAATCAACCCCTAGATCTTTTTGAAATTCTGGTGTCGCTTGCGAGACTGGGTAGTAGGCTTGGACGTATTCAACGACTGCTCCTGTGAGTGGTCCGCCGGGTCCGAATGCTCGTCGGCTCAGCTCGACGTGAAAGATGGACTTGGGAGTTCCAAGAGTACTTTGCAACTTTTCGGTGACGGCTTTATATTCCGATGAGTTTTGGACATCGGCGTAGCTTCTGCCGTCAGTCCATTCAGCTGTGAACTGAATCACATCATTCTCCTTGACATGTGTGCCAAGGCTGAACTTAAAATCACCTTTCACATCTTGGACTGCCTTCGTAGCTTGGTGAATGATAGAAGCACTCTCTTGTTCGTTTGAGTTGGTGGTGCTGGATGGCGCACTAAAGTATTGGACTTCAATGAATGATGGCATAGTGAGGTTTCCAAATACGGACACGATGCCGAATTTCGAGCTAGATAATGCTTGAAAAGGAAGATTTGTAAGATGATTGTGGTGATCAGTAATTGAAAATACCAGTTAGTCGCCAATGTATTTATATACCATTTTTTCACGCTCGTCTGGAAATTCAATAGTGCACAACAACAAAAATTTGAATGGTTTATAATCCGGTATGATTAAAACACCGATCCGAACCTGTCTTGTCTTGGAAAACAACATCTTTTCAGTATATTCAAAATGAATTGACCAATCAAAACACGTAACAGTTTCTCCGTTATGGTCAAGGGGAGTTAGTTCTATACTTGGCGAATGGAACTCGCTTAGGAAGCAAACTGATTGTTTCGGCGTTAGTATCGGGAACGTATTTTCTCGCACGGATGCGCGCTAATTTGACTGACAGATTGCGACACGGGATATGAGTTGAAGCCCTTTAATCTGATTTAATTCGAGGAGGAAATGAAGATGTGCCTGTAAACTTACAACTCATTGTGTCTTTCAACGACGTAAAGGGGGCTTTTTTGAAAGTCAATGACCCCAGCTTTTAAGCGAGCTCAAAGGTCGGAATTAGCACAAAGCCGGGCAGAGAAGAGCTTCCCCAGTATTTGGTTACATAAGTCGCTGATATAATGTTCGGCGATGTATATGTAAGTCCGAATTTCACTGCTCACTAGAAGCATATTCCCCACGAAACTGACTTCAATTGACGACGCTGAAGAAAACCGCAGCTTCGTAGCTTCATCAATTTTTGAGATGTGAAGGATATCAAGAGTGACTTATTTGATTGAAGAACAACGCAGTCATTCACCAAAATGGGCGCTTGCTCAGGTTGAGGTGCTCCATACAGGTTGATCGTAACTTGTAGAGCTCAAATATGAATAACAACTTGAAAACGCGAGACCTTGAGAAGACATGTCTCAGAAAAGTAGTGCTTGATAGTGGTGATTGGTTGATAACATCTAGAGCTAGTTGATGAATACGCAATCTTGATCATCTTAATCACTGAGAAAGTCCAATTCTTGGGTATTTATTTGCCGCAAGATCCCCTCCATCATTATCTTTTCTATCCACAGCTCAACCAGCTACTACACTTACCTTCACAACATCAACCAGAAACAACCATCTTCTCCACAACCTACCCTTACTTTCACTCAATCAACATGCAGAACCAACTCATGGCTCTCCCAACTGTCAACAGTAGCAGATGCGGTGCTTGCGGTTCCGACGTCTGTACTTGCGGCGGATACGACATGGCGAACAACCGTGGTGCATGTGGCTCTGAGGATTGCACTTGCAAGGGTTATGATATGGCCAACAACTGTGGTGCTTGTGGATCCGACACCTGCACCTGCAATGGATACGATATGGTCGACGATTGTGGCTCTTGTGGTGATGACTGCAAATGCGACCACTGCACTTGCGAAGATAGCCTCTAGATCCATGGGTTTGTAATCACTTCCGACCCTTAAGATTGTCTACTTACTAGAACATGTTTTAGGGTTCAGTACTTGAACAGCGTGGCATCTAGATAGCACATCCTGATGAAGTTTTGGAGCATGATTGGATATGAATATAAGAGATGATCTGGATGTTACAGGGACTACTATATTCATAATATAAAACCGAGATAGTTTCGGCAACTCCCTATATCTTCAGGTGCAATGTGCTTGCTTGAATCTGGATCCTGTTACGGCCATATTATTATTCTTCTTCAAAAAATAATTGCAGCCTTCATTGAAACCATCGTCGAATCAAATTTTCTTAAACAACCAGATAATTATCCCTATCAACGTGGCGTTCCAGATATAGTGGGTGAAAACCTGAGGCGATCATCGATACAAATGAACTTAGCAACGTCTCCTGCACACAAAGTCTGAATATTCTCGCATATATTCCAGGCATAATTACTCAGGGAGTGATTGGCCAGAAATCATAGCCCCTGTTTTACTCCTTCATGGCAGCTAGTTATGGATTTGATTGCTTCCAAGCGTAGACGGATCGACTATTTACTTATTGTCTAATTATCATTAACGGTGACAGCTTTTTATGAGGCGACAGAGATATTACGGTTGAGTTCGTGATTGATTTGGGATTTACATTCGATATCGTCCCAGTTTAAAATTCTAGTGGTTCTACTATCTTAAATATACCCTCGGCCTCCATTGAGAAAGCTACCTGCATATCTCAATGGTGAGCCCAAGAATAATCTAAAATGTCAATGAGTAGTTTCGCAAAGGCTTAAAAGGAGAAGAACGAGAGAGGTCTAAAGCTAGTTTTCCGGTTGTTCAAGGCGTAGTATAATAACTCTTTCCTAATTATAGGCAGATTAGATCCAGTAAAACTCCCTTAAAATATATACATGCAATGTTTTGATTTCCCACACTAATCGTGAATAACGACTATCGAGAGGACCCACATTGAGAGTTCATTTTTGACTTGTTAATGATCAAGAGCCCTACATCGTCTTAATCACTATAGTGGCTTGAATTCGAATATTTATTGACCTTGGGTTTCCCTCTCTCCTCGACTTTTCCACAACACCATCAACTTCTACACATCAGACAACTTCCGCAACCTCCACAATCCACAAATCAGCCACAAAAACATCTTCAAAGCATCTACTTACTACTTTCACCGTGTCGCCATGCAAATCCAAGCGCAAGTTATGCCAGCAATCTGCACAACCGCCAATCTTCCTGCAATGGTTGACGGATACCAATGTGGCTCTTGCGGAAAGAACTTTACTGGAGCGTCCAACGTTTGCACTTGTGAGGATAGCGACTAGGTTCGTTGGTATGTTAATTCCGTTGAGACTGGACCTGGATGTGTCGAAAATGACTGAACTTGACTGTCTATTTTTTGGATAGGCGAGAATCACATTAAGAGAGAGAAATAATCTTGGGAGTCATGGAAATATCAAGTGGGACATTACAAGAGATGACTAGTGGAATGATACAAGGAATAACATACTTACCCACTTACATAATCAGCGCGTGCATTACATGAACAGCGCCTGGACCTTTTCTTAAATTCTTGGGTGTAGTTGTGAAGTGCAATCATAATTATCGTCTTTTCTATATTATCGTTCTAATCCCAACTAAAATACGACCTATTTGCGCTACTCTTGAGTCTTTATTCTAAAACTGCTAGATATAACCACTATTCAAACGTAAAAACTTAGAGCCAGCTCGTCAGAATCATACCTCAATGTCTTATGCGAGAACCCAATGTTACAGGAAGAATAATTAAGCGAAGTCTGTATGGGCTGAACTTGTAGACAAAGCAGGACACATATTTGAAAGATGATATTCAATGACACATTTCACCATCGTTGCAGCTCATGTCGACAGCAACGGCCGGCAAAGATGACCAAGACTTGCTAAGATTGATGACCGTGAAGATATGAATTAAAGCTACATCAGAGTTTGCTGATGTGGAAAGTTGTGAATTAATGCGTTGGTTCTTCAAGCGGTTAGTCATATTGTCCTCCTCGGTGTGTGACTTCCGCGCGGTGAATGTGGCTTGTTATCGGTTTATGAGTCTTACGAGGAAAGGTATAATTTGCAAATTGCCCATCCTACTTCATCTTTCTCCTCGACACTACACCAAAAGTCAAATTAACATCGTCGAAATGGCAGATCGCAACGTTACTCCCGACCCCTGCCTGCTCCAACAAATCTTCAAGGACAGTCAACCAAAAAACATCTCGATGTTTGTTCAAACTTGGGACAAATGTGTTTTCAAAGCTGAATTCTCTAAAGATGAGAGCGTGCACCCTTCATGTGTAGTTCGAATCGAAGCTGAGAACAAAAATCTGACAACCTTTGCAACAACTGCAGCTATGCAACAGATTGCTAGAATCATCATTCCACATCTCGTACCACAAACCCTCCAAATCGGCAAGGCAACTAACGAGCAAAAAAAGTTGTTCAACTTTTCAGTGTCTGAACTTGTAGACGGACCTACATTAGCAGATGTATGGCATGATTTAGACGACATTGAACGGAACTTGATTATAAATGACCTTACCGATGCACTCATCAGATTAAATGCGTTACAGTTAAATGACGGACCTATCAAAGCTATACTATTGAATTCACTTGGGGGTGGAGAGGAAGAAGAAATATGGAAAGGTCTCGCGCGAGGCGATGTTTTTGGGGGTCTTCATACCGGGGTTTTGAATGAAGGTCCTGCTCTGTTGACCTCGATCATGGAGAACTTGAAGCTCAAAAAAACATTCTGCACCATGGAGACTCTTCCCAACTCGCAAGATGTCAAGATTCAATCTAATTTCGACGAGCTTGGATCTTTGATTGTCCGCAAGTCCGACATGGATCAATGGCTCAGAGAGGCTGTCTTTTGCCATAATGACCTAACACCTCGAAACTTGATTCTTAAGAAGTGGGACTTGCCAGGCGGCAAGAAAAAGTACAAGTTAGCTGGGATCATTGATTGGGAGTCTGCAGGATTTTATCCGCCATCTTACGAACTCAGTCTGCAAGACACATACCTGGGAAGAGATCGACATGCGTCATTCTACCTGATGTTGAAAGCAAATATGAAAGAACTTGCCCCACGAACTTCTTCACAAATTGCGCTATTAAAAGCGATGGAACTCATGTATGAATCTCAACAACGAAGATTGGTAAATGGAACCAACGTACCGGCTCACCTTCGTCAAAGATTCCTAGAATGCCTAGGGTTGACACGCGATGATGATCCTTATGCTGGTTGGACACCGGAGCGCAAAGAGGGGAAGATTGTTGACTTCTCAAGCACTGCGATGCAACGACTGAAGGATGATATTGTTCAGGAAATGGAGGAGAGAAGAAAATCGAAAGCCAAGTAAGCTACGAGTGGTCAGAGGATGTAAATATGGCGCACATGATACATCTAGCTATCAGAGATACAAACACATTTTGAGTGGTGAAGCTTAACATATTCCCGATTAAAACTAAGACAGAAATACAAGACAATGACATGAGAAACATTGACTTCGAGTTTGAGTGTAACTTATTTTGTTATGGCACGTTATGAGGAACGAGGGTTATAAATTTGTTTATGTGAATTTTATTGCATATGGTGGAGTTACTGAATCGTCTCTAGTGCGTGAGAATCTCGACTGTGCCGGGAGCATGATCGGAGAGAGGCTGCCAAAGAATTTTGGCAGTTTCAGGTGGCTGACTCCGGTTGCTTGACTTGTTGGTCAAAAAGATGTGTATGATGGCAGCAGCCACAATATCTACGATCGACCAAGCAAAACTCACCATCTAGGTAAATCTGCAAGACTCCCCATCGTGCTAGCTGCTCATTTGTCGCTTCCCAGCCTTCAGCTTCCATGCTACCACTAACTCCACATGCAATCTGGCAGTAGGGATCCCATTCAATGGCGGGTTGAAGCCAGTCCTGTAAGATTATCATGCAATCGGCCCAGACAGGACCATGTCCATTTTCGCCTTCTCCTCCTTTGGCGGCCGGTAAGTCTTTTTTATCGGAGTAGAAATCGATAAATGCATGCAGCATTTCATGAAGAAGGGCGCTTATTAGGGAGCAGGTGTATTCCGATTCGGACTCACCATCTTTGACGTTACGGTTTTCGAGATTTAGATGAATTTTCTTGGTCTCGTTGTTGAACCAGCAAATTGCGTCGCTCACTCCAGCTTCGGGAGGTGATAGGGTATATTGTACAGGACCGGTCCGAACATTGCCCCCAAAGAAGACTTTATTAAAGAGAATTGCCCATTCCTCCAATATCTTTTGTCGGTTCGCCGGATCATGATTCGTCGATTCGGTCAGGTTCAGCGTTGGCAGAAGTTTTGGAAATTCTTGCATCCGAGAAAGTAATGGAGTTTTGGCTTGGACTTCGAATGCATTAGAAAATGTCAGTGAATTGTAGGCATGCCACCTGAGCTTGCGGCCTTTCGAAAAATCGGCCTCGATAGATCTTGGAAGCTTTGCCTTGCTACAGTTGTTCCCCATATTTGTTGTTGTGTAGTGGAAGTGATGTCAAGTTGTGAGGCAATTTTAAGTATGAGCTACTGGTGGAAAGTAAAAGTTTAGTAGAAAGAAAGGTCGATCTATGTCAATAAATACATACGAAGTCCAGCTGTTCAGAGTCAAAACAGTGAACAGGCCCCCTAATAGTCCCGGGTTCACTTGATCATCATAATCAATGGCGAATACTTGCTGAAGTTGGGATGGACTTGATTATGATTATGATCAACGGAATTGGAAATTCTCTTGATTGAGAAAACCTTTATGAAATGTCCTGCGAAATGACTAGCAATTCAGTCACATTACTGGTATTGGTCATTGAGTAGCCCTATCAGTGAAAAGCAAAGTAATAACGTTATCAAGAACACCCATTGAATATAAGCGCATGTGATCGGCGAGCTTCCACCCATCTCATCGACCTATCTTTATTTTATTTTACCGTGACCCCCGTGCATCAAGACGGAGAGCTTGACAAAAAATGCTAAAAAAATTTATTGTGTCAAAATGAGAATTGACATAAGTTGGCCGTTGTTCTGTAACACAAGAAAAAGAAAACAAAAATCTAGGCGACTTACTGATGGTATGCAATTGTCTCAAAGGGAACGAAGTGGCGCACCCCAAATGGCTCAGCGGGACATTCGCAGTTGGAAGACAAAGCTTCCTCATTGGTCAACCTCAGAACCACAACACCTCCTCGAAACCATTCAATCCTTAACAAATCATTTTGTCAGTAACATGCAACCATCGAAGCACAAGCGGTATGATGCATATGTCTAGGCGCAAAAGTCGCATCGCTCGGGGTCACATCGTCGTTTGCCACCCGATCAACAAACATAAGAGCAGAGCCATTCCAGTCTTCCAAGATGTTTTGGAGAGGCAGATCACCCTACTCGTACATGAGAATGCAGGAAGACAATCCCGATCAATATAAGCCAGCGGCAAGCAGCCAGGCTGTGGAGAGCAACCTCGATGTTGACATTGACAATGCACCACAACATGCATCGATTAGACATCGCGTGGCGGCCAGTCGTAGAACGTGAGGATACTTTGAATGTTTGAGCACGCGCTAACTCGAGATCAGATATTCAGGATCGCTCGCATTCAACTTTCTTGCCTTTTTGTTACCAGCACTGTACTCGACTTTGAGCAAGCTATGGGTGGCTAATATCGACTCAAGCCTCGTCGCAACAACAGATGTATACACATACATGTCAACGGTTGCCGAAGTTCTCAACGAAGGCCTACCAAGAACAGCTTGGCTTATCATTGGTGATACCGCGACGCGTTCAATGTCTTCCCGGATCTCGCTATCTTACACAATGCTCATGTTCCAAACGCTTATGGGCTTAATCATGACGATCGTATTCGTTGGCGCTGCGGAACGATTTGCTGCATCATTCGTTCCAGAAGAAGTTCGATCTGCTTCTTTGAGCTACGTCAGATTGTCAGCCCCTGTGGCATTATCGTCGGCAACACAGGTCGCTGTAGCATCTTGCACGAGAGCATTGGATCAACCGGATGTCCCACTGATAATCAGCTCTGTTGGCTTCGTACTTAATATCGTCCTCGATCTTCTAATCATATCGAAGTTTCATGTGGGCTCTTACAATCCAACTGTATTGACACAAGCAGGCATCAGGCTTGCCTGCGACATGACATCCGCGCTCGCAGGAGTTGTGTACTTCGTTTACCTGACCAGGAAGTTGGGAGGAGGCATTTCACCCTTGAGCTTTGCTAATAAGTTGTCAGTGCAAATGAAAGCACTGAAAATCTTAGCTATACCAGCAAAGTATACGTTCACGGAATCTTTAATACGAAACGCAATCTACCTTTGGGTTGTTAGTACCATTATAGGACTTGGAAGTACTTACGCAACAGCATGGGGTGTATTCAACACTGTCCGATGGGGATTGATCATGGTGCCAGTCAACGCATTGCAAGCGTCTTCGTTGGCATTTGTCGGACATCAGTGGGGTATTTGGCACAACCGTGTCGGTTCTAATAATATTAGACCAACTGCAAGTAGAAGAGAGTTGAAAGGTTTGTGGCTAGAAGCAGCTTTCAAAACTATTGCTAATCTTCGAACAGCCATCGTTCGACCAGCATACATTTCTGCTTCCATTGCTCTCGCGATCGAGGTTCCCATTTGTATATTCCTATCGACTTGGGGAATGAAACGCTTTTCATACTATTTGTCAAATTCAGATGAAGTAGCTGCAGTGGCAGCCAAGATGTGGCGGGTAAGTTGGAACAAGTCGAGTTTGTATGTCGAGACTAATGTTGATTAGAATATCGACTGGTGCTATATCTTCTACGCGGTGAGCACTCAATTCTCCGGTATCCTGCTGGCCACGGTCCCTCGCTGGTATCTGTATCAGGCCTTGGGTTCGAATTTCTTGTGGATGCTTCCTTGGGCTGTTGTGATGACTGTGAAGCATTTTTCAGAAGCAGAAGCCTGGAAATTCTATGCCATCATTTTTGGTGGAGCATTGGTCTTTGATTTCTTTAATGTTGGATTGATACTTGGTCTCTGGTCATGGATGCTACTGCATGGGAGGGTGAAGGTTAGAGCCGTCGGTCGAGATTTCTAGGCTCTGGGTCACAAGTTGAAAATTCGTCTAGTGATGGTTTGTGTCACTTACGAGACTAAGACGAAAGTGGGTTTGAAAGGAGAGGCATTTCAATGGAACCTTCCCGCCTTGCTACTTGCTCGACCTGAATTGTCTTTCCCATCAGAATAGCAGCTAGCATCCTTACAGCTTAAATGATTGATCGAGCTATATAAGTTAATTTGTAGTCTTGGACCAGAAATTTACTAACTTGGCACCAAACCTCCGTCACGAAAATATGGGATTGACTGCTTTGTTGAGCAGATTTTGACTAACAGCATCGTGTAATCTACCGAATTATCGATATCTGCCCAGGTGGCAGCGCGTTTCGAGTAAATAAGACTAGAGGATTGGCATAGCCGCTTATCTATCCCTAATCTCACGGCATCCTGCGTGGCTGTATTATGGTGTAACGAGAATCCTGATTGTTAGTGTCTATCAGTCAAAGAATAAGATCTGTAGCGTAGTAAAAATGCAGTGTAGAGATAGAAACAAGCTCTCAATGCGTAACCTCTGATTGATTTGTCAAAATCCGATAAGAAATTTAAAAGTTATCGAAAGGTGGAATTAAAATGGTACGAAATATTTATTTGGCCATCCTGGTGCCACACCACATACGCTGCACCGCCACACTGTGACGTAAATGAGTCTTGGGAAACATTGGCTCACGAACTGACCAAAATTAACCGCCGAGAGTTGCAGAAACACCCCCAGATCTTCGAATCCAAACCCAATTCTGTTCCCACGAGGACGACACGTATAACGTTTATTACCTCATCTGTGAATCAATAGAGAATTGATTTCGCAGTCTTCACCGCTCCAATTCTACACCAAATATGAATAAGAAAATTTTGTAGCGTAGAATCGATTCTACTTTCTACGTATTTTCTAGACAACAATCGCTCAGCTCCCACCTTTAATACCTCCCAGCATGAAGTTTGCAAAAGAGCTAGAGCAGGAGCTGGTTCCAGGCAAGCAATCTTATACCTACGATGTGTGCCTTGCTAACATCTCCCACAGAATGGCGGGTGAAGTATCTGGACTACAAGGCTGGGAAGAAACATGTCAAAGCAGTCGCAAGAGCAGCCGCTCGAATGGCCGCAACACCTCGACATCCTCCTACACCTGCGCTCCAAGCAAGTCGAAGTTTATACGGCGCGACTGCCTTTACTCCACGCGTACGACCCCCATCTACACTGGGCCAAGACAGCAATAGCCATCCCGCGACAGAACCTGCGAGAGCGAACCCACCACCAAAGGCAGATTCGAATCTTCCTGTAGTAACACCTTCTGCAGAAAATCAGAAAACTCCGCCTATGGATATTTCAAGAGGAAGGAAATCACCTACACCATCTGAAGCAGCCACGGCGGGAAATTATGGTAGTTTTGTTCCAACACCTCCAGCCAGAAAGCCTCATCCATTCGAACTTCCAGAGCCTGCAATTACCCCCGATCTTGCTCGTCGTCCCTCACCACAATTTGGTACACCATTAAACAATAGACCTCGAAGCGATAGACCTGCCCCCTTACGGACGTCATCAGTCAACCTGCCAAACGCATACGAGGTTGGGCCAACCACTCCTCCGCCGAAATCTGGGTTCAATTCCCTACGAGGAAGAATTGCCCAGCAACGTACACCTCGTTCAACGATCCGTCGTATGTTCACCTCGAGCACACCTTTGACTACAGCCGAGCATCACCGCGTGGATACAGACATGGTTGCTTTTGATCAAGTGAGAACCAAGCAGAAAGACTTCTTCAAGTTCATGGACAAAGAGTTGGTCAAAATTGAGGAATTTTACAAATCAAAGGAAGATGAGGCAGGACGTCGTCTGGAGATTCTCCGTGAGCAATTGCACGAGATGAGAAATAGAAGGATAGAGGAGGTCGCTGCCGCGCAGCAAGCCAAGCTTCAATACAAAAATGGCCATCCAAATGGAATCGGTTTGGATGGCAATGGTAATCAGACTGGCGAGATTTCAAGACCAACCTCACGAGATGCACTCACTTCCTGGCTTGACCCATTGGAGAGGGTCATCGGAGGCGCCAAAGTGAAAGCTTTCGGCCCACACATCGGATCCAACTCCAAAGCCTTACAGAAAATGCGTAACTCACCTCATCTCCTACCAAACAATAACCCTAATAACCACGACGAAGGCGGTAAAGATTTTGTTCGACGTTTACACCATGCGGATGAAGTTCCTTATCGAACGGCGAAAAGAAAGCTCAAGCTAGCATTGCAAGAATTCTACCGAAGCATGGAACTCCTCAAGTCATACGCCCTTCTTAATAGAACAGCTTTTCGCAAAATCAACAAGAAATACGACAAAGCCATCGATGCACATCCACCACTGCGTTACATGACCGAAAAGGTTAGCAAAGCTTGGTTCGTTCAAAGTGATGTTCTTGACGCCCATTTACATGCTGTGGAAGACCTGTATGCTCGATACTTCGAGCGTGGAAACCACAAAGTGGCAGTCGGAAAGCTGAGAAGCTCGTCTGGAAAAGGCGGCGATCAATCCGCGAGTGCCTTTCAAAATGGTGTTCTGATAGGTACGGGTGCTGTGTTCTCCATTCAAGGCATTATCTACGGTCGCGATCTATTGTTGCATCCTGATCCTACCGTCGTTGCGCAGACAAGCTATCTACTTCAGATATATGCGGGATACTTCCTGGCACTCTATCTATTTTGCTGGTTTTGCTTATGCTGTAGTGTATGGACTAGACACAAGATCAACTACGTTTTCGTGTTCGAATTTGATCCTCGACATAACTTAGACTGGCGTCAGCTATCCGAGTTCCCTTCATTTCTCTTGCTGATTTTAGGTCTGTTTGTCTGGGTAAACTTTACTCGATACGGAGCCGCAGACATGTACATTTACTTTCCAGTGATACTGATATTTGCTACGATTGTTATTATATTCTTTCCTGGCCCGATTTTATATCATCGGAGCAGGAAATGGTTCGTATATTCGAATGTAAGCCCACCGAATCCGTCTGCAAGGTTCGCGCTAACAATGCTACAGTGGCGTTTACTTTTGGCTGGATTATACCCCGTTGAATTTCGCGATTTCTTTCTTGGAGACATGTTTTGCTCTCTGACATACTTTACAGCTGTACGTGGTGCGATCCCTCTTTGATTCAAAAATTGATTTTTGGTAGAACATAGAGCTTTTTTTCTGCTTGTACGCAAATTATTGGAAAAACCCATCGCAATGCAACTCTACACATTCCAGACTTCTGGGATTTTTCACTGCACTACCTGCCATTTGGCGGACGTTACAATGTTTGAGGCGTTATTACGATACTCGCAATTTCTTCCCACATCTTGTCAACTGTGGCAAGTATGGTATGACGATTTTGTACTATGTTACACTGAGTATGTATCGGATAGATCAGACCAACAGCAAACTAGCGTTATTTGCGACATTTGCCGTCATCAGTTCAATTTATTCCTGTAAGTGGGGAGACTCTTATGTCTGATTATTTGCTTATTGTCGTTTTAGCCATTTGGGATATTTTGATGGATTGGTCACTTTTGCAACCCAATTCATCAAAGCGACTTCTCCGTGATGTTCGTGGTTTCAAATCCACGTGGTGGTACTACGGCGCAATGATCATCGATCCCATCTTACGATTCAACTGGATATTCTATGCACTGTATACCCACCAAGTACAACATAGCGCCACGGCCTCATTCCTTGTTGCCTTCTCCGAGGTAACTCGTCGTGGAATATGGACTCTCTTTCGAGTAGAGAATGAACATTGTTCGAATGTTGCGCGATTCAAGGCATCTCGAGACGTGCCATTACCTTACTCTATTCACACGAGTTCAGATGAGGAGGATCGCCCTCAGACCGCTGAGAGCGCTACAGAAGAGAACCACGTACATATTACGCCAACATTATCTCGAAACAGAAGCCACACCGGAACTGCCCTCGAAGCTCAACCTATGGATGGTGGTTCTCTACGAAGACGGCCGACACCGGTGCGGACCTTTACTAAAGTCCTAGCTGATGCTCACACGCAGGATTTCGAGAAGAGAAGGAAGCCTGGAAAGGGCGAGACAGACAGTACTGGCAATAGAAGAAGGGATGGCGACTCTTCTGTTGAGGAAGGTGATTCCGCAGGAAGTAGTGATGAGGAGGACAATGAGGACCAGGATCTTTTAGATGCTGAAGCCTTAATACGAGAGACAAGTCGCGATCGACGAGATCCAAGCCCTGATCGAAGAGATCCAAGACCTGATCGTTCTTGAGGTGCTGAAATATTTTCTATAGACACTTTAGTATAGAGATTGGCTGGTGATTGGTCAGAATGATACCTGAATGTTCGACAGCTTAACCCCCTTTTACTGGGCTCGCTTGATGGTTTGGTCAAAGGGCGGCCAAGATCAGACGAGGCGTTATTTGAAGTGTTCTCCTTGGTCAGGCCGTATGCATGACATGGCCGTTTTCTTCTGATCAAGGAATGATTGTACGAATCATCGACGCGATTACCCCTCATCCGATCGTGTTTGCTTTAGATTACAGAACGCCTCCATCCCAATAATAATGAAAATGTTTGAAGAATATTAGGCAGGAGGTAAGGCGATTATTTGCTCCAACTAGCGGCGGCACAACTCGTGTTACACGTAATAAATTTGTCGTGGGGACGAGCTTTACATGCGGTGTAATTCGACCGTCCCGACATGATGGCGCACTGCAACACAACTTCTCGAGTCGCACTCGTGTGACGATAATGCATGTGCAATAAAAGCAATCGACGTATCTGGGTCGATTCCGGGGGAATACGAAGTTCTTCCTTTCTTTTCTCACCTACGCGGCTCAGCAAGGCAACGGAATATGTCCCATCATATCTCCACATCACGACAGAAGCAAAGACCCCTTAGGCAGTGAAAGCCAAGAAGGTCACGTTTTATATCATGGTTCACTCCATAATTCTGGCGACTCTTGTTTTACCAGTAAACGATAAGCGATGATTAAGTCGTTTCAATTCGCTCTAGCGTCTAGGATTGTAATACAAACAGATTTTCATACCTTAGAATCGATCTCCAACTTCTATTATATGCGGTTAGCCAGTCACGCCTAGATGAAAGACAACGTGGTCTCCCGCTAGCACAGCACAACCCCAGCTTTGAACCCGATTTGGACCCCTTCCCTCTCCCCGCGGTGCGGGCCACGCTTGCACAGACGGATCCTCAGCCTGGGCCTGGTTTGATAACACGAAACGCCAACGTCAGGTCTCGCGCAGGGATGAAAGGTGGGCTGAAGCTGGCTATCGACGCACCTTCCCCGGCGCTGACAACATCAGCCCTCCTGTTGTCTACCTGTTGCCTCTGCAATAATCCTTCCAATGTTTCTACTCCCTTGGTGAAATCTGTCGTCGTTCGCTTTTCGTCTCAACACTCTTTTGCTTTCGGTCTCGCATTCAACACGTCGATGATCTTGTAGGCAATGATAATGAACTTCTATCAGTCCAACTTCGCGGCCTTTGTGCTGCTCAATGCCGTCCTGGCGTATCGGGAATACAGACAGGGAGGGGAGGTGCCGTTGTTGGAGAAGGAGAATAATCCGAGGAAACAGGTCGAGAGTAATGATAAGGAGGCTTTGAAGAGGTTTAAATGGCGGTTTCTACCGATTTATTTGCTGGTTAATGGGGCGGATTGGTTACAGGTATGTGATGGTTGTGGATGGTAGAAGTGGGCTGACGGTGGGACGTAGGGACCGTATATCTATCCTCTGTACAAAGGTAATTATCCACTTTCCTAGCTATAATTACCAGCAGCTTCATCTATAAACTCAGAATCTAGCTAACACATTCCAGACGAAAAAGGTCTAGCAGAAGAAGTAGTCGCCGCCCTCTTCATGACCGGTTTCCTCGCCGCCGCCATCTCCGCCTCCTTCACCGGAAAACTCGCAGATAAATACGGTCGACGCCTAGCATGCCTCTGTTTCTGTCTCACCTACTCTCTCTCCTGCCTCACCCTCCAATCAAACGACATTATAATTCTCTTCGCGGGACGAGCCCTGGGTGGCATCAGCACGACGCTTATGTACTCGGTTTTCGAGAGTTGGATGGTCACCGAATATAATGTCATGTTTCCCGATGCGCCGGATAGCACTTTGAGTGGGATTTTCAGCACGATGACGACTTTGAATAGTGTAGTTGCCATTTTGGCGGGCGTTATTGCGGAGTGGGTTACGGATTTGACGGGGACGGAAAAGGCGCCTTTTATGACTGCGATTATTTGTTTGTTTGTTGCGGCTGCGGCTATTTGGAAGAACTGGGTGAGTTTTGCAATTTATAGAGTGATTGATTGTTCTAATTGTGAATAGGGAGAAAACTATGGCGAGGTATCGTCAAATCATGGCGCTTTGGATGTTGAAAATCTGGCAACGCCGAAAAAGAGCACACTGCGGTTATTCTTGGATGGTATGACTCGTAATTACAGATCGTGTACGATTTGCTAATTTTGATAGATAAACGACTTTTGGCTCTGGGCGTAACATCCTGCTTTTTCGAAGGCTCGATGTACATTTTCATTTTCTTCAAATTTCCCGCCTTGAAATTATCACACAAACTTGCGGGTCTTGAATCTGGTAAGAATACCTTCTACTCATTGAATTGATTATAAACGCCGAATGCACAGCTAACAAAATTTAGACCTGCCTTTTGGCTTGATCTTTGCGATTCTCATGTGCAGCATGATGCTCGGATCCCTGCTGTACAACTATGTCGTGACCCGACACTCTCACATCACCCCCTCGCAGATACTGATCACGATGCTTTCCGTTGCATCTGCCTCGTTCGTCGTTCCAGTCCTTGTTCGAGATGAACACATCACATTTTGGTGTTTCTGCTTGTTCGAGGTTTGCTGTGGAGTTTATTTCCCGTTGATGGCGTATCAGAAAGGCAAGGTCATCGACGATAGTGTGAGGGCGAATGTGTACGGTTTGATTCGGGTACCATTGAATGTGTTCGTGGTCCTGGTTCTGAGCACTACACGAGAAGGTAAGAAAACAAGGGTTTTTCAAAGTGATCTTGCGCTAATTTGAATTAGGCACCCAGCACCGAGACATGGTTTTCACCAGCTGTAGCGCACTGCTACTCACAGCTGTTGCGGTATGCAACGCTTATTTGTGATAACATTGGTATCGGCGACAGGCGTTGGACAACAATCATATTTACTAGACGATATGTAAAATTAGGTCAATCTACGAGACACGATGCGAGGCGCTTTCAGGATTAGGTTTTGGGCGTTGGTATTTGGATATGCCCATGTATTACTAGAATGTGGAAATTCAAAGTATATTATTCATCCACGACCACTTCTTGCGCCAGGCGATGTCGATGTCTACTCCAGAGCTCAAGGGATCGTTAGTAACAAAGAATTGGCTCTTTGTTTCAGTAATTATGGCAAAGGTTGTACTCAACAATAGCTTTGTAGCGAAGCCTGAACAACGTCAGTATTTGCAAAACAAAGACATTGTAGATTATATCACCATCACCCAGAATATCCCTCTCACATCCAGTCAACGCGTTCTTTACCACATCGAACGTACTCCAGCATACGATTGACTAACAGTACGTTTTCGTCTCCTCATAGGTAAGCCCCCAAACACACCACCCTACTAACCATCCTACACAAAAATGTGTCTCTCCACCTACGAACTCCACGCCTGCGGCCACATCTCCGATAAAAAGCCTATCTTTATAACCCACTGCCCTGACGTCTGCAGCGGTGGCAAACGCGCCCCTACCCCATGTCAAAATCAGACTAGTCGTGTCACGTCGCGTGGCTCGGAACGCTGTGATACGTGTGAGGTGAGGCGGGTGGGGGAGGAGGAGATGGTGTGGCAGGAGTTTGGGGTTGGAGGTGTGGGTAAGGACGGAGGGAAGGATGGAAGGGAGGGGAAGAGGAGGGGATTGGGGGCTTTTGGACGGAGGGGGAGGGGAAAGGCGGGCAGGGAGAAGGTGAGTGATGTTGAGGTGCTTTTTGAGAGGGTTGTTGATTTTGAGTAGAGCTAGGTGGGTAAATTAGAGGCTGAAGTTCTTTTGACTGCCTAGTCGATAGGTAAGCTAGTGCTTGAGGCTCTATGGAGTTTGGGTAGTCTTGTAACTCTTGTTTTGGATATATTTTGGGGGCTGGGATGGATATAATAATATACATAATTCGCTACTTTCATTTTTCGTCTTTCTTTTGATTTTTGTGTAACGATATTAGCTCTTGATGTGAATGATTTCTCCTGAAGATATGGTGATAGAGTCTCAGGCTCTTGAGCTCTTCATGGAAAATCAACTTCGAGTTACAAAGTCACGTGTGACCAGCCTGTTGCGTGCTCAACCCCATCAATTTATGCGCAGCAAATATCATACCAGCCCACACTACTTGTATGATACATCTTGAGTCTTTCCGACAAAGGACAATCTGTTTTTCTTAGCAATCAAATAACTCTGTTTGTTACGAATCTAAACCATCAGAAAGTCATCATGGAAACAGACTGTGTTGCGGCTGCGGGGACGAAAAGAAACATTGATGAAGTAGAAACTGAAATTGTGCATCAACAAACTTTGAGTCGACAGAAGTCAACAGTCGAAGGAAATCAACCTACACACGAGACCGGTGCTAAGGATGACGAGATTTTCCCGATAATTCTTCCCATCTTGTCGCATCTATCTCCATTGGCAGGGACCTCAGGTGATGGGGAACCCAACAGCAACTTGTGCAAACGCTGCTCAATGATTGACCTTGATACTATACTTTCGAGACAACACAGAAGAAGGAAGGGCCAGCGTGAACACAGGCTTAGTCCCGTCGATAGATGGGAAATCAGTTCATGTCCTCTTTGCGATTTGTTGTATTCGACGATGCCAAATACTTGCTTCGATAGCGAGATACCCTTCGAGACGTACTCATCCAACAAAATGGGAGGTGAGACATGCCTCTGACATGGAGATTAAACCGTTATATAAAGGTATTGTTTTAGGTCAGGACCTCCAGACCACGGGCCATACCTTACCGGCTATATTATAATTGTCTGTAGGAAGATAGGCGATTCGTGGGAACGAGTAGGGTTTGGGTGGCTCAGTCATAATAACCATACGAAGTATTCCAGTCACGGGGTTAAAGGAATTACAGACAATCGTACGTATGATAGAGATACCCTCAACTGGTCGAAGCCGGTGGATTTGGTGAAATCTTGGGAGGAGGTTCGGCTTGAATGATCGATTAACACGTTCTATCTTTGAATACTTGAGATGCCACAATCCTCCAACTCTTTCAATTTCTTTGTCTGAACAGAACCTTTTTGAAAAGTCTCAGACTCTCAGATGACATCAAGATATTCATAAAATTGCTTCTAGCTAATTCTACTCCAGAGAATTTCAAATTGTAAAACTCATAAACAACTGAAAGACTGCTCATGTCTTTGCAAACGATCATAGATGGGTTTGAGAAAAAGATAAGCTGAGCACGTAGCTACATTGGGGAACTCGATTCTAGATGGAGCTGTCCAAATCTTTCATCTAGCATAAACAACTCAAAATCCATCCCCCGAAGCTTCCACAAAAAGCGTCATTTTCCAGAAAGGTTCACTGCATTTCGACCAATCATTAACGAGATTGAACGCACATCGAGCACTGACGAGCCTCCTTTTTTCGAACGGGAAATGAACATTCTTAGCCACACGTACTCGATAAGTCTCAAAGTCAGCTTGAAGCATCGTGGAGTTATACTCGTACTGCTCGAGTTTCTCGTTGAGATCTTTGAGACTGGTATCCGAAGCCGTCCAAGGAACAAGCGTGAATTCAGGCTCAGTCATCGGCCGATCACCATTTCGGGACCATTTCCAGACATAAACCATGAAACTAAATTTAGATCTTTCTCCACGTCTGAGAGGGTCGAAGTCATAACCACCAAAGACTCTGAACCCTGCACAGTCTAAGCCTAAATCATCAGAAACGAAAAATGTTTGGTCAGTAACGTCCCATCGAGACCAGGGCCAGACGTTGTTGATATACATTTCGGGTGGAAGATCGATTTGAAGAACACGAGACCGTGAACCAAGTACGATACTTTCGAGTAAATAATTCGGAGCGTGCGCTGGTGGCAGTCGATTTAGAAGATACATGATCCTACTTTGCATAGATGGAAATGTATTTTCCTCGCCGATCAACACCCAAGGATCTTCTCGCACAAGCTGCGATACACCACACTTTCTAAGACGAATTCCAAAAACACGTCCATCAATAGTTTTGCAAACCTTCATAACGTACCGGTAACCCTGCTGACGGGGCACTTTCTGCAATGCCAGTCTTGTATGGACTTTTATTCCCTGGTTCGATATAGAAAAGTCGTTGGTCGATTGAGCGTTGACGGCGACGAAAGTCCCACTTTCAGCAAAGTCATCGGTAGCTGAAGCAAACATGGAACATGCGACTGGGGCCTGTTCATCATCGCCTGGTGGCTTTTTTGATGTCCACGCAAAAATACTCAAATCTGGAGATATTCGTATGATCTCTTCTTGCAACCGAAAGAAAGCCTTTCGACCTTCTCCATAAAGCATGGGCATATTAACGTCAAATATTCCTGTATTTCAATTAGTTCAAGGTATTCGGCCACATACGTGAAATGTGCTGAATACCTAGCAAACAATAAGCTTCATCTTCTGCTCTAGTCGTAACACGTCGAGACGCCCATGACATTCTCTGAGCAATTGACATGGAAAGCATCGATCGCGAACCCTTCAAAACATCTTGATGGATACCAGTGATACGCTTAAGCAAGTGACTGTCTTCACCTTTTCGAAAGACCAGGTTCCACTTTCCATCATAAAACCAAACGTCCATAGGCGCAATCAATTCCTGGAGCGTCCACCCACGACTGAACCAGCGGCACTGAGGCAGCCTTTTACGCCAAGTAGGTGTTGAATCCAAGTCAAACAAGTAAGCATAACACTTCTCAGCTTTCTTGTACCATTGATACATAGAGTTGATAGCCTCTGAGAGCTCGGCACTGCTTGATTTATCTATACAACAAGTATCGATCCATGCGTACTGAAGCCCATCTTCTCGGGCAAGCTGGCAAGTCATGGAGATTTTCGTATAGCCAAGCTTCGACTTGTACGCCGGATCTGTGGTCATATCTTTCAATGATACCTCCCCATCCCCCCACGTATGAGAAAGAATGGCATATGGAGGCACACTCGTGTCGATAAATTCTTCCAAAAGTTCTGTTGACGTATTGAGAAGTCTCATCGTTATGCCGCAAGATTCATGTATTTTGTGTGCCAATAAGTCACTTGTCAATTTTTGGGGAGATTCTGAAACCTCAGCCGCAAATTCCCACCATGGCGCCTGCCGAGTCGTCACGTGCGATTCGATGACCTATTGGTGGCTTAATCTAATGTCAGGTATTACAGCCGCTAACAAGTTCTCCATATATGAAACAATCCAGACAAAACGGGTTTGTGCAGGTATCGAACATTAAAATGTTTATGATACACCTTTTCCAAGCTCAAAACTCTTCAGGATCCTCGAGAACATGCTACACATTCTCCAGCATCCCATTTCCTCCAGCGCAGTGCTAGCTTTTTGAACTTCCTCTCTAGCACGATGGTGGTTACTGTTCAGCCCCTTATTGAGCTTCGCGTAAGCCCAACATATGATGCCACCAGTGAACAAGCAAACCGCGACTTCGTATGAGCTTTCTTCAACAAACCCGTTGTTGATGGCAAGATGCGCAATTTCAAGCATAGTGAAAACGTGATGCATTGTGGAATTAGCAATCTCGCTGTTAGCCCCTTTAGTAGAAATGCTGAGTCAGTAACTGGTTCTGCCATGTAGCGATAGTGGGACTAAATCCACAGATAAAGGAATCGGTTGAGAACAACTTACAATGCATAAGGTTATCTTCCGCAAAATTCCCATCATTGAGATTATTAGACCGACCAGCGACAAGATGCATATCACTAAGACTGACATCTAGTGCAACGAAAGCTAATCGATGGAGCAATGCCGCGGCAGTTGATGTATCGATGCCTTGATAGCACTCACCCCAACTCTCGACACCATCAGCAAGCCATTGCCGTCGTTCTTTAAGACCTTTACCCATGGGTAAGGCTTGACCACCAAGGTAGCCTCCAAGACCCGTTGGATTGAGCATGGATGTTGATTGTCGCCACTCAAAGATATGCGTATGAAGTGCATATATGAGAACCAGTTTTCCAAATTCAGAGCCGACATTGGTTACTGGCGGTGGAGGCTTGATATATCTTCTCAATAGGCAAGCATTTAGAGCGTGAAGGTAGTATCTATTTCGTGTTAGATGAGTTGTCACAGAACGAATTCCCTAAACGTAGAAGCAATTCCAAGTACTTACGTTACAGGTGGCGCATCTGCGGAACCCAGCATCGACTTCCATGATTCCGCTGTTGGGACTTCCCAAAATTCCTCGGCGCAAGGAAACGCACAATTTGTTGTTTCCGCTTTACTGACATATGGTTGATTATTGAATAGCGCCGGATACATGCAGTCGAACATCTAAAAAGGCAGCAAGTAAGCATAATATTATCATTAATGCAACCGATAGCGCGAAACAACGCATAAACATCATGTGGGTTCTACTTACATATATACAAAGACCGAGTCTCTTTCGCTTTTCGGTCTCTACCCAGGCAAGCCAGATCGCGTCTAGCTGACTCAGTCCTGGACGCTGAAATTGTTCATGTGACACTCTAGACGAAGGTCTGCAGTCTAAAAGTCGCGCTCTTCTACAGGCCGTTATGAGCGTACCTCGACCACCTTCAGCAAACTCATATGCCCGTTTGCTTCCACTCCATGTCCCAGCTAGACACAACAGAAAAGCGGTCATGATATTTTCCGTTCTTCGCAACTAATGTTCATTAGCTTGGGGTCAAATTCAATATTTCACGAAAACCTACAGCTTTCGAGTCCATTTCATTATTCCTCAAAACGGCTAGTCGCAGGTGATCATAGAAAAGCCTCGAAAAGCGCCCTCTATCTATGCGTGAGTGGCTAGATCCTAGGAACATCATTGCGACTAGCAGCAGCGGCGGGCTATTGTAAATATCGAATGTCGGAAGGTGTAGAACAGGGAATCGTGAATGTATATATCTAATGTACAGTCGCAAAAAGAAATCGAGCGCCTCGGCTGGTGGAAACTTGGAGTCGGTAATCTCAGACCGAGACAAATCATTTCTGAAGTTTTCTCCCTGCAGGGCAGCCATAAGATTCGATCGTATGGAAGTACTGATATGTTGATACGGGCGTATTGTCGTTGCAGACAAACCACTAGCTCTCGCTTCGTCGAGAACATTCTGCCATGATACTGGAAATAAATGAAGCGGAACTACCCTAGCTGTTCGTTGTCGTCTGCTAGCGATACCTCCTTCTTTGTCTGGCCAATCGTTCGTATCTTCATCTTCAACATCAGCGGCGTCTAGCTGATTTACACCATCTGGCCGATATGATCCTGTTTGATAGCCATAAGGATCGTCAGCGAAAGTCCGGTTGCTATTGCGCATCATTTCCGGGTCTAGATATCTATCTGGGGGTGATTCCGAATGAAAGGACTCCAAGGTCCAGGATATATCGGCATCGTAGGTACCCATATATGTATTTGAATTATCACCAAACATCATGAATCCTCCCCATAAAGAAGGATCGAAGTTCTGCATTGGCGCGAATGAGGGATCTGGCTGTGGCCCTAGAGCGGCTTCCATCAGGCTCGCGAGTCGTGGTGCCGGTGTGTGGTTTGGAAGCATGGAAGAAGCTCCATTCGAAAACCCATTTTCTGGGAGAGCAGAGGTCTGGTAAGGGTTATTGCCGTACTGAGGCTCATACACATCTCTAGGCTGTTGCATTGGAATGGCTGTACGGCCATGTTGCTGGTAAGCTGCGGTCTCAATCGACGTCTCTCGCTTAACATCCCTTTGAGGCGAGGGTGTATATTCGATTGATGACCCAGCATTACTCGAAGGCTTGACTTGGTTTTCATGAATTCGACGATGTCGGTTCAGGAGATCACTACGAGTGAAGCGCTTTCTACAAATAACACATGCAAATTTGCCAACATCGTCGTCTAATTATGCTGTTAGTAAAAGCTTTATATATAATAGTATGCATTTGCTCCTTGATCAAGTGAAAGAGTGTAAGGCAATTCAAAGTATCGAACATTCCTCATAATGGACTGCATGCTCATTGGCTTGTTTGAAGTATTAACAACAGGATGTAGGCTTTGTTCACTCTTTTCTTTCTCGCTTTCTGACTCTCAAAGCAGCTTTCAAAGGCAGCGGTAACGTGATTTGAAAGCTTTTGCCTCTAGGTGCTGACTTTGACTCCCAAGAGTTCAATGCAAAAATACCGTGGAGCCTAGCTCCAAAGGAATACAAAGAATAGACTCACGATTAGCTTGATGCCTCGTCAAGTTTTCAATCCGACTAAAATTCTTTGGGCACCTAGGGCACTGAAATCTCTGACCAGGCCCATCACCGGCCTTCCTCTCCTTTGATTTCTTCGAACCCACTCCATTTCCCGTACCGACGGTACCGTCCATCGATCGCCCCTGGTCGACCCGCCAGAGCGGTCTCCAATAACGCCTGGATCCTGGATAATATGTCGTTACTGAGGCGAAAGGATTTAGAGTGGACGTCCACGGCGTGCTTATTCTGCAATTGGTGTAGATCAATGTGGACAACTTTTTTCGAGGTGGACTTTTCGGCAGGACGCATGGGGGGAAATTGGCACTGGTACGGTAGCCGAGACGTGGCAGGTGCGACGAAGTAGTGACACGTGACGCTACACCCATGTGTTTCACTTGGCGGGAGAAGAAAATCTCATGGATACAACACATCACCACATGAACAAAAGTATCAAAGGTTCTCTATTTGAAATGAATGGTACAGCGTTGTTGCCTTTGAAAACAGCAAAATGTCCAGATCTTATTCATTTAGTATTGTGTTTTAGACCCATCGTTCTCAGTAGGCGCTAGATCTATGAATCCTCATCGTATCGAAGAATCCCTCTTATCGAAAAAGTGGTCCACAGAGTTCTCTGTAGCAAGTTTGTACACCTTGGCCCAGTCATGGCACCGACGGGGGCTCCTAAGGCATCGACGTCGTTGATCCGCGGGCCGTTGACGACTTTGACTGGGGTTTGAGTACGGGTTGCTGCGTAATTTTGAGAGCTATTGGCAAACTAGACATCGTTTTGACTGGGACTGTTGAATCGTGAGCGGGCAATCAGAAAGTATGGTCAATGCTTGCTGTGAGGAGTGAAGAGTGCATTGGGTAGATCCCCAAAAATGCTTTCCTAAGTTTTACCTCCATTCGAAACCCCAGAATACAAATGCCGCGTTCTTCATCAACAATGCAAGCATACATAATGGTATCAACAAAATTCGCCGCTGTCGAGGTTGGGCATTTGGAATTTCTCCAAACTTATACTTCTTAACCGGCAAATACATCTGTGGCATCTTGCCGAACTAAACCGTGATACCAATTTGATTGTCCGAAAGGCATCAATATAAGATCTTCGGACCGTGACAAGATATGCCCCCAAAAAGATGCCCACTCGGCTCCCACGGGCGTCTTGTCGTTGATGTCAGATTGTCAACCGAGATCCGAATGTGTTCGGAAGTGGAAAACACACCCACTGTGAGGGAACTCTTGCGCATTACCTCCATACCTCAGATCTTTAGAACTCAGTCTAAACGCTTGCCAAAATCAGTCGTATGAGTCTTGCCCTTCGATATATCACTCGCTTTGTTGATACACGTCAGTCACGACTTATAAACCCCAATTGTCCTGCCACAATCTTTTTGACGGAAGATGCAGGGTGCGATATGGGAGAGACAAAATTGGGACGGAAATTATCAGCACAAATACGAACATGTCCAAAGGTCTGATACCGAATCCAGCGAAACACTCGAGGAAACGTATTACAACACGAAACTGCAGCCTATCAGCCATCGTCGCTTTAAGATCGTAGGACTCTTGCTGTTTGTGTTGGCGGTCGTTGCTCTTGGGGGAGCGGGTTGGACATGGATAAGAACAGATAGAGGATCCATCCGTTGGAATGATCTCAGATTAGATCCCCATGCTCCACGACGAACACCACTATCATGCGGAAATTCTACAGAAGAGGCCGAGGCACTGGACTGCGAATACGACGTTCTTGCTGCCAATTGGCTTCACCGAGATTGTCCACGAAATTACGTGGATGAATTTTATTATTTTCAGAATGGTACAGCTTGGCCCTATTATACGGATCAGAACGGAACACATCAGATGAGTCTCTACGAGCTTGCTCACAAGGGTTATTACTGGAGTTCTACAAGAGAGCATTTGGTTCATTGTTCCTTTATGTTGAAAAGGGGTCATGATGTTATGGCACGAGGTGACAGGCTGGACGGTCTGGTGGGAAGCTTGGAACACGCAAATCATTGTGCACAATATCTGATGGAAAATTTGGGACTTCCAGACGAGGAGCTAGATAAGATTCGGACATACGGAACGATTGGTTTCCTGGTCTGTTAAGCGGAAGGCTATCATGTATATGAGTACATAACGAGCGATCATCCGTACCAGAGATGTAAAGTAATAGCAATCTGCTTTCAATTATGTCCAGTTATAAGTCCTTTCTTCTTCTAGTAGTCTGTAACACTTCCAGGAAATATGAAATGCCCTAGTATTACAGCTAACATCTTATGCTCTAACAGCTAAGCACCGTCACAAAGTCATTATTCCGTGATGCACTGAATGCTGGCTAACAGATAAGTCGCCCACTAATTCATGAGATTCTCTGATATTTTACTTCTGAATCATGAATTTGCCAAATTTATCGTGGGGCTAACCGCTCAGGATCAATCAAGCAATAATGTTGAGGAAATATTTCGTTGTTCGGAGATGATTAATGACCGCCCCATTAAGTCCAAATCTTTACCGCTTGCTAACTAAAGTTTTCTTCGTGCCGAACATCTAGAGTTTTCCGACTATGCAATTTCAACATTATAATAACCTTCCTTGGTTTATATATTTCATCACCCATATATATTGTTTCTGCTTAATGGATGAAAGAATTACGGTGCTGCCGAAAACCCCTAAATTACATATGTTCAAACTAATAATAGTATCTAACTCAGCTCTACATGCCTGTTCGTGTAAATTAAAATCCAATCTCTTCCGGTCGGTTTACTCAAATCCGAGTAATTAGCGAAGATTTATCGTAACCCTCGTCCATGATAAAACTCGCCAACTTCGGAGTTTTGGGTTGAGATATTCCAGTTCCGAAATTCGGATATCAGCAAGCATCGGAAACCAGATTAATGATTACGGGTACGACCTGAGTTTCGTTAGTTTGCGGTGATGTGTCGGACTTCCCTGCAAGCTTTCGCTGGTAACCTACCTGTGGGAAAATCCGCAGTGCTTCGCAACATCCCTCGGTTCTGACTTCGGACCGAAGTGAAGGTTACTTTCGTCTTGAAAGTTATGCACTCACTGTCATTTATCCGAATTCGGAATTTCGAGCTACAGATATCCGGCGCACATCAATTGCCAGGTACGGGTTAATATCGGTTTTGGGGCACTGTCTTGACGACTTTCGATTTCAGAACCCTCACGGTCCCGTAAAATATTCATGCTAATACAGGCACAAAACTTTTCAGACCGTCTGATGTCTGTTAGTGTTTTAATATTATCTTCCAAATATCAATAGAATTCGGACCAACATGTCTAACGCTCGAAGCTTCAAATACTTGCCAATCTTGGTCCAGGACGAAGAAAGTGAAAAAGACTTTATCCACCGCCCCAAACGAATCATTCCGGCAAATTTGTTGAAGTTTACTTGCCTTCTAATCGTTGCATTGCCGTATGCTCACATCCTATGGCCAAAAGAACACTCAGTGTTAGGTACATGTGGATTATCGACTGATATACTCTTTGGTTGTAGTGCGTAAGCATCAAGAATATTGTATTGCTTTTGTTGACAATAAATCACAGTACCTTGAAGAGTAGTGGTCATTGAGAATGACGAGATGTTTCTTACAACAGATCCGTTTGTGAATGATAGTGAAGACCAGCTCAATCCCCCTTGGGACGAACTCTACGTCGGTACGAATACAAGGTTCTTTTCAAGACACGATACTGACCCCTCGTCACAGGAAGTTGGGTTGCAATAGAATATCCTTCCATTGTTGGGACTCCGCCTCCTGGCATGAGAATGAATGAGGTAGCAGCTGAACCGCATAAGTGGGCAGAAGAGAGTGAGGGTTACGGAGTCGCTGTCATGCATCAAATCCACTGCATTGTGAGCCTGTTCATACAATATATTTAGTTTGGGTGCTAATTTCTCCAATTCTCTAGATGACTATCAAGCATGCTCTGTACGAGTACGAAAGAAACAATATATCAAGAACCAACAAAAACCATCTGCATCACTGCTTGGAAACACTTCGGCAGGTAAGTTAAACCAAAACTTTCCACGGTTGGTTCTAATCCTGTTGAATGTACAGTCTATCATGTGTCATGCCGATCTTACACTCGAACACCCCGAAGACAGAGGAAGTACGCAGGGTCTTTCAGGTTGGGGTAACACTCACTTTTGCCGCGACTGGCCCAGCGTTGTTCAATCCATTCGGGATAGAGCAATTGAACGTACTGCTGAAGGTTGGATTAGGGCAACGACATCCGGCACAGGAAAGATTGATCATAGCCAGCATGGGTGAAGGTCAGCAGGCTGTCGGTAAAGCTGTGTATGCAGTGCTTTCCGTGGAGGTATGTCCGAGCACTTGCGCCTTTGTAGAGAGATACACGGCGAGTGCATGTTTGTCATGTTGTCTATCGTGTGACAATGCTTCTCGCATTGATAATGAACAAGATCTTTTGGACTACGGAACCTTCTATTTTAAAGTCTCCGACTGTTATAACCTCTCTAACGCAAATGGCTGTTATTGTGAGCACAAGTATCGATGGCGAATGTTAACACCTCCATTAGCCTCAACCACAAAATGCTTATTTGCGAAAGCATTTTAAGGTAATGGAATTGTAATACGGTAGTGGAAGATAAGGTTCCACTTACGTAGCGGTGTAGATGTCAAAGCTTGTGTCTCCATGCATTTTCTTAACGTGCTTAAGCATTTTGGATTAATATTCGGTGCCAAGTTCTGTGTGGACCCTTCTATCATGCGCTCGTTCTGTTTTAGCACCGACATGAGTTGACGATATGACCGTCCCGTCAGCCAGAGCGGGAAATTCTAGTTACACGGCATGATGAGTTTATCGGCAATAAAGTAGAATCATTGCGATCTCGACCTGTTATGAAAGTTTTCGATATACTCACATTTAAATTGACGAAAATGGCCGACTACCAAGGTTCCAAGCGACACAAGAGGTTAATCCGTCGTCGCGGTGCGTGCGAAGTCTGCAAGCAAAGAAAAGTACGCTGTGAGTTGACAGTAAAATCAGATAATGATATTTCTCCTAAAATTAATTAGGCGATGGAGGAAAGCCATGTGGCCAATGTCAAGTAAGTTTTTCTCAGCCATGTACCTTGTTGGTATCGGAAATATGCTGTGTTGACCAGTAAAAACTAGAAATCATCATGTGACTGTCGCTATAAAGTCATAAATCATTCCCGAAGAGGATCAGAAGAGGCGTTCGGTGGTGAAACTTCTCGACACTCCCTTGATCCAGACCAACAGTCCAATCAGTGTTCCCCAGAACTCACGTCTTTGTTATCACCCCCAAGAAGCCTAGATATTACGAAATGGCTTCCTTCAGCACCCTTGGTAAACGCAAGGGATACAGTGGCATCGACTACAGATGATTTGTTGGCAAAACCGGATATCACAAGTACACTGGACTTCTCGATCCAAGAGCATCATTTTATGGAATCCGACTGGAACGCGTTGAACGAAACATTTGATTTTGAAGACGGAACAATCTCAGCAGACTTCTGGCAGTCTCTCGAGTCTCAGAATCTCTCGGGAAGTTCAAGCGTTGATACCGACATGTCCAATGACAATCATCAACGAAGTTTAAGTAGTAGCTCCAACTTTCCCCAAACACGGATAGAGTTAGGGCTCAGTGTAAGATAAATTTATAACCCACCTGCAATCCTTCAATGTTGATCAATTCTTAGGTCCAAAAGCCTGTACTAGCTGACTCTGGTGGGTTTAATTCCGTTCATGAACATTTAAACAAGCTAAATATTAACAGATGACTTCCACTCTATCAATCTAGCTGTGCCTCCATTTTTTCCCGGTTTAAAAGCAGAAAACGTCAAGGTCAGCAAAAGTCAGCAGCAGGAAATTTCCAAAATTCTGAGAAGACTGGCAGCGGGACAACTCTGTACCCTACCTCGTAATTTCTCAAGCGATAGCAATAATCCTTCTCCTTTGCTTCATAGAAGAAGTTTCTATCAAAAATGCATCGACGGTGAGAGTTTCAAGTCAATCAACATATAGACATAGTAAGCTGATGTTACTGTTTAGCTTGCTATAGTGACCCACAAGGGTAAGCTTTATCAGAGGCACGTAGGCTAATCGGTTAGAATTGATCTTTTCTTAGATAGGAAGATTGTGGAAGATGCCATTGAGCACACAGAACATCAATCGACGAAGGATCCCATTTCCTTAGCGCTAGTAAATGCTGTGCTTGCACTTGCTGCTCATTATCTCAACTCCCACGAAAACTACCATGCGCCCGAAAAGCCATCATATAATGCATTTGTACTATTTGATAAGGTATTCTCAGTTCGTCATCAGCTAACATCAGGCACAATCTCATTACTGGACATGCAGGTAAGAAAGACTAAACTTTGCGAAAGCAATAGAGAACCTTAAACTTACGCTGGACAGGTTCTATTAGTAATGGTAAAACTCCGCTTTTTAGATCCCCAGCCGACTTATTTGATAGGACAACTGACGCAACTGAAAGATTTATTTTTCGATCCGTGCAGGATCAACAGCAACTCCAGAACTTATGATGGCCTCCATGCAATGTATGCAGGCCCTTCGCTTGAACGACTGTGGATCAATATATCGAGTATACCCAAAGGATGCGGATCAGAAGCAAGCGCGAAAAGCTTTATGTTTCTTGTACTGTATGGAAAAGCCGTATTGTTTACGATATAGGATGTTTTCTGTAAGATGTTTGTATGGGCTCGCGAGACTGTCTAACTTACATATAGATACTGAATGATAAGTTTGTGGAAAACGTTCCACAAGAGGTCACCGAAGATTTCAACTGGCTTTCGACTCAATACCATTTTTCAACTTTATGCTCCAACATGTCTCGCAAGCTGTACGGGAGTAATGGGAGAACGCTACATTATGGCAGGTTGGAATCTGCGCTAAGGGGCTGGAAAGAAATGCTCCCGTTCTCTGATGATTTTGATAGCCAAAAATCGTACAACTACTCTGCACTCAGTACAACAGACCGAAGGGTGCGCTTGAGGAACCTCTTTCAATATCACGAAACTCTTATTACGCTATTCATGGGTGCCCTAGATTTTGACGAATCAGCACACGACACAGTTGATTTTGACCAGGCGCAAAAAGCTGAGATTTGCGCTGCATCAGCAAGAAAAATCCTAACTGTAAGCTGTCAACTGAGTACAGCTGATTTTCAAGAAAACTGGTTTGTGTTCATATGATCTAGCAGCTACTTGGAGGTTCGCTAACGCTTGTGATAGGCCCTTGTACCATCTGGTGTGTGTTTCAACATACGTCTTGTCAGTTTTCATTATTCAAAAGCCAGACAATCGGAAAGATTTGTCATATCTCGGAATGGCATTAGGATTTTTCGGGAGATTATCCCTAAACACCGATTTGCTGTTCGAGGTACCGTTTGACGAAGTTACAGAATTGGTTAGATTCGTTCACGAGACAGTGAAGAATTATTCTCAGCAAAACAAAGAAATTTGAAGCAAGCTGTACATGTTTTGATGAGCTGACGCTAAGCGTGAGGCGGTGGTGTGAGCAATTGAATTAGTACTCGGACGAGAAGAAGATATGATGAGTGTCGACTCCTTGATCGCGCCCGAAGAGATCGACTCACAAACATACATACATACAACATCAGTCTTCTCCGTCTCCCAAAAGCTTCACGGGCGCGTCTACTATTTCTCTAATTATCAACCCATCGTTTATCGACGGTACCGTCAATAATCCAGTATCTTGATAGAGAAAACCTTTGACCTTTACCCATATCTTGCGCTTATCGAAAATTGAAGGTATTCCGTGCTGAAGGCGCTCCACATCAATGGGGCTTCGTGTTTCTCAACTTTCAGTACTCTTCACTCTGGCGGCAAAAGAATCCGTTGCACTTTGTCAACTTACATTTACTCGAGACTTCGTAACCTTCAAATAATTGTTAGGATTTTTATTATACGCTGTGATACTGCTTCATCTTCAGAAGTTATCAATCCCCACCCTCCCAAAACCCAATTCTTGGGGGATTTTTGCTAGAACCTTGGGGTTATGGTGATGATGAAGGAAAGACCAGTCAATGAGGTAATCCTATTCAAGACCTGCAATGACTCTTTGGTTTACGATACAAGTCGACCTTTCAATTATCATATGGAACTTCTTCGGAATCACATGAATGAGGCATAGTGGAGTAGAAGTTGCCCATAGATTAGATTTCTGGGTAGACATAGGGAGAGAATCCCCCAAGACAACAAATCTGATGCAATCCCGGTATTGATGAGCTTCAAGTGCAATTCAAAATTCGAGGAGTCCGATAAATAAGAAGCAAGTCGAAATATCAATACTCCAGCATCTTTCACTCATCCGCCCTGCCCTCCGTCACCCTCTTCTTTCACGCCCTCACACCCAAGTCTCTATCAACTCTTTGATATAATCCCCGTTTTGAATGTTTGCCTTGGGATTATTTCTTCTCAACCTCGTATTCTTCAAACTTCGGGCTCTTGTTGCCAGTGGCTTGACGCTTCACGACTTCATGATCCTCGTATTTTGGGCTCTTGTTGCCAGTTGTTTGGCGTTTGGTGACTTCATAGTCATCAAATTTTGGGCTCTTGTTACCGGTTGTCTGACGTTTCGTAACTCCATAATCCTCGTACTTCGGGCTCTTGTTGCCGGTTGTTTGACGTTTGACAACTTCATAGTCTTCGAACTTTGGGCTTTTGTTACCAGTGGTCTGGCGGCCGAGAATGCCAATGGCGTTGCTGCCTCCCATGATAGGAGAGGCGATGATAGCGGTCAGCAATGCTGCGACGGAGGCGAGGTGTCCAAACTGCATCTTGTATATCTGAATAATGAATTGACTTATCACAACGATTGAGTATGATCAACGGATGTTGATCAAAAGATAATACCAATCTAGAGACTCGGTCGAGGCCATATATAGTTCAGCAACATTTTCTGACCTTCTAACATCATTCGTCTCGGAACACTTCCTTTTGCCGAACCCTGTCGGCTGATTGAATTCACGGCTTACTGTCACACACCAATAGCCGGTATCCGAGTAGATAGTCCCGACATTTTTTCCATCTATCTTTAACGAATGCAACAGATCCGTCTTTGAAGACCAGTCCGGGATTCATATCCGAAAGACCGGCTTACGGGAATATAGCGTCAGTCGAGCGTTTCATTTCATGGTCAGTACCGAAATGACAGATGGAAGATTTTAAAAGTGGGTTTCCAGTACGACGAAAGCAGTTGTCTTCGGATCAAAGAACTCATTTACCATTTTTATGCTACAAAATAACCTTGGTTGTGAATTAAAAACCAGCACTTATGTACGCAACATTCAACAAAAGAGAAATTGAATTAATTGTACATAATACATTAGTTCTGTAGCTACATATTTAAGTTCATTCCTGCTATCAAGCAACAAAAATCAGATATTTGTTGCAAACAACATACACTGTTGATAATAGAGCTTCTGTTAAATTAATACTGTTAAATGGCAATTTTTTCGTATGTAAAGCCGCCAAACTTGTAATATCTGGGACAAACTGAGCCGTTTTCTAGTTGCGTGGCCAAAACAAGATCACTGCACGCTTTAAGACTTGTATGATTTCCTTCCCTAACCACCACAAATGGTCTACTTGCGCGTGATAGAGAAAACCGACCAGGCCTGGATGATTATATCAGTTTTGGAAACCCCGTTTCGACAATCCGGCTCACCGTTTGGTGCCGAGAAAAATACATTGTAGTTCAACCTCATTCTCTAATATGTGATACTTAGTTCTCCAATTGGATCGCCAACGACACAATTTCCTTTACCCGGGTCTTTGAGGCTTAGTAGCCCACTTGTGGCATAATCCTTGTTTGGATTGAAAAACTGGCAGCGCGCGCTCGAGTAAGGTCCTCCAAGTCCTCGGTTCAAATTCCGAACCGAGCCCCTTCCAAGAGATACCGACTACGAATTACCAGTTTCACATCGCCGAAAAGTTCTTATCCTTAACAAAACTCTAAACCTCTCCTTACAAAGCCGATAATGTCTCAGTACTACTGCACAATTTATTATTCGACCAGCAGGCGCACTAAGAGGTGCGACTTTGGTAAGTTTCCCCGGACTATAAATAATTCTTACTAACAAACGTATTGCTTTAGAACGTCTGGTAAGATTGATTATCAACTCATCCCGAAGGCTCGGTATCTAAACAATGGAATCCGATGAAGAAGACGACACCCTGCTGGAGCATGAGTCTAAGCAGCACAGCGATCAAAGGCGGGTTCAATCGTTGCCTGTTAGAGAGAGACTCATTTGGATGTTTTCTATCTGCGGACTTTGTACTATCTTTGCACTCTGGGTCACGGTCAGAAGCGATTTTGAACTTGCCCCGATATTTAACGCTGAGCCGATGCGGAATCCATGTGGTAACAGTCCAGATAAAGCGAAGAAGAGGGGCTGCGAGTGGGATGTTCTTTCCTTTTGTTGGCTGCCACAAGAGTGCCTTGACCAGGAAATTACAGAGGAGTTTCGGAAAGCTGGCCCTTGGACGTTTTATGGTGACGAGAATAGAACCACAGTGGTAAGCGAAGAGGAATTTGGAATGGATACCAAGAAGGTCTGGCTCACGAATGAGCTGCATTCGACGCACTGCGCTTTCAGTTTGTTGAAGTTTCACAAGGCTTTGTCAAGTGGAAAAATGGTCCATGGACAACTGCCATTATCACATACGCATCACTGTTCACAGGTCCTACAGTCGAAGGGTGACCCTCAGGCGATTGAAGTCTATGCAATTATACAATATCCTGGCTGTGGCTACTTCTCACAAAGTTTTCCGGGAATTAGTTATTCGGCCAAGCCGAGCGGCGAGCTTGGGTGAAAGATGATTAGGGCAAGACAAAAGATTTGTATGGGACAATTTTATGTTATTCTGGCTCAGACTAAAAGCACATTCGTAACAAATTAACAAAATAACAAAAGACATAACATTTGAGACCCCCCGTCAATCTCTAGGGAGTAGTTGAGATGGGAGCAATTAGCTAACTATTGTTTTCCGAAATCCGAAGCATTGCAAGATGGTAGGGGATGTCGTCTTAACCGAGCTCGGAATTTAAGCGAAGGGGGTTCTCGGCTACAAGAATCCCACCTCTTTCAGATTGCCAGTCATTATACTTCGATTGATCTGACGTGCTTAAATTGCTTTCATCATTATTTCTATTGACACACTATTTTGTTCGAAAATCACTACTGAAAAACCTTGTGAAAATGTCGATGAAGGCGCAAGACTGGCATATTAGTGATAGTAGTGTTAGTAATAGTTAACGGCCGTTAACGGCCTACCGTTTCGGTATCTCTTAAACGGACGCTAAGATTAGCCGTTACTTAGCGTCCGTTAAGGCTTTTATAAAACGGACGACCGTTTACCTTAGTGTTATAATCCGTTTAATACACGGCGACCTATAAAGGATTATTAAAGATATACTAATTTCGGTATATTTTTTATTAGTCTAAAGTTAAGGCTAAGTCGGGTATTCCTCGAGATATAGATTATAGCTTTATTTTAAGGGGTTACCGCCTAATACTACTAGTTTCTAGTCTAATTCGTTATAATAATACTACTAAAGAACTCTTAGTTCAGACGAATTTTAACCCCCCTAAACGGTTTTAAACGGCCGTTAACGGCGCTAAATTATTAACGGACGGCCTTTTAGCCCTCTAAAAACGTACCGCGCTCGAGGTACCTAAACGGACGACGGTTAACCGTCTTAGCGTCCGTTAAATTCCGTTTCAACTATTGCAAACACTAAGTAATAGAGACACGTCTGTCCACTCTTTTCTTTCTCCTCACGTTTAAAATGAGAGCCGCCTGTAAACACTGCCTTTACTACTTCGGAAATCAAATATCTCAAGTGTAGCGTCAGATCAAACCCTCTAGATATATCTTTTGGAAGTTCCAGTGCCAAGCGAGAGACATTCCTGGACCCAATTCTATCGCGTACGAAAACCAGCAGTCGGCGATAGACAAAGCAGACAGCCCTACATGCGTTGAACATCACAATGGCATCGCTTTTCTGGCTACTCCTTGTTCGCTTGGGTTTCAGTCCGCCTAGCAAGCACAACGAAAAAGCTCGACTTAATACATGCGGCAATTCCGCTGCCGAAGCAACTGCTCTTAGGTGCGAGTTTGATTCACTGAGCGTTATGTGGATACCCAAACCCTGTATGAATTAGGAAAATACAAAAGAGGTCCTTGCGCAGGGTCCACGGCCAGCTTATACCGATGATAATAGGGCCGCGCTCGTATCAGAGGAGGAGCAAGCACAAGGAGCTACATACTAGACGAGTCTTGCGGAGCAACCTCTTCTACTCCATATAGTAGCTCGGTTTCTACTCGTAAATATTTGTTTAAATCTGCCTCAAAACAGATAGTGGAGTTGTCTGTAACAGTCTTTCTAGACTTTGCTTCTGAGAATCCATCAATTTTATAGATTATCGAGGTACCTCCCTCTGAGTAATTCGAACATACGACACTGTCATAGTATAGTCTTTCCCAGATTCCATCTGCTTTTTCTCCCATGACCCCAATTGAGCCGCTGTCGGTTTTTAATTCTGCGAGAACGCTTGTTCATCAAAAAGCGATAGTCCCAGTGTACCACATTATGAAGGTTTCAACAGTTTAGCGACTTTCTCATTATTCTGGGGCAAGCACGCTGCGCAAAGGTGAGCTACAAATTGAGGATCTCAGCCGAAGAGTCTACAGTATAGAGTGTGTTCAAAATTTCAATGTAAAGTCTGCATGTGCTCATTCTCAGAGAAGCTGATTACAATTCTCTGAAATACATGTGGTGCTCACACAGTAAGTTATTATGAACAACACTACTAGACTATAAATCCGACTGGAAGAGATAATCGAGAAAGCTGACAATATGAATTTGCAAAACTTACTGCAGTTAGTTGCCCTTCAGCTAGGCCCAAATATCTGGATAAACCAACTGCATTGCCAACATGACCAACTGCACAAAGCAATTGCAGAGGAGCATTTCAAATCTCACCACCAATCGGCATCCACAATGCGCACTGGTCATAATCACAGTTCTGATTGTTCTAAACCAAACTAAGATACAAGAAATACCAATCATACAGTTTTCTTGGTCTCGAGAGCTTTCGCCGCCTCATCCATGAACCACTTGCCGCCTTTCTCGATCCCCTCGCGGATACTCACCTTAGGCTTATAACCCAAAAGCCTCTTCGCTTTTTCACCATTCATGGTTCGTTCAATAGTCGTCAATCGTACAGCTTCTCGCGTCACAAGAGCCTGTTCAGATCCCCAACTACGAATCCAAGTACTATACTCGCTTATAAAAGCCATTAACAAAGCAACCCACTTCGGAACAACTCTAACATCCTCGTTCTTAATCGAGAACCCCACCGACGCAGAGATAAGACGGTTAAACTCCCAAAACAATATTCGTTCATCATTGGTAACATTGAAAGTCTCCCCATCGATCCTCATACCTTTTGGCGGAGCTGCCTTGCCATGAGCTCGTAAAAGAGCATACGCCGCCAATAAATGCGCATCAACAAGGTTTTTGATGTAAATAAAATCGTATTGATTTTTCCCGGGCCCGATCTGGAATTTTCCTTTGCCTTGTCGACATGAGGAGACAATCTTGCCCATGCAGATTGTATCTCGTTCGCCAAAGGCCGTCGCGGGTCGCATTGATACAGTCAGCATGGAGGAGTCCCCACGTTTTCGATTTGCGGCTAAGATGAGGGCTTCGGCTTCTGCTTTTGTGAGTGTGTATACTCGTTTCTGGACGGGGTATTGGAGAACAGGTAGGTTTTCGTCGGCGTTGATGAGGTCTGAGATGTTGTCGTGAATAACTGACGAGGTTGAGGTATTGATGAACGCCTTCACGCTGCCAATTTTCTCTGCTGCGTCAAGCAAATTCTGAGCGCCATTGATATTAACTCTTTGAAAGACTGACACGTCCAACGTGACCATAGAGTCAGGACAAGCGACATGGAAGATCGTGCAGGGACGGGCAGCAGACATTGCAGCTTCAACATCTTCTAGCCTTGAAATATCGCCGGTGTGGTACGTGACACGCGGGTCATTGAGACGGTTGGGTGTAGTATTGATATCAATGACATGAATTTGGCAGGTAGGTTCCGAAGCGAGGATCTCTTCAACAAGATGAGAACCAATGAATCCGCATCCACCTGTGATGAGAACTGGGCTCAGTGGAATGATTTCTGTTGCAATAGAATTCGCCATGCCTGTAAGTAAGTTAGAGGATGCAATGTGTGCCGCTAAAGATTAGGTGATAGGAGATATCACAAGTATTCGGGAGAGGTGATGACTTCGAATGCATTCTTTAAAGTTGGTTCGGCTTGACAAACGTGGGTTGGTTGGTTGGAAAACAGCGGCTAAGGGAATAATTAAATTCAGGCAGAAAAGAAACCAGCAGAAGAACTTAATCATCCCATGTCTGTTGGTTGGGAAGTCTCGCTAGGTAAGCTATCAGGTACCATAAGCCAACAATATACGAGCTAATCCACACAACGGCCTTGTATGTTGGTTACCGAGAAAAAACTACCTGCAGCGTTCACTTGAGCAGTTTTCCAGTTCCTGCATATATACCAGCCCATTATTAAGAAAAGAAAAACCAAAGTCACTTGTACTCAATCTCACTTTCCCCTTCCTCTACTACATCCCAATTTCCCAAAAATCACTCGTAAAAATGGCCAGCGGCAGCATCAAATGCACCTACCCCACCGACGCCGGCGCCCTGGCAGGAAACTACTACTCCTTCCACGCCCGCGTCACCAACTCCACAAACGCAATCTACAACGACCTCTACCTCTCCGTGCTCTCCGCCTCGCCCACCGCCGCACATCTGACCCCAGAGGCGCTCTCCCTCTTCTGGCTCGCAGGCAACACGCAGCAATCGTGCACGCGCTCCGCGCCGCTGTGTACAGTCGTCGATGGCCGAGCGGAGTATTGTCTGAATATCAATCCGAATACGGGGGGGTTGGCGGCGGTGAGGCCGGTGGAGGTTGTGGGTGGGGTATTTTTTACGACGGATCATTTTTATGTTGAGAGTGAGGAGGTGCCGTTGGGGTATTGGATTGAGAATCAGGGAGGGTATTTTGGTGAGTGATGCCTTGGGGGGTTGTGGGATGATTGCTAATGGATGTGTAGCTTGTACGGATGGGTTTGGTGAGAGTAGGTACTTCTGATGTTATATTTTTCATTGATGGCTAATTATGCTGTGTAGTTTCTGTGTATTACAGGCTTAGTACTGCGAGTACACCAAGGGGGTGTAGTGATATCTCGCTTAAGATATTGCACTAGGAGGGAGTCTACCGGGAGTATGTTCTAATATCAAAACACAGCTAAATTTACTCGTTGTAAAGATCTGTTTTATCAAAAGTTGCGACAGTTAGCTACGCCTTGAATTGTCATTTGAGACGTTTAAGTGTGGAAAAGGATTGGAAAAAGAAACACTCTAAACATAATCGAAGAAAATTTTAATGTTTCGAGCTTCTCCTTATTCCTTCGTTGTGTTACTTTTGAATAACATGCGCAGAAACATTAGTGTTTCTTAAGAAGAATATAACTCTTCACTAACTCTCTCCTGTGAAAGATTTAACGTCTTTCGTGGTCCGTGTAACTTTGCAATCAGAGGGAAAAGGGTGAATTTCCAAACAAAACCAAATCGAGATGAGAAAACGTAGATTCCAAATGCCTGCGTTGTACAACTTCTAGGCCAGTATTCATTCAACACCTCTCGTTCCTAAAGCAGATAACAGGTGTTTATGATCTAAAGTTATTGTGAAATAATCCTCATCTAAATCCACGCACTCCCGAGCAACCTAAGTATAAACCTCATTCGTCAAACTATTAAAACTCAACCCCTCAACCGCAAAATCCACCCCCTGCATAAACCTCAACGGCATCTCCACAAGCGTCCCCCTCACCCTATTCAGCTCCTCCTTCAACTCCCCCACACCACCAGGAAACTCCTCCGTAACTACATGGCCATATTCATACCTACTAGGCGTCACATCCTCGCCTTCACCCTTAGGAACGAATAAAGCGCCGAAGAACTCCTCGTATTCCTCCCAGGTCGTCACGTTGTCTGCTGGCACGCAGTGAAACGCCTTACTGAAGACGGCGGTGTTGACAGCGGCTGTTTCGTTCCAGAGGAGGTCGAATTCATCACTCAATACATCTCTGACCAACAAATCACCAGGGGAGTCCCAATCGTAAATATTAGGATACCTATTTACCGGTTCGAAATTCTCATTCGGCTGATCGCAGATCTGATGTGGTAACAAGCCCAGATGTTTACGGAACAGCTGGCGACGTAGAGAACTTGCGTACGCGGATGCGGTGTACTCCTGTCCGTTCATGAGGGAGGAGACGGGCGTGGGATCGTCGATTAGGACGGCGATTTCCGAGTCGTGGTTGCCGAGCTGGGAGCGGTCGTTGAGGTTTGCGGAGCCGCAGATTACGATGCGGTCGTCGGCTATGAGAACTTTCGAGTGGATGTAGAGTTCTGGAAAATGTTAGTGAGTGTTTGGGTAAGTGGGAGGGCGTTTGGGCTCCTACCTTCGCTTACGAATGCGTTCATTTCCGCGTCTGGACTTCCGCTCCAGGGGATCTCTGTGATGGAGGGACCGCCGTCCATGTAACATGCACTGACGCTGTCGAATTGACTAGTGTCTTCACCGGATGCGGCTTGTTGGTATTGATCGTATTGCCGATTTGGTTGGCCATATTGTGCACCGGTTTCTTCACCTCGACCATCGTAGCCTGCACCTACTAAATCATCATGCTCGCGTCTCGCATCCTCGTAATCGACACCACTGGCATCCTCGACTCTAGACATGGAACTTCCAGTGTTAAGACGATCGTAATTTCTCAGATTGTAGAATCTGATATATTGTCCAGCATCAGGAACACCTGCTTTCTGGATCTCTTCAATGATACTGTGACCTCCTCGGCAAATGCTTTGATATTGATACTCCATGATCGCACGTGTACCAAGACTGTCGTCGGCGTGTAAATCACCTGCAAACGCAGGAACAGAAGGCATAAGAACAATGACCTTGTATCGTTGACCGGACTCATAGGCTCGAACGACACGCTCTACGAGAGCCGCTCCAATTTGGTTCTTAACTGGACTTTGATGTTCACCAGTTGCGGTGATGAAGAACTGGTTTTCGATGTACACAAAGTGCTCACTGTTTTTGATCACATTGATATAAGCGTTGGCGATGGAGTGCTAGACCGATTAATACTATGCGTGAAATCTCGTCAGATGAACAACTTACCTCCAAAGGCACACCCGCACTCCACTTCGTACAACTCCTAAGCAACTGTACCGACACCCCATTTGCGCTCGGTCCTTGCGGGTCATCATCATGCGAGATCAGTCCCATCTGTTCCCTAAACGCACTAAAGTGATGTCGTCTTCTTGGAGCTCCCTCTTGTTGATATCCATCCGGCGGAGCATCGAATTCCCCACCCTTAGGCTGCTCCTTCATGGGCGTCGTATTGAAGCCATCAAAATTATAATAGCCCCCCTGGATCTTCGAAGTCTCCAGGGTCAACGGCTCATATCCCTTTCCAGGGATATTGTATTTTTCCTTGTAAATGAAATTCCATCGCTGGACGAAATGGGCTTTAAGATCGTCGACCACAGGTCCTCTCAAACAAAGGGAGATATCGGACCATCCCATTCGAGAGTTCTTGGTTCTGTCGAGCTTATTCTGATCCCAATGTTCTACGTCAGCAAAGTCAAAGACTCGTGCGTTATTGAAATCTTGACCAGGAAATAGAGCTTTGTTCAGATCTGTGGGATGGACATCAGCGATCGGATGGGAGTTAGTATCCCAGCGCCCGAAACACAGATCAAGACCACCCATGAAAGCGATTTCGCTGTCGACAAGACATAGTTTCTCGTGATGAGCCCTTTCATGTAATTAACAAGTCAGTCATTGCTATTTGTTCATACGACTTACCAATACAGCACAATATCCTCACTCGCACCATAAATAGACTCAATCTGCTTCCCCGGAAGCTGCGCAAGATGAAACGGCGAAAACGAGAGATTCTTCAGTCCCTCGATGAGATCCTCGTGTAACTCTTGACCTTTAGGGATGTGATCCGGATGGCGAAATACTCTGATATTCGGATGCACCTCTAGAGCATGTTTGGTGTGTACCGATGCCACTATTTCTTATTAGCCACGAATTTTCAAGATATAAGGAATACTCACAAGTCAGAATCTGAGACACCTCTTTATACACGATAACATTGACCTTCACGCCTCGTTCAGCAGCGGCAATCAACATCCGATCAAGCCGATAATTCTCATTCTCAGACGGTGGTCTTCTCAGGTACAACTCTGACACAAATTAGCAACTCCCGATTTCTAGTAACGTATTCTCTCGAAACTTCAACATACCAGGACTCAACCACCAATCCAAAATCCAAATACTCTCTCTCGCCTCCTCCAGCGCTATTGAAACAGCCCACATATACCCACAACCATCTACATACCACTTCGCATCATTGCCTGTCCTCGTCGGTGCAAAGCTATGGAAGCGGTTCGCTGGTGCGGTGTAGCTATTCGCATCGTAAGATTGTTGCTGGTCGGAGTGTTCTTGCGGACGATTATCATTCTCGTTGTTGTCGCCGAATGCTTCTTGGATGCCATCTTGGATCTTGGAGGTGAGGTTGTCGAAGAATGACATTTTGTTTGATTGTCGTGGATCACGGGATATTGATGGATGCAAACAGATGAGCGGTCTACCGTGATCTCCTCAGAAAGAAGTTCGTTGTGCTGATATATATCGCAAACACGCTCTCACTCTTCTTCGTCGTCGCGCACCCTCAAATACCAAATGCTTATCCTATGCTGCTGATGGATAAGCTGACGACGAGATATCAACTTGGGCTGAGCTGAGTGCTGAGATGTGCTTCATGCGAGGATTACTGGTGCGACAGGTCGGGTGTACTCTGGGACACCGACTCACCAATTAATGTTGTGAATCAAACGGACCTTGGTGAGCTGAAGTGGGCTGCACGAGGGGTCGTGGTGGGGTGATTCGGACCCCTGAAATGAGTGGATGTTGATGCAACGTCAGGAGTCTAGGCTTGGCTGTGATTTGGTGTTGTAGACGCAACATGAAAAATATACTTGAGGGCCACATCAGTTAAGAAATCGAGGGGACGCGATCTTGACTGTTTACGAATTAGATAAAGGCCATAGCCATGGAAACAGGCGACAAGTGGACAAGGTCGTGGATATACTGCGAATTCTCTACATCTTATTCATACACCCAGTAAAAGATTCTAGTATACTTCCAACACAGAACCGAACAGTTACTCCTCTCCTAGATAATAGCAAACCTACAAAACACCACCAAATTTTCCGGGTATCCCCCAAGCACCTCAAAACCAAAACTCCATCAACAAATTACACAGCGCGTGAAAAAGCACACCTAGCCTTTAGGCATAGCAAAACACCTCTCCACGCTCTCAGCATTATTCCCCCACCAATGCGGCATCGTCACGATCTTCCCCGCGCCCATCCCCAGAAACAGAATGAGTAGATTGAGATTAAACCCAGCGTCGAACGCCGCAGCGAGGATATAATTATATCGCGCCCACAATTCGTAGTGCTTACGATATGCCCAGTACATGACGACGTAGCCACCGATGATGCTAGAAGTCGTGCCGGAAGTGAGATTTCCCCAGAAAGCGCCGAGGGTGCAGTAGAAGATGGTGCTGTTCCAGAGGTTAAATTTTGCTTTTGGGAATGTCAGGTGGAGGAGGTAGAGAATTGGAGGGGTGAGTGCGCCGAGTAGGAAGCCGTAGGGAAGAGAACGATATAGATGGCCGGAGAACAGTCGCGTTGGTCCCTGAACGTGTTAAAAATATTTTGCAGAGCCTTCTACTGGATAGACTTACCACTAATACATATTGAGTGGCGACGGTCAAACTACTCGCCAGTCCTTGGCCTGTCCACTGATGTGTCGGGTCGATGACATTTCCAGCGATCAAATCAAATTTGGTATCGAGTACCCAGCGGATGGCTCCATAATTGATGGGAACTCCTATCATCGAGCCAAACACCTGAGAGAAAAAGACTGCCCGCGGCGGAATGTGCATGTAATGACCGATCTTTTGATCTTGAAGCATGATCTGGGCCCGGTACCACGCGTCTCCTGCGATTGTGCTATAAAAGAAAGCGCCAACTGGATTCTTGTAGCCGTCCACAGCATTAACCATCAAGCTGTACAGAAGCTCGTTTGTTGTCCCGATAGGCTATCGCTTGGTTAGTACGATCTTTTAGATATAATCGAGGAGGAAACTTACGAGCTGGAAGTTGGAAACAGCATATAGCCAACCCAGAGGCTTGAACAGGTTAGTCATGTTCTTGACTCAAAGGCTCGTAAACTTACTACTACTACTACAGCCCCGGTAGCTACAGCGACAAAAGCTGTCCACCAAGGCATATATAAATTTGAGGCGCTAATAGTCGTGAAGATTATTATGAAGCTGATAGCCATCAAAACGAGATACCAGTGTAAAGGTACCTCCTCGTAACTTCTCATCAACACATTTAACTGATCAGTATATTGTTCATTGGCGGTTTTGGTGCATCCGGTCTTTCTCCGCTCCCAGTGTTTCTTCCAAGCGTCCTTCAAAGCTGGGTAGCCGAACATTGCCATCCATACCATAGCTGATGTGTATGATGCAAAATCGAAAAACATTCCCCATCGGAGTTGAGCTGAAACATATAGCGGGCCGAGTTCATTGTATGCGGTTTCGTTTAGGGATGGCATAGAGGTCATGATTTGTTTGATTGGATATCTTGTGCCGTTTGCTACTCAAGTTAGTGGCGGTAATGGGACGGCTACCGGGGTAATTACCAGTGTAGAGTCGATTAGACATCAAATGGTGATTCCAACCTCCATTTAAACCACCCCATTTCGCAAGTGGCAGAAGAATCCAGCAGTTGATTACGAATCCCAAGAATACAATGACTTGAGTCCACCATGGGGTTAGGAACAGACCTGTTTCAAGTTATCAGCAATCATAATCCAGTAAGAGTCGTCTTCCTCTGCCGTCGAAGATAATATCGGGAGGTTGAAGATAAAGTGATAAGATCTGGCACTTACTACCCATATCATTGAAAGCGCTGATATTCGACCAATCCAGACTCAAGTTCAAAAATCCCATTCCACCTTGGCCTCCACCTATAAAATTTGCAACCTCATTCTTTGGTGCAACCCAGCACAAGAATGACAGCGACTGCAAGAATGGAAATAAATATTCTGGTAGAAATTGCCACAGCGTGATACCTATCAGAACCAACCAGAAAACGATCATCTGTCGTCGGGATACCGGAGAAGGAGATTCTCGCTGTTTCTTTTGTGTCTCGAATAGGGCGGTCTGACAGAGTCTAGGTAATTGTTAGATTGCTTCATTGGCTAGAATAAATACCCTTACGCTTGGTACCTGACGAAGTTAGTAAACATATATATACTTTGTACCCGGTGTAGCTTACCAAGGATACTGAGGATCATAAACCAAAAACTGCCTTGCAATCGCAGCATAACTGTACCCTATGAAGACGACGGCAATCATAAAAGACAGTGCAACGGCTGGATTGATCTTATTGTCAAAGTACAATTCGGACATCGATATCGGCACAAACGCCAGGTTATAAGTGGCTCCTGAAGATGCTGATAGTGTCACCATGACATGTTCTTTCGGGCTAAATGGACCTGGATTCAGATTGAAGCTCTTCTTCGTAAATGGCAATCGAATTTCCCAAGCCGGTAGAGTCCTTGCCATCCAATCGCCGACATAATTGCTGGCGATCTGAACGAAGAATATCGAATATGGTGCGAATGTCGTTCGGTATTGGTCCAGCTGCGTCAAGAAGGCTCCGGGAACGATAAACAGAAGTGTTAGGAAGAAGTAGCGAAAGGTGAAAACTGATAAGGTAGTGTCATCTACCAAGCTAACCACGCGTCGGACTTGCCAGGGAATATCTCGCAGTAAAGGATCGTCATCTGGTATCTCTTCCACATCTTCATCGATTCCCTTCTCCGTGACATAAGCCGAAATATCCTTCTCGCCTTTCAAGTCAGGTGTCGGGGTCCTTCCAGAGTTGTCGTCGCCAAAAGTCGTTCCTTGTGAGACATTCGAGCTAGATCCGACATTCGTAGACTCCGTAGACTGGATATCATGTTGATACAGGACGTCTCCGTTGACATCTTGCTTCTCCGACATTTTGCTCCCGTTGAAATGCGTACGACTCCCGATATGTTCCTCCACACACCAGAACGGCAGAGATCATCAGTAAGCGACGAGAGATGTCTCAAAGACCATCATGATCAGGCACGTAGGAACCTTTTGAAGGTGTTCATCTTGAAGTCCTGCGGCACATCAGATGTTGGCATTCTCATGGCGTCTGCAGTGTAGTTAGACAATATTGCCTCCACACGGCACGCTGGTGGGCTGGAGCGAGCTGATGGACGTGCACAATTCGACCCAACGACTGTCGCTCAAATTGAAGTACGGACCTCGTGGAGGTCAGGAGCTATCCGGCGAGTCAGCGATCGCAGATAAACCCGCTTGAGGTCTTGGGGCTGGCTTCGCCGTTGGTGCACATGTCGAAACTGGGACTGACATGGGATCTGGGCCGTCTTTCAAAGATTAACTCGAGGCAGGGGGGGCAAGTGGAGGTGTGGACGACCCAATTTGGTGAGCTCGTTCATTTCTGATCCTTTTTCGACCAACAACCATTGATAGATGTTGCAATAAGTGGAGGCTATGCTTATCTGACTTGATAACATTCAGCAGGGGATCTGATTGCCATGTGGACATTCAAAGCGAACAGGAAATAACACGCGTCGCGGTATGTATTTGCAGGACGAACAAGGGAAATTGGAGGATTTTTCAAGCAGCGCGATTCCTCCATGTCGGACAGAGCACCTTGGATGGCTACGAAGCACAACAGCAGCAGCTCGGTAAAAACAGCATAGGGAATCAGACAGCTTCAGTGGAGTAACAGGCGAGGTACTCCGGACCACGGTATTCTCGTTGGAGGTATTTTGATGCAAGACCCTTCTAATTTTGGGACCTTTTCAGCAGATAATTCCAAGTCTTCGAATGAGAGACCTCCGTCGTTCTCGGAACCGAGCAAGTGGTAAGCCAAAGATGCGGGCATCCCCGCCGGAAGAGCTGCGCGGACAGCCAATCGTGCCACTTACCAGAGGTCACCACATGCGACCCAACTGCATTATCCAGCACCTGTTCACTCCTCTCCAGTCCCAGACCAGATCGCCAGTCTGGGCATCAGTCGGTTCGAGCTCTTTTGTTGTCCTCGGAATCAGACTCTCCATGGCCATTCACAGCACCATCGTCAACCTCATCCCGTGCGCGTACCCTTCCCGCACCCTCTCCCAAGGCTCCTTCGCCCTCTCCCTCCCCAATCCAATTGCCATCTGCATCGAAATACTCGCTAACATTTTCGGCTGTGATCCAACCACCGCTGCCGGGGAAAGGTGGTGGAAGTCCACCATCGGATGCGCCTGGTTGAACACCCGGTAACCCGCTGATGCCTTGGTAGCCCACACTTCCCTCGAACATAATGCGGCTATCAGCCTCGCCATCTTCCATTTCATCGTCTTCAAAGGTAGGATCTGGATTCAGATTGGAACAGTTGGATACAGCATCGAAGAGGGGTTGGATGGCTGAATCTGTTCCTGCATCTGTTGAAGTAGGCGCAGGAATTATTGTCAATTCAACCACATCCATTTCCTCGTCCTCGTCCGTTACTGCATTTGGGTCTCCCAGCTCGAGATTCATGTACAGCCCTTGTATTTGTTGGTCTGGGTTCGAAGGGTCGGATAGGCGTTGGATGGCATGCAGAGATATGGCTTGGTAGGGAATGGAGAGGCCAGTGGAGGTGCTTTGATTGAACAGAACCAGACTCCTAGATGGACAATTGGGTGAGCAGATTTTCTCCATCTGGATTAGAGAGCGCAGGAGGTGAGCCGTCTGGTGTTTACATACTCGCTGCTAACAAATATCTCGACCAACTCAACCACATCATCGTCGGATCCCTCGTCTGCTTCCTGGGCAAAGAATGGTAGTTTCGACAATTGGCTTTTGCGCGCGCTTGCTCGTGCATTCGTGGAATGGTAATGGAGGATCGGTGGCCCGTCGAAGAACGATACTGGTGTCCGCGATTGATACTGTCGAAGTGTCACGAAGCTATCGAGGGCCGGTGCGGCGTGTAGTGTGACTGGTGCCATAATTTCTGAATGTGATCGTGATTGATGGTATTTGGTTGTTCTTGAATTGCGACAAGGCTGATGGAAAATTCTGTTGACAATTGCTCAGTCGCGTTCCCCCACAAGGCTGGATGGATTGCCATGTGGGAGAGATGTGGGAGGGCCCGGGCCATGACCCGATCGGTTAGCGTGCCCGACACTTTTCAGCAGCATTTGAACCCCTGAAGAGTCCCGGCGGCGGCTTCCCCACACACCTAACTAAGCTTGAGCACTGAGCACTCAGCGCTCTTCTTCCTAGAACATCATCGACACATCAATTACATCTTTCCAAAGAGCTATGCGACTGCCTGTCTGTCGATCCGGGTTTTTTATACTACTCTAAGGTGATAATAATCTTTTCTTCTTCCACAATGTCCAGAAACCTTTTAGCTCTGATATCTATCATAACAAATCTAGCATTGCACAACGAAGATATTCAACGACGCTTGTGATAACCACAAGGAATTAGAGCTTGACTCTAAATCGGTTTACCTGATGAGCAAGTAGACCACAGATATTCTTAAATAAAGTCTTGTTGAGATGTTGTCCGAATTTGGAGAATATGCTACTTTAGGGATTTCTCTTAAGAATGACTAAAACCTCAGAGCAAATTCGCAGACTACTAGAAAAGTCTTGAAGATGCCAGAAATCACAAAGGGGTTTGGTGCTTATGATGAAGAAGAAAGGTTCTTTTATGCTATAAAACACCACCAGATATGCTAAAATCAAAAATATTGCAATTGTCCAGTTGGCATTCTGTCAACTTGTCTAGCCACTGAAGTCAGCATATGGCTAAGTGAATTTTACATACCATTTTGCACATCTTCTACAACCAGTATACTGAGGTGGCCTTGGCCGTAAAGATCTGTGATAAATCTTCTTTTTTAAGTTATATTTGCTATAGAATTCAGAGGTGAAATTCGAAATCTAAAGCCAACGAAAGGTGTGGTAGATACGAAACTTTGAAATTTATTATTTCACTTTCATCAACTCCTGTCTTAGAGTATAATTAAGATCCGTCCATCGTATCCCCAATAATACCTCCCAGAGTCCACATCGCAAGCTGAATGTCTGTCGCCCGATAGGACATGTAGTAAATCACAAAAGGCAATGGCAACTTCTTTCTGGAGCTATTTATATTAGCAAATCACATGTACTTCCTCGGAATCGAAATGCTCAATGTAAAATTGTCATATAACCCTAATCAGGCAAACTTCTCTGGTGCTGAAGTATTCTCCAGCTTCTAATCGAGAAACGTAGTATCAGACCTACGAAACGACGAGAAGCTTTACTGCACACCAATTAAAAACTGCAAATGATGACTTTAGCAACTCTAATCTATTTGGAAGACAGTTTGGAGGTTGATTTTCAAGATAGAAACCAAGTTTAACTGCCTTGCTATAACCAAGGAATTTCGTCATCTGAAGTGTATTTTGTCTTAGACTCAACCCATTATTTTACTCACTTCGAGTAACTTTGGCTATCTTTTTCAGTGGACTTGACTAATAAGCGTGTATTAGCGAAAACCTCAATACTCTTGATACGAGGTGAATTCAGGTATCCGAGAACTTGTGGAATTTCAGAGATGCTGCTCTACAACCATTAAAGATATACAACAGCCATGCTTGACGAACCTCGGTTCATAAGTGCACAAGCAGGATTCTTCCACAGAAATACCATAAAGATAAAGTACAGTAACCGCAGAAAAAAATTATCCCATCTTTTGTAACCAGCGAGCAGACATAGATCCTTCCGCCCACAAGAGAAAACCACTTCAGAGTTAAGCACGCTTCTTGGGGCGCACGAAATCAAATCAAGCTTTCCAACTCTTGCATTTCCTGTGGTGCATTGCCGTGCGAAGTAACTAGCAAAATGCCAGATTTTTCTTCTGCATGAAAATATGCCATTTTGGACAGACATCGCGTGCTTAGGGACGATGGCCCCGTTTTTTTCACGCAGGTAAACCGCCGAGATCTTTGGGACGGAAAATTTGCGTTGCAGTAATGATTTCTGAGATTGATTGATTTATGGGATGTTAGGCAGGGGAGGTGTGAAGGTGGAATTATTTGAAAGTTTCAAGACCTTCCATGACGTCAAAAATGGAAGAGCTTCAAAGTTTAGATCACGAAGAGTGGGTTTTCTCAACCACCAATAGAGCACCATCTTCAAACTTCCACCTCAGTGAAATATCATATCATCTTCTTCAGTTCAAATTCCCCTTCACAAAAGGGACATGACTCGTCGTTGTGTTGTTTACACCCTTCCTCCTCCTCCAACCCCCCCAAGCAAGTGGGGGACCATCACCTACACCCACCATTGTGTCCACAAATAATCAGCATCACTGTTATTGGTAATGCAAGTAATACAATATGGGACCCCCATTGTACTAGTACGGGTACGGTGGAGATCGCGTGAGCTTTCCGGCCAGGTTGTGGAAGTGATGTCGTTTTAGGGGTTAGCGATGGTGTGCTAGACACAAATCTCTCTCGGGATTATTCAGGCGAGAAATTGTAGTGGGCGTTAAGTGGGTTTATATATTTGCTCTCGTTATTAGAGTAGGTGTCGAAAATATAATGGGAGGTTTGGGTCTGGACGGATATAGCATTTGAAGCGCGACGGGTCCACCAGCTGATTCCAAAACAAGACATGCTTTCCCAATTCGCCTCAATAACCCACAACTTACCGAAAGGTCTAGCTATTTCGATCTCGTAATTCTTTCTCTTGTCTCACAGTGTCCCACAGTCATGGATCAGAAACCCTAGATCAGTCACCGGCATTGCGGTCATCAAGTGGGAAATCGAGCGCCCCCACAACTCAATCGCCACACTTAACAACAGCTGATCTCGTGCTTGAAAAGTGGCCGCGGAGATTTTAAGCTTGTTGTTTTGTGGATGAGATTTGGAGGTTGAAGTGAAGGTATGCTTGGAGGTTGGACTCGGACATAGAAGAAGGAAGCACTTTCGAACTCCATCTCATAACCAAATATAGAAAATACTAAACTGATCTTTCAAGCGTCACAGTAAACCGAAAGGTCGAAAGTTGAATGTGAATGAGTGCCCCCACAACACGGCCAAGTATCACTGGCAATTTTCGGCGTCAGGCTGCGTTGTCAAATACTCACAGGGTACACAGTAATATTGGCCGGTAAGCACCAATTAGAAATTCTTTGTTTGATCTCAGTTAGCAGTGCAACGTCGAACCCGTAAGTTGGAGCCAGTAGGCCAGTAGTAATATTGTAACGATCCGAAATTAACCTACACAAAATCTTCATATTTACCACATAAACTGTACGTAGTTCTCCCTCGATCCGACAAATTCTACTCGTCAGTCAAGTTCCATAATACCCACCGTATAACATTCAATCAGGAGAGGGGGGGGCGGAAAGTATAAGTTATGAGAATTGAATAGTACCTTGCGACTAGATTAATCTAGAACCCTTTCTAGACAGCTAGGTATATTATTCCTCAAATTTGATTCCTACTATTCTAGAGTATAAAAAACTTAGATTTTATACTTGTAAATAAAGATATAAAAGATATATAGCCGGCCTTTCAATAAAGTAGAGCTATTTAAAAGAGATTTATAATAATAATTTATAATATAACTACTCTTAATCGATAATTTTTAAGAGTCTCTAATATTATAAATAGTTAATACTTAGAGAATATATATATACTAAGTTTCTATTTAGAATTTACTTTTAGTATAACTTAAAAAAAAGTAAGGCTAATATAAGTAATAAGATAGTAAGTAACTACTATATTATATTAGTTAAGTTCTATGGTAAGATATATAGCTTCTTATAATTTACTTATAGGTTTAATAAAGTTAAGATAATAGAAGTCTTAGTGTTTAATTTAGTATAACGATTTTGTTATCCTTATTGTTATAGTAAGTAGAAGTAGGCAAACCTCGATCGTGGTCTTAGAGAACACGTTTGAACAACTAGTGAGTGGGAAGAGAGTTACCATTTCCATTAGAGTAAGTGCTGTGTTAAGAGGAAATTTGTATAGTTCTTTTTGTTAGTTGATTTCAGAGGTCGTACCAGATGTCATGTGAGATTCCGTCGAAACGATTAACAGTTCCTGCTAAGATAAATTTGCACCGTAAATGTTCTTTCGAGACGGGGGAACACCCTGCTGACATAGACGATACAGTCATTTCAACAGGTCTGTGAAATCCTCAAATCTTCTATATCAGTCGTGAGTTCTTTGAGAGTTGCGCGCGGCTCCGAGCAGTAGTACAGTAACGCGCCTGATGCTGCGCACTTCGGCGAGTTGGTGCTGTGTATCTTCTTTCTTATCAAGGTCGTACAAGTTTGATAGGACATCAGAAATGGACTCGCTCGAACTGCTGAGAATGTAAGCTGAATTATCATCCAATGAGGGATCGGCCACATAAACAACATCACGCGGAGGCGGATTCCATCACAGATCGTGATGAAGATGAGACAAGATAAGAGTGTCCAGTCATTTGCCATCTCGCGTTCCCAAAGCATTGGTGTACAGGAGAGGCGAAACAACATTGACAAAAGAAGCGAATCGTACCAGACTTTTAATACCAACCAGACGACGCGGGGAAGCAAGAAATTTTCCGGAATCAAAAGTGCCAGGCCCAAGGAAGATATGGGGAAATGGCCAACGTTTGTTTGGTCAGATTGAAATCCGAGGGAGCGAGATGGATTCGACAAGGCGTGTGATCTTTGTTGGCCGTGTGAAGATGGTGCCCGAATTACATAGCCGGGGGCGCTACAAGAACGAATTGCTAGGACAACACGGCTCGTAGAAGAGGAGGTGGGGGTCATGACAGTTGGAATTGCCTGGCTTTAAGTGTTAGCAAAGCTGGTAGTTCAATTGAGATACTAATAATAGGTAGCCCATTATTGAGTGGATTTACAAAGTCCGATGTGAATTGTGTATCAATCCATGAAAGAATTCAGATGTGGAAGTTGGTCGCACGACACACTATTTGTTCTTATTCCCAATGAAAAGAACTCGTACGTATGGTATATGAGCTTGAAGCTTCCTATGTCCAGACCTCCACACATGTGGCTGCATTGATGCAGGCGTCTCCTGTAAGCCCGCACCTCGATATCTTCAATGGGATAATCAAAAGAAGATTCTGCTGAGCGACTAGATGTGCCTGATTACGGACGAACCGATGTTACGCGCCACGGCCAAAGACAATGCAGTTGTCGAGTTTGTCCTCCCCCAAGCTGCCTGCAGCATATCCGAGTCAGCCTTTGCTTGTTAACTCCGGGAAGATAAAAAGAGGTAAAGCATGCAACCTGACGTCTCCAAGCAGGAATTTAATCTATTGCTGTGTGAGGACTTGATGAGAAGTTAACTCCGTTATAAAATATTCAACAACCTCTTCAAACTACGCTCTGTTCATCTGTTGACCCGCAACAAGCGAGTCTCGACTTCCTCGTCGACCCCGCCCCGCTCTGTGCCCACCCCCCTACCTTTCCGTCCCAGCCTCCACACGTCCATCCAACAACACACAACCACTTACCACGACTCCCCACGTACCGCAGAAACACCGTGATTGAAAACGGGACTATTAGCAAATTCTTACCCCCTTTCCAGCCCATCTCTTCACGCGAACGAGCGAAGCGAGCATGAAGTGAAAAAACAACCAAGAAACCACGCAGATCTAGCCACAAGCCCGTTCCGTGTTCCAGCTTGACGTTGTTCTGGCTATTCGCACATGAAGCTTATTTACGACTACGGCAGTGCTCTCGAGTGCTATATAGGACCCCTCTTCTCGCCTTTCCTACACGACGTCTATGTCACCATCTGAAATCTGACGTTATCTGCAAACGAAAGCACGATTTCCAGCTCACCACCACTCACGGGGTGTCACCCTGGTGCCGTACAACAACAAGCGAACGTATTATTGTTTCGCTGCTGCAAAGAAGCCAAAGCTGGTCGGATTTGATGGTGGTCAGGACTCTCGCCGTCATGCAGGACCCCGAGAACTCTCTCCTTCAGCCGCCAAACCATCTGGGACAGCCGTACTTGCACGTGGAAGAGGAGCAAGAACATGGACGTCCCACGGGATTCCAGTCCTCGGACGAGGTGGAAGCTTTTATGAATCAAGCAGCTGCACAGAACCGACATTATGATTTGGAACCCGTCCCAAGTGAGGCTCACGCGTGGAGACCGGATCAACCAGGTATGTATCAAATCCATTCCATTTTGCACATGATGCTATTCCCAGATTCTTCAGTTGATGGAATACTTTACTCGAGCTTCAGCCGGTTGTCTCGACCCAGTGTCGATTGCTAGTTCGAGCTGTCATTTCGTATCTGTCGGAGTTTATCCTCCACATCAGGTTAGAGTTTACAGGCTTAAGCAGAGATGTCAGCATGTGGATACGAGGAGAATTGATCTCTGGATCTGCTTCATTGCCCATTTTGATGCTGGATTCTTCTTGATGTATTTGAATGCTGGTTGTTCGAAATGGAGCAATTTCTTGAAAAGACAAACATTTACTCGAGATTCTCCCCATACAATAGCCTCATTCAATTCCGCACTTCAATTCACAAACGTCTTCAACCATCAAGCATTTTTTAGAGTTTCTTTATCTTAACTATCGGATCTATGCGCACACAGCGGGACGGATCGAAGGCTTTGATCGATCGACCTTTGGCAGCACAGCAGTTGAGCAGAGCAACCCATCCACCCACGCAGCCGCTAGAACCGCAATGTGGCAGATGTTTGGTGCACGACCAGGGGACACTGAGACTCTTGTTCTGCTTCTTTGGGCCCGAGTGGGCGTGCTCCTTGCAGTTGCGTGTGTTCGCAATTCAAGTGCAGATGGTGACATTGCACGTGATGCTGGATCGTCGAAGGTCGATCGACAGTATCATGGGCGGTTACCATATGTACTTGACACTCGGACAGGTCTCGACGAAACTTGCATTGAGGCGTTCAATTTGATGTCTCGTTATTGACTTGTCGCGTATCAATTTTATTCCCCCAATTTTGGGTGGGTGACACCAAATCTCAATCAGGTTTCCTGTTCGTATATCCCGAACTTGTTTGTTATACACCACAAAACATCATCAACTATACTAACTATACAATCAAACAGGAATAACAACACCCTTCAATCCATGGGATGCTTCCAATCAACTACCTTTGGTAATTCCATACACGATGCAGCCCCAAAACCCGGGCACCTACGCAGCCCATAATCAGCCGTACGACAACTACTACCCACCCTCTTCAACCGAGTCCACTCCTCCCAATGGCTTCGTCCCTTATTATCTCGACACCCAACATGCTTCAATTGCTCAGCTCCATCATCCAGGACCAATCTCACCATATACCGCTGTACTCTCCCCCAACAGCGATCCCAACTCTCTCTCAGACCCGGAAGCAGAACAGAAGCGTCTTCGCAATACCGCGGCCTCTGCGCGCTTCCGAGCCAAAAAGAAGAAGAGGGAAGCTAGTCTCGAAAGAGCAAGCAATGAGAGGAGAGCGCTCGTCAACAAGCTCGAGGGAAGAGTGAAGGAGTTGGAAGAAGAAAATAAATGGTTGAAGGATCTTGTTTGGGAGAAACGCGATGTTAGAGAAGAGAAAGAACTACGCCGAAGGCGAGATGACGCTAGTAGTGTGGACGGAGAGGGTCAAGGAAAGCATGAAGGCGCCCGAAATGACGGCGTCGGAACAAACTGAACTCATCACTAGGCGGCTGTGGAGGGTGAGCGGAGGAGACGTGTTTTGGTAATGGCACAAGCATGGTGAGTTGAGGCGTTGGTATGGTTTTGTTGACGAGTTACGACAACACACATGACATTTACACTACGACGGGCGGGCGAGAATCACACAGAGCTGGGAGGAGACGAACGAGATGACGATATCGGTATTTGACGCGTTTCTTCGGCGCTTGATTTTGAATTTACGCTCAACAATTTTTGCTTTCGACACAGTGCGACATTGCGTCGCGGTTGGATACTCAGGGGACATGCAAGTGCTGTACGACGACAAAGTATCTGGAGGAACACGCGGGCTTTCGATTTTTCTGACTGAGCGATTTCTGAGGCAGGCACACATACAGAAACAGAAATGCAAAGCACAAAGCTAATATCATACGACGAAAAACAATCACATCATACAATATACTTCCAAGGGTGCTGAAATGTCGTGGAGACTCCTCAAGGGGTCTCGCAACGAGTAAGCCTCCGGTGTTTAAACACTGGAATATGAAGTTTATTTTTCAACCACGCCATATGCGACACATCCGCGGATCGAAGAATGTTTTATGCCATAGCGACACTTCTTCGGACGGCGGATCGGGGCTGAGATACTGTGTATCGAATGCTATATGCCATAGCGACATTACGAGAGGCGGGAGTGTGAAGTGTTAAGGGGAGTGAGGGTGGATGTTGTGCTACGTCGGTGAGTCTGTGAGATTTTGATATGCTGATTCATGCTACCGTGTTGTGAAGTGATTCCTAAGCCAGACATGCCAATCCGTCGTTCTAGGGGCTCAACAGTACCGGTTGCTGTTCGTTGTCGCCGAGTCCGTGAAATACTGATGATATATATATGCTTCCACGCCATCCCCCCTCTTCACCATCACGACAAGCTTGCATAGTTGGTCAGCAGCGTACTCGTCCATACCTAGATAGTTGTTAAGTAGCATTGATTGTTCATCATTGCGGACAACTTGCCATACTGATCCGGTATATGCTGCGACGTAGCAATAGATCTCGTAAAATGCTTCGCATCAGTACCTTGTTGAAACGATGAGATGTTATGATCTGCAAAACAAGTAAACTCAAGAGTGCCAGATCAACACCTAGCAGCTACCCCTAACCCACATACCAGTGCCACCAACGACAATCCTCTACAAATGCCGAAATCGTAAAGTAGTAGATCATCACCCATACCCCCGAATCTATCTAGCCAGCTAAACAAACACTAGTCGAGATTCCGTGACTTGTTGTAGTATACCGCGCTAGGTATTTCACACATGACGCTAGACCAGATTACTAGAATATTTGGACGATCTGGATCACCGTATTTCTTCGTGGTGATAAGGAAGAATTTGTTACCTACATACTTCATAAATCATGTTGATAATAACACTCCTATCTAATCCTCTCCCCTCTAAAGCTACCTACCTAGCCAACGTGAGACATCGCATTTACCTCCTCGAGATTATTTTCCGTACTTCTAGTGAGCTATACTTTCCGACACAACTTGTACTTCATCAAGTCCAAAAGACGCAATCGAAAACCTGTCCTAGCAGTGGATTTTATCACAAAAGTCATGCTGTTCCAAGGACATATCAAAATACAAAGCGGTTGCGAGAAGGGGGCACAATCAGTAAGGAGAGTGCTTTGCCTACTTCCGTACGTACAGGAGTTACCGTGCTAGATCACGTACGATCCACACAAAACATCACATGCAACATTCTTCAAATCCTGTATTCTCGGCATTATTCCATTATTGAATTGAATAGAACCGTGATACCGTTACAATATCAGTATCATTTACTCAAGGTCCATCCATCAAGCCAACAAAAAGGTTTGGTCGGTTCTCGTAATCATCAAAAATTTCTATCATAACCCGCTCAATATTTGGTCCAGCCCTTTTGCGCAATTTTCAAAGATCATTTCTTTCGGTCACTGTGAGAATATTAGTCAGCGCAAAATGAGCTGTTCAGAGGATATTACTTACGTGCTTAATCTCCTTGATAATTGCTGTAGTCCCTTATCATTGTCTGCAGATTCTCTCGCTCTCTCCAGAGCTTGAGCACGGCCCTCTTCACTCTGTCTCGTGACTTCTTCGTGACTTGGTGGGAGTCTCTCATTCTGTAAATCGACCTTGCGCGCATCTTCAAAACTGCTGATAGCATTCTTGATACCTTCTGCACCAAGCATAAGAGTACCTGCAGGCAGTCTACCACCAGATGCGGTCTTGAGCTCAGTAACTCGTTCCGACTCTTCTCTGAGTACTTGGAAGACTCTGGATAGACGACCAATAGCCAAGATCTTGTTGCGAATCGCTCGCTTCTTGTATTCGATCGAATCCGGATCCAATGGAGTGGTGGCCGGTGGAGATATTGGCCCGGGCGATACTGTCGATGGTGTTGCATCTTCTTTCAGCTCATCCTCAGAGGAAATGCTGAGAATTGCAATGAGCATGTCCGTAATCTTCTCTCCAACGAAAGGAAGAGACCAGGTGAAGACATCCATGAAGTTTGGCAGCCAGTAAGGATGCGGTGTGCAATTGAATTGTCTAATGTTCATGACATTGTTTTCGTACTTGAGGACAGCTGCCTTGTTGTTGTAGACATCTAGGTAGTTGGGAGCGGAGAAGATTGTCATCACACTTGGGAATCCTGTCGTTCGGGTTTTGCGATACATACGATAGCCAGCATCTTGAGCTTCATGCGCCCGAATGACTGAAAGCAAATTGTTCTTTTCCAAGAAATTGCAAGCAGCTGGGTAGGAGAAAAAGTATGAGCAACCTCTCACGTGATTGTGAATGAAGTATTCCGAAGTTTTCTCTTGACCAAATTCTTCTAATGGATCGGCCCACAAGATATCGCACATCAAACCGTGGGTAGGTGGTTCCCGGAACCGATCAATCTGGAATAATTGTTAGCAATAGTCGCGTAGAGCCAACGTTATATGTACGTACAGAACGGATATCGTCAAGAGTGTGCAGCTCAGGGCTGAGACCGCCATGAATGCACAAAAATTGCTTGTTCATGACTGCCGCGAGAGGAAGAGAGCAGAATGATTCCATGCATGCATCGTAGATCTTCTCCGAGTATTTGTGCTTACACTCCAACTTGAATGTGAAGTAGTCGGTCAAATGGCGACATTCGTGATTCCCTCTAAGAAGCCACAAGGTATTTGGATACCAGATCTTCAAGGACCAGAGATATAGGACACATTCAATACTGAAATAACCTCTATCGACATAATCTCCTAGGAAAAGATAACGAGTTTCAGCTGGGTCGCCACCAACTTCGAACAACTTCATCAGATCGTAATATTGCCCGTGGACATCACCGCAGACTGTAATGGGCGCATCCATTTCTAAGAGATTGGGCTCTTGTTTGAGGACTTTCGTTCCCTCTTCAATGATGTATAACGCCTGCTCCTCGGTCAAACGCCCTTCGCGGTAGAAATGTTGCTTCAAAAACGTCAAATTTGGTTTAGATGGATCTTCCGGCGAGAAGAACTGCTGGTCCGTCGGCGGGTGCATCGCAGGTGCTTGTACATCTATATCGAGAGCTATTAGACAATGTTCCCTCCTAGCAAGAATGAGAAGGCTGAGCCCAAATACCTTTGCAAACCCGCTCCATTGTGCTCACCGTCGACCCATCTTCCATTGTGTGCAGGGTGAAGTCAATCTCCGGCACTGGCTTCTTCTCATTGATAGCTCTGAGGGCATTGTCAACCTGCTTAGCGCTGGCCACGCGTGGTGCCTTTGGGTCTTCATCCATGGTGGCGATGGGTATCGTCGAAGTTCGGGTGGCGTTGGAGGGGTTATTGGCGGGCAGCCGAACGAGAAGTTTGTATATTTGCTATCCTCGAGAGCAGCAGACAGATTGTGAATAAAAATAAGACTATCTGGCCAAGAGGGAGAAATTCGAGAAGCCAAAGACCGTCTGCGTGGGGCACGCGCTTTCACTTGGCAGGGTGTCGGTCAGCGCTCGAGGGGAACAGGACAGGGTTGGATGGTAAACGATGTCGTTGTGACTTCCGCGGTCGCTTTTGTATTCTGAAGCTATTCGGAATGTGTGTGTTGCGACAGAAATTGGTTGAACCCTCGTTGCTGGCAAAGCTGGCGGCGAATGTGTCGGGGAGGGGATCTGGAGGGCACTGTAGCACAAAGTGGTTGGGCCGGTTCAGGTGGTGGAAGAGGAGGTTGTCTTGACTGGTTTGCTCCTGAGTTGTTGCTGATTTTGAGTGGTCGCGCTAAGAGCGAGCCACCTGAGCGGCCCCTGTCTGCTGCCTTGGATGAACATGGGGGAGGGGAGCAGGAGAGAACGGCGACCAAAGCTAGTCGTGTGGAACTGCATTCAGACCTTTGAGAATCGCATCTCAACTTCACAACACTTCGCATCATACCACATTTTCCGAATAGCTTCAACGTCGTCACGCATAAACGAGGGGTAAATTCCGCAAGCTTTACCCACGCACACGTTTATCGGGCTTTTGGGATCCCCCATGCACTTCGGTCTCTGGTGCCGGACCCAATTGCAGCCATTGTCTTCTGACACAGCCCTCTGCGAAAAGTACCACACAGAGCCTCAATCTGCGAGCTCAATCCTGGCGATAGGGTCTGATTTACATACTTCGCACAGAGATAAGCCTATAGAGTCTGGAAAGGTTCAGTTTCTAGCGATTATCTAACACCAGTACCTTCCAGTCATGCATGAAAGTCGTAGGTCTTCTGACATTCGAGACACAGTGAAGCTAAGCTTACTCCTTCCAGTTCCTCATCCATTACTGGCGCAAGTTCCTTTAACGGTTTCTCCTTTCGTATCTTTACCGTCGGCGACCACTCTGCCTTATACATATAAGAGCTTACCTTCTACTCTGCCGCCATCATCTACTGGCGTGCCGGCTTCTTCGTCTGGGGAAGAGAAATCGCAATACGTTGTCTCGCAGTCAGGACACGCTGCACATCCCAATGATATAATAGCGTCCTGCAATGCTCTGAAAGCATATATAAAAAAGGTGCAAGATGATGCGGACCGGGAGATCGAGGCATGGGACGAAGCGATAGCTGCCAGGGAGCTTGCTGAGAAGCGGAGGGTTGCGCCTGGATGGCTCGATAGTGAAGCGCGAATATTAGAGCCAGAGAAAAGGACGGCTTCAGGTACACCAGGTACAAGCTCGGGACAAGCAAACTTGATGGATGTAGACGTTTCGAGTCCAGAACAGTCAGGTTTAAGGAGTACCCCGATTCCTGTCCCTACAGGAGCAGGTCAAGGGGATGAATTAGACAGAGCATTTGGCGGGATGGCGCTGGATAATAAGCAGTAGCTCCAAATTAATAATAAGAAAAAGGAAAACCCCAAATTCTCCAAATCTTAAGATCTCAACATGGCATTTGATAATTGGAACTTCGAAGTATACCTAGGTATACTCTTACGGTCTGTCTCGCCTCTTGCATGTGCAACAATCCATGGTGGGGTTGTTCAGCTTGCAGCCAGCAGGGTCATCCCGCATTTAGAGCCTTGGCTATAAGGCCGAGCAGGTGTTTCTCATCCGCTCGCAAAAACCATAGCTCCAGCTTCATCTGCTGCTTGACGACGGGGAATTTCGACCGCGCGGCATTGACGAGATGCCTCCAAGGATACCTCGAGCTGTCAAGAGTCTGCCGAGGAGTTCATGGCTTCCAATTGACAAATTTTCTCGACAATTATGTCCAATATGCTCTTTTTCCCGGAATCGACCCCGGCCAAGCGCAAGACAATCTACAAAACCACAACAGCTCAACTATCAACGAATTGATCGGCGACGACTGACCAGTGCACATATCAGTGCTGCGCCCGAACGTAGGGAGATTCTATCACCCCGGGTTCAGCTTCAAGAGGCTCTTAAAGCCCTACAGAAAGATGCCGCCAACTTTGTCAACATCTCCAGGTTACAGCTTGCATTACGCGGACTTCAACAACCAGAAGGCGAGGAGACAATTCGTGTTGCAATTTTGGGTCTTCGAGATGGAGGGGTATCTTTGCGAAAAGCGAAGCAGCTGGCACGACTGCTGATTGCGGATCCGCTAAAACCAGAGGAGGAATGGGAGCGGACGCTGTTGGAAGAGGACGATGGTAGTCGTCCCATTTTACTTCGCGTCGGACACGATGGAGCAGAAGAATCTGCATACAGTAATCGGATGGTACAGGAGATAAATGTTTCTTCGCCCGCTTTCAATGGACATAAGTTGGAGATACTAGTATTGGAGACAGATCTTCCACAGACTACTATCGGCGAAGGAAGCAGTATCTTAGAAGCCTTGCTAGTGCCTACGATGGAAATACCAGTTTCACGCACAGGAAGGTATACCCCAATTACAACTCCCGTGCACAAGTCTTTGGTAGTTGGGAGCGGTATCTTGGGCGCAGTATCTGTCTTTTCAATCGCGACTGATGGAAATATTGTTGGGAAGGATATTCTTCATACAACTGTAGATATCAAGCTGGACCCTTCAAGCGACACGAACGTTCCGTTTCAAAACTTGGATATCGATTTGGCTATCGCTGCTCTCGACTTATTCCGAGTGAGCATCGACAATGCTTTAGATTACGAGCATAAGTGGTTTGATAGTGGTGCGCCAGAGATCTTGGAATGGATGAGGTCAGGGACTTCATCAATGGAAGGCGAGATGAAACCACCTCTTCGATTGCTAATCCAGTCTATGCTGGAAACAACATCACTCGCAATTGAGGAAGAGAAGGCACGTCGTTTAAGTGTGGCGCTTGCATCACGAGTGGCTCACACTAAGCTAGAGCCACTAATGAAAGGGTTCTCCAAATGGTCCGAGGAAGCTCACACCGAGCTGCGAGAGCATCTGGATATTGCCTTCGAGGGTAGGAGGTGGAGGAAATTAGGCTGGTGGAAGCTATTTTGGAGGGTGGATGATGTCTCCATGATTGCTACAGACATTCTCACCAGGAGGTTTCTTACTGAGGCCGAACAAGACCTTATCTTCTTCGCTGGGCGTCTGGAGGAAGCAGGAGTCTCTAAACGTCTTACTACACGTACCCAACAAAGTCCTTTGCTTAGTCCGGATGATCGAATGAACCCTCAATCACTTCGGGTGAAGGATCTCGTGAAAGTCGAGGACGAAATACGGAATATGAAGGATCAGAATTGGCCACAAGATATTCCAAGCGCTCGAAGTTATCTTGCCCTTGGCACTGTGCCAGCTTTGCAAGCATTGGCTCAGAAGCTTGTTCTACAGACCTTGACAACATCATCTTTCGTATCCGGACTCGCTGCTTTGACGTACATCTCTACGTTATCAACCGGACTTTATGAGGCTGGAGCAGTCGCTGCTCTAGGTATTGTGTACAGCATGCGAAGAATGCAAGTCAAGTGGGAAAATGCTCGCGAGTTCTGGGAGGGTGAGGTGCGTGAAGCAGGAAGGAAGTGTGTGAGAAACGTGGAAAGTGAAGTTGCTGAAATGCTCAAGAAGTCTGCCAGTCGCGTTGAAGCCTCTATGGATGCTGAGCTTGATATGGCTGAGAACAAGGCTCGGGAAGTTGAGCTTGTGTTAAAAGCTTGTAAATAATGTATTAAGTAGTCTAGCATGATACCACAACAACTTGTAAACTCTAACCTACATTCAACCGTTTCAAAAGTCGATTTGTGAGATGATTAAAATACAGAATTTGGCATCTAGACACTCATATGTCATATTCACATCAGTTTGAGTTCATGTGTTTTACTAGGCACTAAAATATGCCCTGTTTTTATGTTAAGGTCCGAATAGTTGCAAGTTTAGTTCGAGTCGATCATGCCTGAAATCCAAGGCAGTTATCAAGCTTGGTCGATGGGTGCTAGGCTTTCGCATCCAGACTGACATCACAGTTAGGTAGCGCCAAAGACAACCGTCCCCCAAGACTCTCACCACATTATTTCTTACCGTATCTATTTTGTTCATTCAAATATACACCAAGTCTGGGGTACGTCTATAATGGCTGCCGGTTCTGAGGAGACTGCAAAAGCGAGTTCCTCACCGCGTGCGGAACCGTCTAAAGGAGAGACGCCTCACAACGATCCTGGACACATTGCCGTGCCAGAGGCCGAGACGACAACAGAATCAGGAGGCGACAAGAATGTGGGCGAAGATACTGCCGACGAGGTGGTGACATCGACTGGGGACAAGAATTGGGTTGAGGATCACAACAATACTGCCGAGCCAACGACACAAGACGGAACCGCAGAAGCTCCTCCACTGCCCGAAGAAACGCTTCCGCCATTACCGAACGAAGCTCCTCCCTCTGCTGGCGCAGAAGTTGACGATGGTTGGGCTCCACTCTGGGAGGAAACAGCCAAAGCATTCTATTTTTACAATCGATTTACCGGCGCAACCCAATGGACAAACCCACGAGTCCCAGACCCAACTACCCTCCCACAAGAAACCGCCCCCGGTGTGACAGCACCCGCTGCGACACTTCCAGACTCCCCTCCACCTTCCACTGGCACAACAGGCTACAATCCCGCGATCCACGGCGACTACGATCCCACCGCCTGGTATGCTCAACCAGCAGCGACCGAGACACCTGTAGCAGCTGGACCGGCAGATCCAAACGCCGCCTACGCCGCCACCGCAGCATTCAATCGATTCACAGGACGCTTTCAAGCCTCCGAAATCACGCCGGAACTTCACAACGATGAAAACAAAAGCAAGCGGCAGATGAACGCCTTCTTCGACGTCGACGCCGCGGCCAACAATCATGACGGGCGGAGTCTGAAGGCAGAGAGGAGCGGCAAGAAATTGACGAAGACGGAGCTGAAGCAGTTCAAGGAGAAGCGGAAGGCGAAGAAGGAGGAGAAACGACGAGCGTGGTTGTTGGATTGAGGGATATATACCATGGAGTTACTTTCGCATTTACTGGCGTTGGATTGGAATAGGGGATTTATCTTGAGGGATGGGTTGGGTTTCAAAAGTGAAGGTGGTTCTGGCTTATTGGGGTGGGTGTATATTACAGATGATACACGCAGCGGTATATTGATATAATGCTGATCGTTGAGTGGAGGCGGTCATATAGCGGAAATTATACATAAGATATTCAATTCCCTGAAGGGTGTGGTTCCCACTCTGTTTCTAGGACCTCAGTGTTGTTACCTTTCTCATCCATATTTGTTACTCATACTGTGATTTGTCAATAATGAATGACAAGTCCTGATGGCCGATGCCAAACTAGCAAAAGCGAGCAGTCGGCCTGTTCAGTCAAGAACTTTTACATGTGACATGATTGGTATAAGGTTCATACTTAGAGTTTGCTATTTTGGGATATGTTTGAGTATGACAGTAGAGCGGCGGTGGTATCAAAACTGGGATGGCAGTCTTTATCATAGTGTAAATAAGAAGTCACAATACTGCGATTAGAATAAGAAGTCGTTTCCTTGGAAACTCTTGACCATCCTCACTGTTTGCGATGGGGCTTGGTCCTGCTAAATTCTATATACATTTAATGAGATTCCTATAAAGGTATCTGTGGTTTCCGTGATTACGAAGATAACCAGAGTAAACATTTGATTCTCTCTGGATGAAAATTAAAAAAAAAAAAGAACATTTGGTGTGTTTTACTAAGAGGCAGAAGATCTCGTCGAAATTACATGAGTCGCTTGGTTATTATTCTTGCAATAATGACCGGTAGAAGGTAATACCTACACCTTGGTTAGAAGTGACATTTCTTATAGGAGGGAGATCATACAGGTGATCGACTGCTCGGCTTTCCCCCCGTATAGATGTGTTCCTAAAATCCCAAGACTTATATTTCAAACTCCACCAAGACCCGTCGTCTTGGGAGTAAGTGGCTCTTTAACCATCCACTCAAGACATGGGTATTCCCAGATGACTTTGGTGCGGGTGCTGGAGCCATTCCTTTTCTAAGCAACACCCTTGCCCTTCGCCTCAGCAACAACACTTTTCACAACTGTTGGCTTAGATTTTGCAGCAGTATGAAGGATGTGTCGTGAGACAATTATCTCCTACCTGCTGCCCTCCGGATCTCTTGCCCTAATGGAAAGACACCCATTCACATCTTCTGTCTCCTTCGTATAACCCATTTCATCTCCATCGTGGTCCCAGTAATCTGCATGTCTTGACCGTGCGAATGTCTTTGCAGATTGGTTGGCGAGGGCTTTGGAGTCGTACGTCCCGAGGATTTCTCTTTCTGTGCCGTTGTAAGGCTCACTCTCCGTTTCGGTCATGATGTAGATGCATTGGATGGGTGGGAGCGTCTGGATAATGGAGCTTTAGCTTTTGAGGAGACAGCTTTGGGCATTTTTGCAGTGATGATAGGATGGTGACTGTTGATGTGGATCTTGCTTGGTGGAATTATGTGAGGGGAGTCAAGATCCAATCCGCGCGTGAACTCCCCCGCCGGCTTATTAGTCAATATTGGGAAGTGGGGACTCCAATGATTAATTTCATTGATTTGTAGAGAGTTTCTTACGTATCTTGAATAACTATTTTTCAAACAGTTTGGAAAAAATACGGAAAAATCTAAGAAATCTTCACACCACAAAAAGATGGATAAAGGTTATGAAACAAGTCCGAGGGAGGTTCTCCTACTTTCCCGGTACTTCATGTCTCAACTATGGAGCTCACCTCTGCTGCAAAAAGTACCAAGTATTATCATTGGTTAGTAGTAGCGCCAGTTTTGTTACAGATTTCCTTGTACAATCAGTATTCACAGATGAAAGAAAACTAACACTGATGTTGGGTTCGCATACAAGACAAATGAAGGAGACAGGGAACTGGCAAGTAACAAAGTGGGTGTGTATTTGGGTGGTGCGAGTTTACTATCTTCCACCTTTTGACAAGACTGCTTCTAATAACCAGATCTATACGTAGCACGAGCCAAATTCTACCTCATTCTAGTGTCCAAAACACTAAGAATCTTCGGTGGAGCTTTCTTTGACAAATACATAAACAGCTCCAAACAGTGGACTGTATGAAAATAATTCAGTTTAAACTATTCAAGGCGTTTACCGGAAGTCTCGATAGCCTTGTGGACCCTTCCCATCTCAATTGTACAGTGAACTGCAAGTGGTTGTCATGTCACAGCAAACTTCCTGCTAGACGCATGCTGGTTTTTACCCGAACTAGGCCTAATGCATGTCTCTGCTAGTAAGCATGAACAATGCTTCTACTAATAAATATTTGTAGAAGGAAGAATAAGTTCAAATTAAAAGTATAGAAAGATGATTGTATTAAGAGTTAGACACAGATAGGTGGATGGTGATGTTTGATTAAGCAAGCGAGAAAATATAAGGCTGCGTCATTCGCCCTTACTCCACAAGCTCCACAACCAGGAAAGTTCACGATGGCAAATTGACAACCTCGGGACGGGCCTGCAGGGCGCCATGACAAAAATTCATATCTATTCTCTAGCAGGCCGACGAGCTGTGCAACATCCTCATCCTTATTCCACGCATAAAATATCTAGTCATGTCTACCATCGAAGACCCAACTGACGAGGAGAGACGACAAGCCGAGATCGTCTCGAGACATCTCGACCCTGGCCACACCGCCGACCTCGAAGGTCTCGCACCCGACGAACCTCCTCAAAGTTCCGATGCAACACAAAGCTCGAATGGCGCGGAACACGAAAGTTCATTGAAGTTGCAGGGAGGGGACATTCATCGCGATCTGTACAAAATAAGTGCTCGAGCAAAGCCAGTTCAGCGATCAGCGACCTTTTCCCATATCCCAGAGTCGAGGGCGGAAACAACAGCTTCAGACCAGAGACTGCCAGGTGGCTTCCGTCGCCACTTTGTGCAGCAAAAGTTCAATCGATCGCAGAGTTTCATTCAGAGGACACCGGTGACGAGGAATTTCGTGCAGTTCCTGGATCTATATGGCTCGTTTGCTGGCGAAGATCTCGCAGACTCGGATGACGACGAAACTGCGATTGATGATGAAGAGGAGGACGTAGAGGGAGGAGATCAGGACGATGAACCGGCGGATGAAAGACGACCTCTGCTAGCCAGACGTAGGACTTCGAGGGCTGCAAACAAACAAGGGGATGCGAATATCACAAGGGCATTTTTTCTGTTGCTAAAGTCTTTCATCGGCACGGGAGTTTTGTTCCTGCCAAAAGCTTTCAAGAATGGTGGTCTTCTCTTCTCCTCAATCACTCTGGTTGTCGTATCTCTCGTCTCTTGCCTCGCATTCCATCTGCTCCTGCAATGTCGAGCACGATATGGTGGAGGTTATGGTGATATTGCCGAGTCAATTGGTGGAAAGAAGATGAGGACTATCACATTGGCTTCCATATCATTATCCCAGGTCGGATTCGTTTGTGCAGGAATTATCTTTGCAGCTGAAAACTTGCATGCTTTCCTCCAAGCTGTCCTAACAGGGCCATCACCGCTCTCGATCACAGCCTTGATTGGTCTTCAATTGGTTGCACTGGTTCCACTGGCTTTCATTCGCAACATATCCAAGCTTGGGGGTGTTGCATTACTTGCAGATGTTTTCATCCTACTTGGACTCGGCTATATCTATTATTTCGACATATCGACTCTGGCAAAGGAAGGCATTAGCCCTACGGTGCATATGTTCAACCCAAGAGATTTCACTTTGACTATCGGATCCGCAATTTTCACATTCGAAGGCATCGGTCTTATCCTGCCAATTCAATCATCGATGAAAGAACCACAAAAGTTCGAGCGTCTACTGATTACGGTCATGATCATTATCACCATCATCTTCGCCTCGATAGGTGCGCTCAGCTATGCTACTTTTGGGGATATAACTTCTGTAGAGATCATCAGCAATTTCCCACAAGACTCGAAACTCGTCAACGCCGTTCAATTCCTCTACTCCATTGCCATCTTAGCAGGCGATCCAGTCCAACTATTCCCAGCGATGAGGATCATTGAAGGTGCAATCTTTGGCCATCGCTCCGGAAAGCGCGACGCAATGACAAAATGGAAGAAGAATGCTTTCAGGGCTGGAATTGTCGTTCTCTGTGGTGTCATTTCCGCTCTGGGGGCTGCCGATCTTGACAAGTTCGTTGCATTGGTTGGGTCGTTTGCTTGTGTGCCGTTGGTGTACATTTATCCTGCTTATCTACACTGGAAAGGAGTTGCGGAGACTAGGTACGCTAAGATTGGGGATATAGTTTTCATGTTGGTTGGACTTGTTGCTATGGTATATACAACGGCTGTGACTATTTCGCACTGGTCTTCGTCGTAAGCGGTCATTGTTCACCATGCCTCGGCACAAACCGCGGAGTCAAATGGGTGCTAACCACGAGGATTATTTTCCGAAAGACACTAAGTAGAGGTCATTATGAAACATTGGTCAAAGGTTTGAGGGTTAACAGCACAGAAAGTCTTGTAAATAGCGTTTTGTATTATTCTCCAAGATTTCGGTAAGCGATTGTTGTTTTGGATTTATGAGTTAAGCCTGTAAATAACGGAAAAAGCGTGTAGCATTAAAGCCTGTCTGGATATTAAATCTATCCAAATAAACAACTTCTTCGACTACAGTCACATGAACCCATCCCATCCTCCCCACCTACCACGGCACAACCTCCCCATCCCACCCAACAAAACACCCAGAAATCGTCTCCTTAGTCGCTTTATCAATCTATCACATCACTCGTCAGCATATCTCCCTCAACTTCCCAAATTACTTGGGATACGTATGTATTTTACTAACCTGCTCAACCACCCCCCTCGCACTATCCTCCACACCCATAGGCGGCATCTCCACGCCAATACTATCCGCGAACTTCTGGCCGGTGGACGTTTGTACCCATCTATCACATCGAGTGTTAAAATCTTGAAGACGTTGGGAATTGGGTTGCGTAGGGAGATTGGGGATTTGAATTGCTTACCCAGGATGAACAACAAGCACCACCATTTTCTCTTCTTCATGGTGGATCTTTGCGGCAATATAGTGCGTGCCTGTTTTACTTATGCCATATCCGAGACATGGTGCGGATGTTGTGGAGGTTATGCTGCCTAGGATGCTGCCTATGATTATGAATTTGGCGGCTTTGGAGCGCTGGAGGAGAGGCAGAAGAGTCTGGTAGAGCGACAGCGGGGCGAGTGTGTTGGTGTGGAAGTCTCGAACTACATCCTCAAGATCCGTGTCTGCTGCTGATTTGAAACTCGTGCCATTTCCGGCGTTGGCGATGAGGACGTCTAGTCTATTAATCCCGCGGGTTTCGAGGTCTTCGGCTAGCGCCTTGTGAGCACTTTCAATCTCGAGTGCTGAGGTGGTTGAAATTGAGAGATACGCGATGATTAGCTCGCTGCCCGGGGCTTTTGGGAGAGCGAGGAGGGAGGTGGTGGATGTGGTTTTGTCTCGAACGGTCGCCACGACTGTAGTGTTGGGTCTGGAGAGCAGGAGGGAGGTGAGTCCGAGTCCGATTCCTGGAAATTTTAGAGGAGGTTTGAAGGGGTTAGATGGGTGTGTTTACCGCGGTTTGCGCCTGTGATCAGGTAGATGGTGTTGGAAGCCATGATTGAGATTTATCTTGAAAGCAGAGAAGAAGAGATGAATAGGTGGTTTTGAAATGACATTTGAAAAGACGCTGAGGATCTAATAAATAGTAAAACTCCATCCGCCTCCTTTACCCACTTTATGTGTTTACGCAAGTAAAGTAATTCCCTCATGCTGAGCAAGCAATTGGGATCTGGACCTTTTGTTAGTGTTTTCCTGTTGTTGTTGTTGGAAGTACCTAGGATCAAAACGTCAAATTGTGGATTGCAGTTCCTACATACAAGCAGCTCATACGGATAAAGTGGCGTATGCAGTCAGACTATACGCTCCCTATCCCTGCAATTTGCGGGGAGGATTTGGTCGAATGTGAGGTGTACTCACTTAGGACAAGGATTCCGATTTTCATGGATAAAGACTTCACTTTGGTAGGATGGGGATGACGGAAAAAGAGGGTTGTCTGTAAGGAGGATATTAGGTAGAAAGTAGAGATTGGTGACGTTGAGATTAGGTTAACTATACTTGAAAGGTTTTTTTAGTTGGAATTGACAAATCATCTCTTAACAATGCTTTGAAATCAACCCAATATACACGGAGAAATAATCTACTCCGTACCTCCAGCAAAGTATAGGAAGCCGGAATTCTAGTTCAACTAGCAGATGATTATTTTCAAGATATGGATGCTAAAAACTGAGTTGAGATTTCCCCTCCCTCTCTCCTTCCTCGCCCTCTCTCCTTCCTCACCCCCTCTCCACACATCACTCACCCAACAACCAAACACCCTCAAAACCACTCATCCACACCCCCTCACCCTACGCACGCCCCGCAAACCCCCCCACAACACCCAAAACAAAAAGCTCAAATGGTTTCTCCAACAACGCTTCTTTCACTAACGTCTCATTCAGCGCCGCGAAATAGGGGGTTGAAAGGTGGATGTCTGCTGCTGCTTGGTTGGCGTCTGTACTACATTAGCTAGAGTGAAGGTAGATGTGGGGGGTGTGGACGAGGGGGGAAAGAGGTGAAAGGGAGAGAGGTGGAAAGAGAGAGGGGGGTTGAGAGAAAGGGGGGATGAGGGGAGTATGGAGGATAGGGGAAACGTACAAGTTTCCTGAAACAAAATAACGCCTTTTCCGGTTTCTGCGTTGAGTTGAGTGAACATTTGATATTTCGTCTGTGATGATCGGTTAGTTTCCAACTACAGTCCACCACAGGACTTAAGAGAGGGATAAGAGACAAGGAAAGAGGGGACTTACAACACCCATCTCCTTCTCCTCTACTTCGGCGATGATGTTGAGGAGGACTTCCTTAAGCTATACGCAATCCCATTCATCAGTTCAAATCTTCCCTCTGAACAGATTGGACGTGAATTTTAGGAGGAAGAGAGATTTTCGGGGAGGAAAATGGAAACAAACCCTCTCCACCTTCCCCACCGCAGGAGTAAAAATAGCAACAACGGGGATCTCTTCCGACATAATGAGTACGATCTCTCGCAAATAACAAAAATTCGTCTTGTTGAACCGCTGAATCTCTTATATCTGTGAGTAAAAGGTAGATTCTATGAAGATATGTAAAGAGCAAGCCGACCATCTAATATATACCCTTTTCCCTCTTCTCCCCTTACAAACATATACCAAAGATCCATCTCCATCTACCAATCACTCCAGCGCAGCACAAGCCCTCTTTCGGGCACTTAAGCGAGGCGTGGAAATGATGAGATTGGTGCTCTATACGCCCGAGGTAAAACGCAGTCAGCATGCACGATGATCGCG